ATATATATATATATATATATATATGTAGTATTTTTAAGAAAATAAAATAAAATTTATAAACCACAGAGCAGCAAATGATGATGTAAAAGGAGATGATATTTGACTACACTCCACGAATTCTGATGTTGCTCGCTAAAATAAGATTCTTTTCTTGACTATCATATCTTTTCTTGTATATCACATTTATGTTGTACGAAAAGTTGCAATGGGTTTTCTTATCCTTTTCTGTTTTCCTTTCTCATCTTCTCATCACGAGATCGGTCATTTTAAATTAAAAAAAAAAATCAAATTCACGCTCTCAAATATACACACACACTTAAAGAAAGTGACCATTTAAACTCATGCACATAGCACAGAATAGAACCGCACGTTGTGGACATATCGCACCGACATGTCGCCCGTGGACTGGCTGCGTAGTTCCAATGTGTACCACTCGTGGACATGCGCTAGTTTACGTGGCGGAAAAGTGATAACACATTCTCTTATCGGCCTGGTTTCTCTCAGACATCTCTCTGATTTATGCTTTGATTGTAAACATGAACGTAACCACAAAATACTCTCACGATAACCTATAATACCACATAAAAAAAAACACGGAAACCTCAAATGTCTGCGTTAATCAAAGCGAGAAGATACTAAAGAGAGATGGTCTAGAACGACCAAAGACACGACATACATAAACTCTTCCGTTTTTAGCGGTTTGCGCTAAGTGCTTTAAAAAGTTTATTGAAAGGAGATTCACAAAGAATGTTACAGAAATTAATATTGAAGTTAAAAAACAATGTGCGACTGGCGCAGTTTCGCTCTCTGGCACAACTGTCAGCCAATCTAAAAGAAAATCCTGACAGGATGCAGACGTGGCAAATACATTCGTATAATGGACCGGAAGATTTGAAGTTCTCTAATATTAGAGTGCCAATGATCAGGCATCCAACAGATGTCTTGGTAAAAATTGAGGCTGCTAGTGTAAATCCCATTGATGTTGCAATGACAAGTACTGTCACTTAGAATAAACATGTATATTAAATATCTTGAAGAAAATAATACTTCGACAATAAAAGATTTACGTAATAATATGTATGTCTCAGCGAAATGTATTCAAGTTACAAAAGATCTTTTTACAGATGGTTATGGTACAACAGTTCTAAACTTAATGCGTAAAGTCAAAAATTTGGGACAAAGTGAATATGACGAATTGGAGTTGCCATTGACATTAGGCAGAGACTTTGCAGGAGTAATTGTGTCAAAAGGACATGGTGTAGGAAACAGACTCAAGTTGGGTGAAGAAGTTTGGGGAGTAGTTCCAATAGAACAACAGGGATCTCATGCAAATTATACTGTGGTTGATAGTAATTTAGTAAGATGTTTTACTTTTAAAAAATTTATAGAATATCTAAAATGCAAATGTTATGTGCATAATGAGCAATATTTATTTTATTTACTTACAAGGTAAGTCCACGTCCTAAAAATTTGTCTTATATTGAGGCCGCAAGTATTTTATATGCTGGATTGACAGCATGGTCTGCATTGTGGATCACAGGAGGATTATCTTACAAAATGATAGTAGCTACAAAAATGAATAGACGTGTCTTGGTTATGGGAGGTTCAGGAGGTGTTGGAACGTTGGCTATACAACTCTTGAAAGCATGGAATATGATTGTATATACTTATATAATTTATAAAGTAGTAATAAAAATATATGTGTAAAGTACATGTAAAATTTTTTTTTTTACAGGTAATCAGTACTTGCAGTACTGATGCTGTAGATACTTTGATGAATTTAGGTGCTGATATTGTCATTGATTATAAACAGAATGACGCAGATGCAAAAATTATTTCAGAAGGCCCGTTAGTAGATTTGCATTAAATTTTGAAATGTACTATATTGATACTCAAAAGTATTACATGTTTTGCGTTTGAACAGGTATGATATAATCTTGGATTGCGCTAATCAAGGGCCAGAGCTCGTCAAGACAAAAAGATATCCATACAATACTTACATAGCATTAAATCCGCCATTATTAAAAAATATTGATCAACATGGGCTTATTGTGGGAATGGCAAAAAATATTGGCGATCTTTTAAAGTTTAATATTCCAACATTAGAGAACAAAAGCTGTGTGAAGTGGGGATTTTTTGTGCCTTCCCGAACGGGTATGAACGTCATTCAAAAATTGGTGGAAGATGGAAAAGTATGCATTAACCACATCCAGAATTTCAAAGATATTCTGCTATAGTAGCACATTTTTACATATATATTTTTTGCAGATTGTTCCTGTTGTTCAACAAGTATACTCTTTTCAAGATTTGCCGCTGGCATATAAAAGAATGAAGGAAGGTCATCTAAGAGGTAAATTAGTTATTGATATAAAATAGTAGTTGTAATAATAAGTTAGATTATATATATAATTTTGTTTACATTGTATGAAATATTTAGAACTCTTAAAAAATATTATTTATTTACAAATAAATAGCAATATATTACATAACATTTACAGTATTTTTTATCATGTTTACACCTAGTATTGTATCTGTACCAAACACTTTATCCGCAACTTCCTTCCAACAATGCGTCGCAAGTTCTATAGCTCTTTCATTACCCTCTTTTAAAATTTCATCTAAGTAGACAGGGTCTTTGAGCAGTTTTAATATATCATTACGAATTGGAGATAATTTTTCTATTACTATATCCGCTAATACTAGTTTATACCTATTAAGATAAAAAACGTATAAATTTATTATCGATGTATGAAAGCTGTTTCTCTAACATTTTATATGTAATAATTATCATATATACTTACTGTCCTGTATTCAAACCTGCAGCTTCTTTACATATTTCTTCCGGTGTTTTCCCCGTAAACAAAGAATGAATATTGATTAAATTAGCCACACCTGCCCGTTGTTCGGGTTCATATGTTACTTCTGAAGTAAAATCAGTCAGGGACTTCTTTATTTTTTCCAATAATACATCAGGTTCATCTAAGATATCCAATCTAGACTTCGGATCTATCTGTGATTTGGACATTTTTTTCGTAGGATCACGTAAAGATTTAATTCTTTGGCTTGGGCCATCTAAAAATACAAATTAAACATGACAAAATTGTTTTCAAAATCAAATTTATTTTGATTCTCACATTTTGCGAACTATCTGGAGAACTTACCACTGATAAGAGTATGTGGTTTTGGGAAGGTTTGTCCAAATTTTCTATTAAATATTTGTGCTAAATCCTGTGCCAGTTGTATATGTTGAGCCTGATCCTGTCCTACTGGAACATGTGTTGCTCTAAGAACAGAAAACAAAGTGACAGACAAAGTTATATATATATACAATAGCAATAAAATACAATTTAACATTGAGTTGTTTACTTGTACAATAATATATCAGCTGCCTGCAGTACAGGATAAATATATAAACCTAGAGGAATATTTTTCAATGCTTCACTCTTTTCCTTGAATTGTGGTAAATGAGCCAGCCTGGCCATAGTGGTGATGCTACCTAATATCCAGCATAATTCAGTGTGCATTGGCACTTTGGATTGTTGAAAAAGTATACTTCTCTTGAAGTCTACACCACAAGCTATCAATGTTGCAGCTGTTAGTAGAGTATTTTCTCTCAATTTCTTTGGATCCTACATGTATATATATATATATAAAACCATAAATTTGCAGAAATATTGATAATATAAGAAAAGATCTAATTTTTTTATATTCATACTTGCGGCAAAGTAATTGAATGCAAATCTGCTATGCTGCATAAAACTTCTTCACCAGAATTTTGCAACTGCACCCACTTTTGAATAGCGCCAAAATAATTTCCTAAATGCACATTTCCTGTAGGCTGAATTCCGGAGAATATCCTTTTTGTATATCTGTTTTGTATTTCCTACAAAGAATAATAAATGAAAAAACATATTTCTATTGTAATTTTGTTTCAAGATCCAATCAAGGTTACGGAAAACATGATCGAACCTGACTGCTATATCTTCTAACTCTTTTAAATTTTACTCTTCGAATTGTTTCTGAACGAATGGCATTTGTTAATACTTTAAACATATTTCAAATATAATTCAGTTGATAAACTTTGAACGTTAGGATGGATTACAGCTTGACGCATCGGAGACGACGAGCCGGTCTTGTGTAGAATTAAAATGGAATTATATATCCAATCAAAATCAAGTTCACTAAACTTGAAAATTAGTTCTCTTTGTTTTGATTGGCTAAATTACAATTCAATTACAATCCTAATCCGTAGTTTGATATGAACTTTATGAGACATTTTTTAAAACTTACTGCCAGCGCTAAATATCTATAGTTTGCGTCACATATATCATACAATTTTAGCACTGGCAGCAATTCTGGAACACAGCTATACTTACATGTATGTAGGATCTTAAGTTCTCTTGTGTGTCACCGGCATACACCACAGCTGGATGGAACTTTTGTCGATCTGTCTTAAATTGTATTTTTCACAAAAGACGTAGATTGCACGTTCTTTTCAAGTTATTACTTTCTTAGCAGGATGTACGACGATTATAATGAGGTATTTATTCTAATATTGAAGTTTACAATTGTAACCGTTACAAAAATTCCAACGTGTGACTTAACCTTTTGCTCGCTCCATTTCTATCTTTGTTGGTCTCGCAGTACGATGCCTACGATGATTACGGGCCAGCGGACGCCCACGATCAGTATGAACGTCCAAGTTATCGGCAAGTACCTGAAGTGGTACGCAATTTCCTCGTATTTTTGCGCAACTGTATTAACGAGGGCATGATCTTTGAGATTCAAAATCTGTATGAAAACTCGTTCCCAAAAATCTCGGAACAATTGTTTGACAAGTCGCCATGGCCGGATTCCGCAACAATTGCACATATTGTCGATAACGATCCAGTCTTCCTGACACTATACAAGGAACTCTATTATCGTCACATTTACGCTCGCATGCAAGGTCCCACGTTAGAACAGCGACTTAATTCTTTCTACAATTACTGCGATCTTTTTAATTACATTTTACATCCGGATACACCAGTCCAATTGGAATTACCTGATCAATGGCTGTGGGAACTCATTGATGAATTTGTTTATCAGTTCCAGTCATTTGCTCAGTATCGTGCCAATCTGTCCAATAAGACTCCAGATGAGATTGAAAATCTGAACGCACACAACAAAATCTGGGATGTTCTGTGTGTATTAAATGTTCTACATTACTTAGTTGACAAGTCAAAGATTAAAAGTCAATTGGAAGTGTATGCCAGTGGCGGTGATCCTGATTCTGTGGCTGGCGCCTTTGGCAGACATTCTTTATACAAGATGCTTGGCTATTTTTCTCTTGTTGGTCTTCTAAGATTGCATTCTCTCTTGGGTGATTATTATCAGGCCATCAAAGTTCTGGAAAATGTAGAGCTTTATAAGAAAAGTGCATACTCCCATGTACCTGGTTGTCAAATTTCAACAGCATATTATGTGGGTTTCGCGTATATGATGATGCGCCGATATGCAGATGCGATCAGAACTTTCTCGGGTATCTTACTATACATCCAGCGTACAAAGCAACTATTTGCTACACGAAGCTATCAGAATGATCAGATTAACAAGCAGACTGAGCAGATGTATCATCTTCTCGCCATTTGTCTGGTTTTACATCCACAGTGTATAGACGAAGGTCTTCAGCAAGCTCTGCGAGATAAGAATTATCACGAGAAGATGTACAAGATGCAATATGGCGATCTCACAGAGTTCGAGAATTGCTTTGTGTTCGCATGCCCTAAATTCTTATCTTTAACACCACCAAATCCGGATAATCCTAACGAAGATTATGTCCGTGAAGCTATCAAGCATCAGACTCAAGTATTTATGGATGAGGTGGTACAGCAGAAAATGTTACCGACTATTCGTTCATATTTGAAACTTTATACGACATTGCCACTTAGCAAATTAGCAACATTCATGGGCAATAACAGTAGATCGGACGAAAGCTGGGACCTGGCCAAAGAAGTTAATGTACTAACAATCCACTTACTGTGCTTTAAGCATAAGATGAAAAATATTGTTTGGACAAAAGGTACATCAGGACTGGATGGCAAATTCCAATCTGGATCTGAGGTTTGTGTTATTTTGTATTGTGTTATTTATATGTATTGTATAACATCAATCACATTACAACTATATTATAATTTATTTAATAATTCTTCCAATTTTTTTACAAATCTGAGATTAATCGTTTCTTGTGACAAAAGCAATAGAAGTTTTAATGTACAAATCTTTTTGTTTTTTTTTTTCAGCTGGACTTTTATATCGATCACGATATGATACATATTGCTGACACAAAGGTAGCGCATCGCTATGGAGACTTTTTTATTCGCAAAATATTAAAATTCGAAGAACTAAATCGCAAATTACATCACATAAAGATATAATATATTGTGTATAATGATACAAGTATTAAATATTGTCGCTTAATTGCAAAGAATAAAAATTTTATAAAAATGTATATATATTGCTCAAGTATATCTAAATATTTATTAAAATCTCCCAGCAATAGCAATAAATATAAATTATAATCTTTATATATATAGAACAAGATAATATATAAATATTTAATTTAACACATATAAGATTCCAAGCACGCATGCTTTTGCACTTCTTTTACTAAACTGTAAAAAAAGCAAAATGCATGGAAAGAAATAGACTGGTGAAAAAATGTAAAAATAAAATATTTTTATTAAAAAGCATTGAGAAGAGAAAAATAAAACTATGACATTTATAGACGACACAGATACGTCGTGTTACATACAGATACATCGTAATGATATGGGAAAAAATTAAACCCCGATTGTATATGTGTTACACATATGTATGTATATACAGCAGTACACAAAAAGATGATGACGCGATGAAAGTATATTGACACTACGTTTGCAGAGCTGTGGTTTTATTAACTTTTTCTTGTAACGTTTTGCACGCGGCAGCTAAAATATTTGGCTTCATCCACACAGCCGATACGTTCTCGAGACTACGAAGATAATGAAAAAATCTATTACCCCGTTTATTAGTGATGGCGAAGCGTGATTCCTCCGCGCGACATATTGTTCTAGCGGTTGGAAGATAATCCAGTGCCATGATTCGTCGATCTAAGCACGTAGATGTAACTTGTGACAGAGCTTGATCCACTCCTCGGTTCAATTGCTTTCTTAGAATAATATTGCTTTGACTTTGCATGTTTTCGTTTGGTTTCGAGTTTTTATATAGCATTTGATTGCTTAAAAAATTCGCTATGTTTGTGTTCAAATCACGCGAAGCAGAATAAAGCAATACACTTTCGGTCAAAGATAAGTTGGGTTGCGATTTCTCTTCCGATACACTCAATGTCGTGTCTTCAGTGTCGAGTAAAGATGACGCCAGAGATATATTGTCCAAATCATCTGCCAAATTGTCCAGTATACACGCGGTATTGGATTTTTTCGTGTTTTTATTTTTTTTTTCTGTTTTACGCTTCTTATCTAACTTGATCACGGGCTTGTACAAGTGATATTGTACATCCTGCCAAAGCGATGAGTTTACAACCATTGATTGCTCGGATAATGTCGGTGGACCTGACAGTAGCAGATATTGCAACTGAAGAAGCGCCTGTCGTAGATCTCCCGCGCGTAGTAATTTCTAAACAATGAAACAAAAATACATTTCGATGTGACAGAATAGAAAAATATACTCTCATACTTTGAAACAAGTCTAACATATAGAAAAAAAAAGTTTAGATTATTTCGAAAACCACTTACCATTAGACAATTATGCGGAAGTCTGTAACCCTTTTCTGCCAGTGAAATTAATTGCAGTAGGGCGGACACTCTGTTGCCATTTACTTTCTGAAAGTAAATCTTATTTTGTTGCGGGGCCATTTTATTCAAGTGAGGACACATATCTCTGCACGTCATGACAATCGGTCGTTTAGTATTTAACGCCAACTGATACGTAGCGGAAACAAATCCCTCGTCTTCCTCAAAAATGAGATCGATATCTTCCAGAAGGATTAAAGAGTTTTGTGATATTTTTGGCTCTTTGCTCTTGCTCGTGTTTGCGACTTGTTTGAGCGGAAATTTGTGCTTATGTTTTTTTACCCGGTGTGACTTCGTGGCTTCCTCCAATTCTTTCAAAATTCTCTTTCCAGTCCGTTTAGACGACGCGTTCACTTCCAAAACACTGTAAAATTAAGATATTTTAGCATATATAAATTGTATATTTTATTTGTTTAAGTGTTTTTTATATTTTTAGAAGTCTTTGTAAGATTTCTATTGTGAGATATTTGATCACCTGTAGCCGAGTTCCTCCGCTATCGCGTAAACACTCGCGCTCTTTCCGCTACCGTGTGGTCCTAATAACACAGCTATCTGATTATTCTCGTTGTTGCAAGAATAACTACAGTCCGACGAGTAAAACTCGTCGCTGCTATTATCGTCGTTATTCGTTTTTAAGGACGCTCTCCAGCCAATTAGCCAGGTTTTCAGCTTTCCCGCGGCCTCTTCGTTCCCAACTATTTCTTGCACGCTCATCGGTTTATATTTACACGTCCATACGCAATCGTGCAATTTATTCTCCTCGTTTCTCGCGACTGTTTTATTTTGCTCGAACAATCTCGATTTTTTGTTTCTCGTTCGAGACGGCGATCTCTTCGCCGAATCATTCTTGATCGTCGATATAATTTTCCATAATTCCCGAGTGTCCGAACAAAACTCCTCGATTTCGGATAACACTTGATCGAGATCTTCTTTTTCTGGTTCACTTTTCGTGTCAGGTATACGCACTAATTTCTCATGATTAATAATAAATTTATAATCGTTAATGTCTATCGAAGGCAAATATTTATTTTTGATCTTCAACGAAAATTTATGTTTGATCTCCGATTTAGTCGGATTCAAATTTTCCAAACTTTTCAGTTGTGTCACGTGACTGATTGTAGGATACAGAAACTTAGATACGCTACTGTTGTTCGTCTTGCAATTTATATTTTTAATTTCTATGTCAATCATATCCGAGTGCAAAAACAATTGTTTAGCCGCCGCGATGACAGGATCCGTTTTACGTCGTTTAATGAACAAAGGCGCCAGTTTCTCATTCGGTTTTTTTCTCTTCAAAACGTTTTCATTAATAATTTCACAATCTGAATCGTTCAACGTGATTGTTTCATCTATATTATTAATCTGTTCTTTTGTTTGTCTATTTTCAGAAGATTTTTCCAAAGATGAATCAACATCTTGATTTTTATCGTTAATAACAACGTCGTTAGCAGAGTCCATCTCTTTCTCCTTGTTTTCCATTATGGTTTTAATATGATTATGACTATTCTTTTTCAAAGAGATCATATTATTTTTCTCATCTGTATTTCCAGACTTCCGAAACTTACGAGACATATTCAACTTTGATTTGCTTTTCGGTGAAAATAATTCATCATCCGTACTATCTGTATGTAATAGTCAATGTTAATTTTTAATGTGATTAAAACTAAAAGAAATTCTATGCAATTCAATAAAACAATATCAGTGATCAAAGTGTGAAAAAACTGTCATTGCCATCGACCAAACGTTGGGAGACTCTAGCTATGTTTTACATCATATAAAACATACAAATAGACTATATCATAGTATAATTTTTTTAATTAAGTATATTACCATTTGAAGGATTATTATCTTCAGGGGAATGTAGTTTTATTCGTAAAGACCAAGTTTTCTCTCTCTTTTGCTTGTTTTCCTTAGTAGTATGCAACAAAGATAAATTTTCAGATTTTACAACGTGAATATTACTTATCGTAGAAACATCGATCTTCGACTTTGAACTATTGGTTTTCTTCAAATGTATCTCATTGGATACTGCTGTATTTACAAGTTCATCAGAATTATCTGCCCTATGCACATCTGCTTTTACAACAAAAGTAGTCACACATTGTTCATCTTTACTTGTCAATTCCAATGGTGATTTGCTGCATGATAAAAATTTAAATTTGCTTGAACAATTCTATAATTACTTAAAAATGTAGTTGTACACATTCTATAAATTATTTTCTTACATATCGGTGTAAACATTAAACAATATGATACACAACATTTCTTTTCAGAAAAGTTTTAACTATAATATATACACATGTAAGTTGTACTTACCTAAAGTAATCTAGCAAGTTACCAGGCTTGTTACTTTTTACTGACAATCCATTGTTATCACTTCTTTTAGGCGTATCATCTTTGTCACTTTTGAAAAAGCTCATACGTTTTTCTATTATCTTTTCTATTCTTTCACCTTCTTCTATTTCTGCAAGTTTTCTTTTTGAATAACCTTTTTTATTAGCTAGCTCTATTAATTTCTCTTTATGCTGAAATCTCTTATCTTTGACATCATCCAATTTTTCTTTACTCTTGGCATCAGTTACAGATTGCTGCGGCGGCGATAACTGTGTTGGTTTGTTATGATTCATTAGAACATGAAAAGCATTTGACTCTTCTTGGAAATCATTATCACTCTGAACCTCTGTATTTGAGCTATCTCTGCTGTTCTGAATGTTGATATGCTGTATATCTGAATTGTCTAAGTCTAAAGTACTTTTGTTATCTAACCTTTCTTTATCATGTAAGATATTCTTTGCAGTTTTAGACCTTTGACTTGCATTTGTTTTTGTAGAAAGCTTAGAATCCTAAGTACATAAGAATGTTGAATTATTTGACCATCAATAAACATCAATATTGACTATTAGATTCTAAATACAATATACCTTCTTAAAACCTTGTTTTAAACTGGAGTTAGTTACACAGGACTTTGGTGTTGCATCTTGCACAGTTTTGTCATTTAATTTACTATTGAGTGGACTAGGTGTTTTGTCAATTAGATCATTTTTACTTTCAACCACATTGCATGTTCGTCTGAAGCCATTACTTGATATTCGAATCTTTACTCGTCTACGTTTACCAGTAGTGATCATTTCCTCTTGGTCTTCTTGCTGCATGATACTGCCAGAATTGTCAGCAATTATCTCCTTCCTCACAACTTTTGTACCATTGGCAAAATATTGCTTAATATCTTTCATATTTGGGTTTTATTTGCAAGTGTTTCAAAAACAATATTACACACAACTCTTTATTATTTCTGTTTTATTTTTAGAGATATTTTTAAATAACAAGATTTTTAGCTGCACGTTTCTCCATTGAAAATAATTTACAAACTACTACAAACATCAAACATAAATACACTAATATTATATAGTATTAATCGTGTGTACAAAGTTTGTCTGACATTGATAGAAATAAATTTATGGTGATATTATTATTTTTAGTTATATTACTGGAGCAAATTCACACTGTCTTTATCAACACAGTAGCTCACGACGTTTCTTCCCGCCTTTTTGATACGGTTTGGTTTGGTCGTGTATGGTTCTTGAGCCAGTTAGAGCTAGTCTATACGCCACTCCACGTATTGTTCTTGGGGATTTTAGTTTTCCGGAGTAGCTCCGGATTGGTAGTAGCAGAGAGAAGCCTGAGAGCGGCCAGGTCCATAAGAGAATGTGTAATCACTTTTCCGCCCTGTAAACTAGCGCATGTCCACGGGTGGTACACATTGGAACTACGTAGCCAGTCCACGAGCTACTTCCTACTATTACGACGGAAGTTATTTCGAAAAACGAAGTCTCAGTCGTTAACTGATATACAGCTTGTTCACAAACAAACTGGAAAGATAACAAAACTGTGATTAAAACCACACACACCCAGATATATTCTCTACCAACACGTATGTATTTCGAAACCTCACTTCTAATTACACGTTTGATTGTTAAGCTCAAAATATACGCTCGTAAATAATGACATTTGTGTGTTTTACAACAGTCTGGGCTATCCTGGACAAGATTGTTTGTTAAAAGTAATTTGTCAAGCTGCAAAGAATGCTTTAAGCAAAAACGGTGTGCTTGGTGATATTCTCAAAATCATATTCACGTAAGTATTGTAATAAAAAGTATATTTGAAAGTTTTGATGTGTAAAGAGAAATAAAGAGAGATGTCGATATAAATTACAATCAACGAACAAATAATGTAAAACAATTAAATTTGCATTGCAGACCTTTCACGTCGAGAAGCGAGGAGCTTCCGAATGAGATCACGCAAGCTGAGCACGAGCAACTTTGCGATCAACGTTACGAAAACTGTTCTCTGAATCCTTTAGATTTAATAAGTCATTACGTCGATTATTAATTAAAAATCTACACAAAATTCGACACAATATTCGATAAGTATTGAAAATAAAAGACACAATATTCGATAAGAGTATTGAAAATAAAAGACTTGCATAATATTTCGTCCGTTATTTATATTTATTTATTTATTTATTTATTTCTTTCTTTCTTTCTTTATTTATTTATTTATTTATTACCTGCCTTTCTCTCTTTATTTTATTTTACACGCTAATAAATAATCAAGCGAACAAGGGCACAAGATTTACGCGCAATAGTCTTGGTCGTTGGAAACTATGTAAACGCAGAAAACGAGCTGAAATCGAGCGAAGGTACCAGGGAAGTATGTCTTGCGAGTAGGTATACGCGCCAGCTCCTGGGCGTGTACATAGCGCGCTTGACCCCACCTCGCGCGCGGCAGCCATTATGGATTACGCGCGTCGGCCATTATGGAGCGCTCGCGCCTCAGCCAATCACCGCGCGACTCACGGAGCGCAGGAGGCGTTGGGGGGACGCGTAGCCTCGCCCACAGATACCTCTCGCATTACCTCTTCGCATAACATGTATTCCTGATACTTTCAGCGATTTTTCGAGGCTTTCAGAGAACGCGCACCTCACCTTACTCGCTCAATTCTCTTGCTATTTCTCTCTCTCTTGCTTAATTCTCTTACATTTTTTCAATAATTTGTCAATCTTTAAACAATAATTTGTAAATTTATTATAAATATACGTATGTATATAAAACATACTATTTATTATTAAGGATTAATAGATGTATGTATATACAACGTACATGTAAAAATAAACAGTTATGATAATAATGTAAGTAATCAATTTTGATGCATATAAATTTATAAATTATATATGCATAATTATATATGCGATATAACTTATAAATTATATATGCCTAATTATATGTATATGCGATATGACTTATAAATTATACATGCGTAACAATAAAATGTATAAGTAATTATCATATTTTGTATATAGGAACAATAGAAAAAGTAACAATAAATTAAATTGAGTTTGCAATGTGGTTCCCAGCACCAAGGATTGTATTATTCTGTTATTATTACATAATATTGAAAATGTTTCCATTATTTTAATTTGTTTGAGAGTCCTGGGCACACATACTGAATTTATAACAGAAGTTTACATACAAATACATAAACTTTATATATCTGTTTGATAAATATATATTACATATATATTTATTTTATTTTTATTAAATATCCTTGTGTCTACAAAATGTTACCATTAATGATTAAACTTTTGCAAGTATAACTTCAAATATAACACAAATGACACACAACTTAATATATAAAAACCAAAACAAATACCTTTTACAAATTATTCTAATTATAAACTTAAAGGAAATTATAGATAGAAAAGCTATACATTTTATCACCTGCAAAATATATAACACAAACAAAATTACGTATTTGTGTTACTACCGGGAATTTTTTCTTGGCTGTCGATACACTTTAAACATGCACTTAAAAAATATGTGCACGTAACAATTCAGCCTTTAATTATTTCAATTCGATAAAATCTTACGTATATAACATATACATTGCGACGTTAGTAACCATTCTCACAATCGGTCTCTTTTTTTAAAGTGACCATTTAAACTCGTGCCATTTAAACGCATAGCACAGAATAGAACCGCACGCTGTGGACATAGCGCACCGACATGTCGCTCGTGGACTGGCTGCGTAGTTCCAATGTGTACCACCCGTGGACATGCGTTAGTTTACGGGGCGGAAAAGTGATTACACATTCTCTTATGGACCTGGCCGCTCTCAGGCTTCTCTCTGGTAGTAGGTTGATGTAGAGTTAAGAGCCTACTACAATGAGATATTAGTAATAAATCAGAAGTCAGAAGCAAGAAATTGACCAATCACAGTCAAATCACAGAAAAATTATCGATTGTGATTAGTCAATTTCTTGCTTCTGACTTCTGATTTATTACTAATATCTTATTGTAGAAAGCTCTTAACGTGCTTTAATTCGCAAACACGTGTCTGTCTAGTCACGTGTTCTTTTCATTGTCTTCCCGCCAGTTCTCGTCGACCGTAGGAGCAGAATGTTGTTTAATTTTTCAATAATATTGATGGCCAGATATACACAAGTGTCAAAAATTTAAAAATGGACTTGACCAGGTATTTTTTAATTATTTTTATTTTATTATGTTTAATTGTGTAGACATTATAATTTAAAATATTTGACGATATTTTCTCGCTTTTTGACAGATTTATATGTTTCGTACACGATTATTATTATTACTTTTATGTAGAGTTGAAATTTATGAATTAATTATCATTTTTAGAAAAAGACCTGCTCTTCTTTATATGGCAACATCAAACAAAAAGGTGAAATTGGAAACAAACGTTACGATCATTCCAGTTAAGTTTAAATCTACAGTAAACTTGTTTGCATCCAGATGTCAAGTGAGAAAAGTAAATCGTACTACTGCGAGCATTTCGAAACATCACGTTTTAGAAAGCCGCAGTACAGGTCGAGACATATGCAATAGAATTCTCAATACAAATGTTGAATTAAATGCACATGATAACAACATAAATCTGAATAATATTATCCCTGTACTATCACCAATATTGGAATCTTATAAAAAACGTCATAATCGATGTAATTATTCAGAGAAGTTGAAGCACATAACAGGAAACATATATAGGAAGGTAAAACTAAAGTACAAAAGTCAGATTCCTATACACTTGCTGGAATCTTTCTTCAATTCTGTGATATATGAGACTGTTCCTCTGAAGCTATTTGGGTCATTGCAAAATGTGAAAATTGTTAAGAAAATAATATATCGCCTTCTGAGAACTGTTCCAAAACAAAGATTAGTAAAACAAGCCTTCAAAAGAACTGTGAAGAAAAAAATTGCCGTTGGTGCATTGCTAGATATGGGACCACTGATCAGAAAGTTTGATGTAGGTTTATTTCAGAATAAAAACAGATTGTAATTTTTTAGTTTTCTTCAATTTTATCAGGATTGTTGGCATATTTTTTTTGCCAGTGTTAATAAAAGAAATTGTTATTTCTCATAACATCTTGCAGATTTCTAAAATTGAGTGGTTGCATGTGATTGATAGCAATGCAGGTCGTTGGATAGTTGTTATAAAACTGTTACACTGGTTCTTTGCACAATATGTGATAAAAATTCTACATAAATACATAGTGGTGACATCGGTCAAGGGTCAGTGGGTTTACATAGCAAAAGACGATTGGTGCAGAATGCAAGAAGAATTTATAAAAGAGAAAGAAAATACACGTTGTCTTGTGCCATGGACACCTACATCAGTAAAGTCAACATGGAAGTTACCTATTGGAGTGTACAAGTTTATTCCTAGCTCTTCTGGTTTAAGAGCTTTATTTATAGCAAAGTATAAAAAAACTATTCATATTTACTATTCAATAGTGATTCTTTATGCTGTACTAAAAATATTAGCAAAATATCATATCTCACATATATGTTATACATGAATTTCAGATATAAGAGTAAAGAAAAATACGATAATGTAGATGTTGTTTTGAGAGTTTTGCAGCAATTATATGTCACGTTCTTAAGTAAAGATGGACTTCCGACTGTGAGTAGTTGCGAGTATCAGGCTCGCAAGTACAAACAATCGAACAAAAACCAATTGTACTTTGTGCGCTGTGATATACAAGATGCCTTTGGTTCGATACTTCAAGGTATAATTAATTTCTTGTCACATTTAGAGAGCATAAGGATACATGTTGTATCTTACTTTGCAGAAAAATTATTTGGTATTATCAAAGAATATCTTATGACATTGCCAAAGATCCTTACAGTACGTAATTATACTTTGGTAAGAAGTAAAAAATATCACACAAACAACAGCAACACTGCTGCCCCGGTACAAACAGTACAATTTTTAAATTTGGAGAAAGCAATTAAAAGTGCAATTATGAACAAAGAAAAGCCCATTCATGTTAAAATGACGAAGATTGTGGCTAAGATACACAAGTTAATATTTGAGCATAAGGTAAAACAAATAAATATCGAAATTGCAATAATATTTAAATGTAGCATTCGATACTAATTGATATTGTTATCGAAGATGAAGTGGAACGGTCAAGTTTATTCGATAAAACATGGTGTGCCGCAAGGTATATCGGTATCGCCAATTTTATCTGACATTTATTATCAACACATGTATCAAAGTTTATTTTCTCAGTACGCAAGTAACGGATGTTTATGCAGATATGTCGACGATATATTATACATCACCGATAACGAGAATTATGCGAAGAAGTAAGTTGAACTCTTTGTAAGAGTGAAATCGTGAGCTTTTTAAAAAGGCAACATATAATTTATATTTTTTCAAATGTGTATCGCAGATTTCTAGAAATAGTCAGAAATGGCATACCCGATTATAATGTGAAGTTTAATCCATATAAAATACAGTCGAACGTAGATGTGCCATATAAGCCCACAAAAATCAAATTTTTAGGATGGACTATAACTTTATAAAATATTTTGCAATATACATGTATATACAGAGACTCCCATTATCCGAACCCCCATTATCCGAATAATTCTAATATCCGAACATTCTATCATCCGAACATACATGTAAATATATTGAATATAAACATCGCTATATATACGAAACGTTGTTCGGATAATGGGGCTTCGGATATGGGAGTCTCTACTGCATATATGTGAGAGATTATTAATAAAAAATTTTTTTTCTGATTATTTATGTTGTAAGAAATAAAATATGTATTCAATGTGTGTATAACTTGAACATTTTTTGTATCTTTTCTATTTATAAATTATCTTTTGTTTATTCTAAAACTTCTGCTTTGAAATATTAGATTTATGAATATAAGAAAACAAAAAAATGCTCTGTCGCACCAAGTGTAAGAATGATCTCAATAAAGAGAATTGGATGAGAAACATTTAAGCAATAATTGTTTTAGTTTATTTTCAAATTTCTAGATTTTATACAAATCTCTAATGACGAGCGCAACATGATTATTGCATTGACCGTAACATCGTAAAATATGACACCGATGTTCGAACAATCTTAAAAAAGAAAAAAAGCATACAATATTAAAATTGTAATAATACGCGATCAAATCATTTTTTAGAGTGCGATGTATGTACACAGGTAGAAACCTTATTTTTTCTGTGTACGTACCGTGGAAAAGGTATCCATCGATATAACAAACATTTTTCCCGCCGTTAATACGCAAGGTTCTCGCGTTTTCATTATCATAAAGATCAAGATTTTTCTCGTTCGAAATGATGTCTGATACCACGCCGTATTCATTCTGCGAGATAAAAAAAAAATATATCTTGTATATTCTGATCATTACATCTCACGCGCGTTTGAGAAAGACTTGATTTTTTTATTTAAAATTTTTCTTAAGTTTGATAATTTTTTTTCTGCAATATTTATGGGAGAATAAAAGTTCCACGGACAAGGTAATAAAACTGTCATTTTATCGAGCGAATTGATGAGAACTTATCCAAGAAATAGATGATAGATCTGTACTACAAAATCCTGTATATCTTAGAGAATTCTACGTACAAACTGCTGTGAACATGCGTGCTATGATCGATCAGCCGCTGTGCTTGAAAGCTCTCGAAAAATAAGTGCATCAACAATGCGCAAGAGAATGTTATTTGTCGCACAACTTCCTCCGGTTTGTCCGTATTTGCCACAGCCTGTACACAAGATTACATAATTTATTGAGTGAAAAAAAAAATAGCGATTGAAATAAAAAAGTATAACATATCAGAACTTGTTTATTTGAAATAATATTCAAGCGTCTCAGGGGAAACAAGTAACTAAATTAGTGTTATTTAACAGTATTGATGTCACATCAAGACAAATAAGAAATATACATACCGTAACGCCAGTCATACTCAGGATGAGCATGTTGCAACCTGCTAGTACGAGAAACATCTGGCTGAACGCAGCTTCGATGAGACTGGCAAACCTTCATGCAAAATATACGTGCAACGTATATGACGTTAATAAATGTAACGCGTACACGTTGAATTATTCAATTATAAATTTTTAAATATATAAAAGATACTTTAATATGTGTAAAAAGACAATAGAACTAACTATACAGTGTATCCTATGTTACGCGGCGCGAACCTTAAAGCCCTTTTATGCGCATGAATACTTTCCACAATGTTTTGATACGATGTATCATCTTCCACAGATGGATTAAGATTTATGTTTAAACTGTCCTCTTTTGTTATATTTTCCACCTGTTGTCTGTGACAATCGACATTATATTATAATCTCTATTTTTTTAAATAAATGTTAATTTAATATAAAAATAATAAAACTTATTTGTAAGAAGCTTGAAGAAATGCGTGTCAGATAGACGACACTCATTATATTTTAGTGTATAATTATCTGTGTCTTAGAAACACTTCAAATTTACGATAGGTGGGCGATAGAATAATCAAATATGCTCTTATGTGTGTGATAAACTGCCTACTTACCAAATATAAAAACTTGGTAATTTGCGATTCTTACCCAATAATTGCAAATAATCCGCAAACATGTTGCACCATGATTACATACGTCGTATCAGCCGCGATCGCTATGCTTACGCATATAACGGCTGTGACATATCCGTGTATCAAGATCGGAAAGTAATATTTGTCCATGTCGATGTAATATTCAACTTGATGAAGCAAAGGACGACTTGTTTCGTTTAAAAACGAGTCAAGCAACAGCGGTTGTAACGGTATTAACATAAACAATACCAACGCCGAATACAAAGCGCCTAATAAATTTTAACGCATTTGAGTTTATTTCGGACCGTTAATTTTTCGTGTAATTTTCAAATAATTCTGAGTAGGCGTATTTTTTTTTTTTTTATTGTTAAAATTTGAAAGTGAAGAAACGTACGTTGATTTAAAACCAATGTAAGACGATTATTTTTTAGAAATAATTTTAATATAGAATTTATTTACTTGCATATATAATTGTAAATGTTCGACCATTTTGCGCATAACTGTTGAGAATCTTAATATACGGGGACGTCGTTAGCAACTGCCAATCACTCTGTATTTGTTCGTAAAGTGCTCTGATCTGCAATTAAACTTAAAATTTTTTAATTATAAAAAAAATTAAAAATCTAAAATTTATATAAATTGCAAATAAAAAAGATTATGATACAAGGCAAACGCGAATTTTGACACGTACCTTCGCTGTCTTTGCTATGCAAGTGATTAATTTTACTCCGCATCCTATATCAACTACTAACGGTGAAAGAGAATCGATGAATAGATCGATATCTTCAATGGAGAATAAACCGCATACCTAAAAACACGCTTGAAACGTGCGATTATAAATATAAAATATGTTTGCAAAAAGTAACACAACGCGCAATACATTTTAAAGTTTGTGTAACAATAGGTTCGCTCAAGTTTTTCTGAGAGATACATATGTTGAGTGGTTTCAATAGATTATAAGGCGGTTGAGCGATTTGACAAAAGGACGCGCGTGACATGCGATCAAATTTGCGGTCACGCGGTAGCTAAACGGTGTTGTACCTTGGCAATAAATTGCGTGCCAGCTAAAGACACTATAATGACGATAATAACGCTGCTACTTCTGTTCGTTTGATAGGGCCACTGGCCGATGCACGACAGAAGGACTTTATTGATTCTGTAGTTGCGCCTGTCGAAGAACTGCATCTCGCGCGTGTATGGACGAAAACTGTCGCGACAATAAAGTATACGCAGATAAGACCGTGAAGGTCTTTCATCCTCACTCGCGCTTTCTGCTCGCGTGCACCACGTAAATGGTGGTGGCATATTTAATAATTCTCTCTGTGTCAACGTTCCCGTCGGCACCACTGGCTAAATTATTTTAATTGCTCACTTATAGTCGCGGTCAATAATTATGCAACAGTCAGGGAAACTGTCATTTGCCGGTTTCGTGCACTTTGCTTTGAAACAGTTTTCGCTGTGACGCCGACATCTTCACACGTACAGCGGAAAAATTTGTCATTGTTCGCAATTTCATTTATTATTGTCGCATGTAAAGAAATATTTTTGTAATTATAATATTTAAATTTATCTCAAACAGATGTCTGTCTCTTTCTTTTATGGGATGCGCTTGTCAACCGTATTCATCTGTCAATTGTTAGGTATCTAGGGCCATTCTGGACAGGCGCACTTTTTATAAATGTCTTGTTCATTTTGTCACAGCATTCATTTATATAGTACATATATTTTTACCGCTTTTTAATTTTACGCGCGACAGAGGCAAATAATAAACGTCTTCCCGTTATTATGCCAATCTTACGAGTTACTCTTTAAAAGTGACACGTATCATGCGAAGAGACTTCCCTCGTTATGACGTGAGTGTAGTGCGAATTGAACGCAACCGTTAACCGCAAAAAACAATTTTTTATAGTTACCGAGTTCTTTCAGAGACTATTCGACACTTCTACAACTGCCGAAGACGATTCGTGTTTTTCGTCGGAAATCGATCTGCTAAATCCGAGGTATACAACACCCGACATCCCAAATTCCCATATGCATATTTTCAAGCAAGTTTTTGTAAATTAAATTTATAATATAATTATTGCTCTCTTTGAAGAGTGACACAGTCTTATCAAAGGTTGCGATCTGTGCGTCGATCATTAGAAAACGAGAAAACCGATCAATATAATCTTTTTAAATTGCCATCGAGATCATTGTACTGCCGACATCCGATTGTTAATGGACGAAATATCCAAGTCAAATTACGTAAGTGATGTAAGTGTTAATAAGATTCAACTTTGCGAGTCTGAAATATAATAGAAACAAACATTCACGTGCTGCCTAGTAAAAAATACTTGATGTAGAATATTTTTTTGACAAAAAGAATTTTTCTATATATTTGTCAAAATCTGGGTTTTACACAACACGCACATTACTTGCTGGAGGTGTATTTTTATAGTTGCTAGAGAAGGCATTGAAGACGCGCCACAATATACTTTGAACGTTAGATCTTCTGTATCGCATAACAGTTTGAAAAAATATGAGGTAATAATTATTGTTAATTATTTTAAAACATCATTTTAAATATATTATATTAATTTTTCAAAATAAATTATAAAAAATAAGTTGGGGCCAATATACTTTTATAAAAAAAGTTTTGTATATTTGTATATTTGTTAAAAATATTGATCCGATGATCTCGAGTGAGTTAAAAAAAATTATACTATTGTTTTTTTTGATGTGGGCGAATGTCCTAGCCGCAAATAACTTTCGAAGAGGATCGTTCGAGCGAGGGTGAAAGATTTGACCGTAAAGTCAGCAAGAAACTTCGGTAATTGTTTAAAAAATTTATATCGATTGCATATACATTCTCTTCGTCGCCTTCGAGATTTAAGGCGCAAAACGTCTTATTATCTCGTTTAAGACGCCCTAATGTATTGTGCTGACAGGAGAAAAGAGAACAGCACGCCGCGGATCGTGAGAGCTATTCGACAGAACAGCAGGAAACGTAAGTTACTGTCAGCGCTGTGAAAACTTGAGACATCGATATACAGATTAAAACTTGTTTTAGTTGAGCCTAAAAAGAATAAATCGACGAAATCCGATCGACCACAAGCGCGCCACAGCAAAAGCAGCGTCGTTGTGCTTTATCACGGAAGACCCAATAGTCCATCATCCTCCTCGAAGGTTCTCGTGCAAACTTCGAAATCCGATCAGACGGTAATAGAAAAATCAAACGTATCCCAACCGGAAAGTGCGAGTCTCTCGTTACCTGACAAGTGAGTGAAGCGAAATAAACGTCGGTGCAATAAAAAGCACGAACAAGATTTAATATAAAAAAAAAAAAAAAAACAACGTAACACAAATATGTTTAAAAAGGACGAAAATAGAAAAGGACGTGGAAACTTCGGAAAGTTTGTCTCCAGTTTGTCCGCGATATCCGCTGCGGCGACGAAGGACGGTTTCTAGACAATATCGTCGCGTATCAAGACAACAGCCTTCTTTGAACGTGAATATTTATCACGCGAATCGAGTGGAGCGAATCGTACCGTTGCAGCGTTACCGGGATGCACTTGAAGAGGTGGAAATAGACTCGAAATGTAAAGGATCGGAGAGCGCAAGGCCATTTAAAGATCCCTTTAAATCGCAAGAAAAAACGATTGCTTATCGCGACGAGAACGCGATAAATCAAAGTTCACAAAAGTGTGCAAGAAGAGAGAGAATTTCGAAGAAACGCTGCTCGCCGACTGAAGCTATTGCTTCGAAGCTTATGGACCATCGTTCAAAGTGAGATTTCGGGTCAAAAGTAAATTGACAAGTAAAATAAATATTGATGCACCATGGCTGATGACAACAAATTTGCAGACAAAAGGAAGACGAAGTAAAAGACAATCAAAAATATTTAGCGCCTCGCTCAAATCTGGATTTTGTTGGACCGCAGCAGATACAAACGCATTCCAAGGAAAAAACGAGCGTTAATTCAGCATTCATAAGCGTGAACGAAGGTGACGAAGCCAATCGTGTGTTTCCATTCCAACCCACACCTAGCGGTAATCTCAAGATAATTCCAAATCAGGTAAAAAAGATCACACATGGTGGATACAGCGAAACTCGTTCAGAAATATCGGACTCGAGGCATACATAGCATAGTCGTTCTAGGTTGTGTTCGAGTCAAAGAAATTCAGCGTTCTTGTTGCCGATCCGCGAAACACGAAGATCAACGTAAAGACCGAACTCGGCCGGTCCAACGGTGACGTTGATGCGTCCACTTCCGGCTGTTCGAACCGAACGAAATATATCGATCTCCCACCTGGCGTAACGCCGTCGACGATCAATCAGTTACAGGTAAAATTTATATTTTTGAGAGAAGAACTAAACGACTTTTTAAAAAGAACAGAATAAATAAAAATATTTTTTCTAGTTTTTATAGAGTTTAAATTAAAATTATTGAATATTAATTTTGAACTTTAATAAAAGAAGAAGATTTTAATGAAAATTATGTTGTAAGTATCGTTCGACTTCTGCAACAGACGCAGAAGAAGTTGCCTTACGTCGAAGCAAATTACAGATCACAATTACAGCCAAATACGAGACTGAATTTGCTGGAAATGGAACAAAAGCAAGCAGTTGAATCTACGTCCCACGAAGTACCTTCGTTAACCGAAATTCCACTTGCCTCGTTAGTGTTAAAGTTTGTCGTTTGTAAATTTTACAGAGAGACTTTTGTACACACTAATCTCGAGAAATATTATTTATCTTTATTACGTTAGGCTGGGTTTTACAAACGAGCAGCCGATCAATTGGAGCAATATAATTCTTCCAGAAAAGACCGACTTGTACCAGGAATTAGCTAGGCGTATCATAAATTACAAGTAGATAAAAAAAAACAATTTTAAATAATAAACTTATTTATCTTTTATATGTTTATTTATATGAATAATATATTTAAAGAAATGCTGACTGTGTCGTCCGAATCGACAACGACGAGTTTTACTGTCATCTTCTCGTTCTCCAAAGTTACAGCACGTTTTTCGACGAGAAAAATTACAAGGATATTGATTTGTCCGGTGTAAGATATTTACGTAAATTTTTATTATTTTTACGTAAATATTTTTATTTAAGTTTTTTTTAAATATTGTGTTATTTACGTAATTTTACAATTCAAGAGTTGTGTATTACTAAGATTGTTTATTTGGAACACTCAATTGCGATATCATATAAATTTACATTTAGAGCAACGTAACTTCCAAGGCGTTCTCTATTATTTACGATTGGATGATAAGTCCAATCAACGAAAGTTGCCAGCTATTACGAAGAGATAACATCTTGGAAATATTTATGGCCGCGCAATATCTCGGTATTAAAGGTGTGACTTTATATTTTGCATTTCAAATATTCCTCTTAAAAGAGAATAAATATTTTATTTCGGGAAATAAGAAAAAAGAGGTTAATCGCAAAATGTGCAAAATTATATTAATAAATTTCCCGTTAAAATTATGTTTATATTTTAAAAAAGAATTGGAGGAACAATGCTGGGCGTTTATTGATAATGACGAGCTGTTTTCCGAAGACACTGCTTTCCTATTATATTTGGAAGCGAAGAAGATCGGAAACACCGCTGTGATGGAACTAATGGTGCCAAGAATCATGAAGTTTTTCCTGATGCTCGTCAGCACAAAAGATTTTTTAGAGTTATCAGTAGACGAGTTATGTTTGTTACTGAAATCCAATTACATTTGCGTTAATAGGTATAATTATAAATACATATTTACGTGTTACTTAATATTAATTGAATAGTCAGTTTTATAACAATAGTTTATATAACGCAGTGAAATGGAGGTTCTAATGTCTGCTGTAAGATGGTTGATGCACGATTGGGACGGTCGAAAACAATTTATGTTAGAGGTGCTCAAATGTGTTCGATTCGGACTTATAGCTCCGTGGCAATTGGTGGACGTCAAAAGAAATCCCGAAAATCCGGAATTTATGGAACTTATGTCATATCCTGAAGTCCAGAAAATGGTGGACGATGGCCTTGCGTACGACTCTCTATTCATAATTCTAAATATAATAAACACATCCGCGAAGTTTATGCATAAAATACGCATAGTATTGAATTAAAATGTCAGAAGCAAGATATAAATATTTTTATGCAAAATATACGTTACATAATTAATATTTAAATGAGTTTTAAACACAACATGACCTTTATGCATGAAATATACGTAAAATTAACTTAAGCAGAAGCATAGTATTTAATAATAGCAAGCCATGCAGTTGACATTGAAAAAATAAATTCTTTTTACACACTTCGTCATAGTTTATGTAATCAAGAGTCTCTATACAAATTTTAATAATTTCTATACAGATTTGTTATTATAAAATATTGGTATGGCAATCAAACAGAAGATTATTACCACTGGATCGATTTGCTAGGGCTTAGCGAGCCGACCAATCGCAACTGGGCAGGAGAAGACAAAGTAAATAATGTTTTATTTATCTGACATAATTATTTGATATATGTAGAAAATTATGAGAAAATATAAGGACAGTTATCGAGTTGATAATATGTTGTTGTCAACGTATATTACCGATCACTTAATAATAGATTAATAGACGAAACAATTCAATGATTTGTTTTAATTTTCATAAATATTAACAGCAATTCCAGGAGCTTACCTACTTCGACATATATTTATCGTTTAGATGTAGAGTTGTTTAATCCATTACTCAATATTACTGCTCACATCCCTAATTATTATAAAGAACTAATTTCTTTGCACACTCTTATAATTGAAAATAATTCAAGTGAGGGTTGAAAGATTTCGGGAAAGATGAAGAGAATAACAGAGATAAGTTTCGTACGAACGACAGCGCTGAACTCCTTATATTTTTCCATTATTTCTTTTTTTTATAACTTTTTGAACACCACAATTATTATTTGTATTAATTATTTTTTTTACGAATTGTTTTTTAGAACTACGTAACGTATCGTGAGTTTTTGTTATATCTTGAAGAATATCAAAAAACAAACATCTCAGATCTAAAGTCTAAGAAAATGAGAACAAAACCTACACCGCCCAATTCTCCGCCGAAAGATTACTCACCATCATCGCCGGAAAGAACGCACGCCGATTGCAATCAAAACTGTTGTTGCTTAAATTCACGTTCTTTAGGTATAAATTAATACAGATATATTGATATTTTATTATATATAAAATAAAATATGTAAAATAAAAGAAACTTAAAATATGAGGGTAAAAATCAAAATCGATCTACATACAAATAAATCAAGTGATCACTTTATTTTATTTATGTTTATTTGTAGAACAACATAACGCAACGCAGAGTAGAGGATCAAGAAAATACGTGGCGAAAGTCGCATCCTCAGGAATGGTGATTCCACCTGAAATCTTGACCGAATATCTGAGCAATATGGGTAGAAGTAACAATTCAAGAGCAGTAAGTAATTTGTAATTGTAGTTATTATTAATATTTTTATTAATATTTCTATTATATGTATTACAATAATGCGGCTAGTTTAACACGCAGAGCAAATCGCAGTGCGACGGAAATAGAAACAACAAATCTCAATCATCAAACGCGAAATATCGCGGGGGAGGTGAATCTCCACGAAAACCTGTGGAATTCTTAAAGATCGCGAAAAATACATACGAACATCAGCGCGAGGTATGAAAATAAAAGAATAAATATGTAAACTATTATGTTAAAATCACTTCTTGACGAAATTTCTTACGTCAAAAGATATGCATAAAAATATGTAATCAATTAGCATGAAGATAAAAAGTTACAGGTGCTACTACATTGTTTATCATTAAACAATAAGTATTTAACACGTGTGATTGTGAACTTCGATTTGTAGTGTTTCTAACAAAATATTTGTTTTTTTTTTTAGGATGCGGATAAATCGAAATACGATAGACAAAATGCTACATTTTCTAGACAAAAGCAACAAAAAACGACAAAAACGTCAAAATATTTTGAAGATCGCACAGACTCCTCTAAATCCGAAGAAGAAGCGGCTACTGTGATACAGGCTACATACAGGGGATATAAAGTTAGGAGAAAGTTTGGAGAAGTTAGTAATTGTTAAAATAATTATTTTTAGTAGCAAAATCTAATTTTGAAAATATCATTGATTGTGTTCTTTTTTTCTCTATTATTTCTGTACTAGCACAACACAGGCGCGCGCTACGCGCGCGCTATTGTTATTTTTATTTAACGTGTTGTCAGTGAACACAACCTGTCACCGCGATGACAGATACTATATACGTCTTATAAACCATATATATAATACACATATGAGAAATGTCAGAAATAACGCATGAAAATCAAACTCACAAAATAGTGAGAGGGAGAAGTGGAAAAACAACGCAGTCGCGCGGCCGAGGGCAGTGACTCCCCCGCAGTCACGCGACCGAGGGCAGTGACTCCACCGCAGTCGCGCGACCGAGGTCATTGACCCCGCTGCGGTCGCGCGACTGCGGTCAGTGACCCCCTCCCCACCAAGGCCGCGCGCCCGAGGTCAGTGCTCCGCCAAGGCCGCGCGGCCGAGGTCAGTGACCCCGTCAAAGTCGCGGGACGGAAGTCAGTGACATTACTGTAGAATGTATATAATACATATAATACAATAAAAAGTATAATATTATAAATATATAATAAATTATATGTATAATATGTATTATTTAATGTTATATATAATATAAATTACAGTCACGTTATTTTCACGTGCTGTTTTTAAATTTACACATATCATAACTCTCTTTTTTCTCTAATTACGCATTAATAAGATTAAGAAGTCGTCTTCAGAGGAGAAGCAGAACACTCAAAAAGTGGCCGAACTGTTGTCTGCGACTCAAGACTGGACCTACCATAAATCATTAAATCCGGTTAAAGCGTTCAACAGTGTTGTCAATCAGAATAAAAATACACTACACAATATGTAAAGCAATGCAAGTAAAAAATGTAATTTAACATCATGTAATAAACACATATACATATATTTCTTTTTTTTAGAAAAAAATAAAAAGTACTTTTTTATCTTTATGAGTGTAAATACACATCTTGAAATTGCTCAATGCGTTTGCTTGTCAATTACTATGTCGGCGACGTGCAAAGTGCGATGAGAACTACTGTCGTTGATCAAATTTGTTTTTATTATATCAAGTGACGCAAAATAATGCGCGTCATGTACTGACAATGAGATAACTTAACAAAAGAAACGCAGAGAAGATGCAATATAACTATGAGCCAGTCTCACTCGCTTATATATGTGGCACGCATTTTTAAAATTCCTTATATACATTCCCAGTATATGTTTACTAGTTATCATACATATGTGTGCTCATCCGATGACAGATATATTTCGATATTCACTGTCAGTGCTGAAAACGTGATGTCATAAAGTAATGATGATATGACAAATTTCTTAGATACAAAGTTCGAGCGATAAGATTTTATGGAAGGTGAGATGAAACGTAAGGTTATAACATTACATTGTTGCATTTTGTAGCAGGTTTTAAATACATATAATTGGCTATTGGATAAAGTTTCTTTTAAAATTCTTTTTAAAGAATAGTTGATTAAAATCTTCTGTTGAATGAAAAAAACACAGCAATGTAAACTTAGCCTGAGAGAACATTATACAATTTAAAATAAATCTTGTTGGAAAAAATATTGTTAAAAATTTAATTTGAGAAGATAAAAAAATTTAATTTTGCTTTGATTTGTAATCTTTTGGTGTATTGAGTATTATACCGAGTGCATACCGATTTCTCTACAGCACTGCGAGTACTAAAATACACTATAGTAAATTTCCAACGAGCTTGCGAGAGCATGTGACTCATGTGACGTCATAGATTTTGTCATCACTTTTTACTATCGTTATTAAAACTCGCAAGGTAAGATATTTGCAGTAGAAAGCTAGCGGTGTTTGTGAAACATGTGTGGAGATATGTTTAATTAAACTTTGATAGACGCAGAAACTAACAAAAAAAAAAAATAATTTTTATTATTTATAACTTATAAAATCTATTACAAATATATATGTATGTAGTACTCTTCTTTGAATTCAAAATCTATATATCTAGTTTTTCAAAATGTTCTTTATTTTATATATTATATGCGCGTTCTCTGTGTATATAACGTATATAAATTTTATATTTTATATTATTTATTTTACCGAAAGTGTTTTTTGAATTTATCATCTGTATATGCAAAACCAATTTATAATATGCAATGCGCTTGTGATATTAAAAAACCTTTTCAAAAATTTTGATAAAAATTCATCGTCTTCACCTGAAGAATTGTCTGATGCAGATGAGTAATAAAATATTATAACTTTTTACTACTTGTGTTAAGAACGTAGCTGTCAACATTATTATTGGTTATGTTCAATATTTATCCAATTGTTTTGCAACAGAACGCTTATACTCTGAATATCGTTTCATTATAGAGCAGAAAAAGCACTAGGAGAGCAATTACGGAACGCATCGCCAGCACTTTTTTATGACATCACATTCTCAGCGCTGACAGTGAATATCGAAATACATATAGCTATCATCGGATGAGCACATATATATGATAACTAATAAATATATACTGGGAATGTATATAGGGAGTTTTAAAAAGGCGTGCCACATATATAAGCGAGTGAGACTGACTCATGAATCGCAGTTATTAGTAGGATATGGAATAAGACAGATGCTAAAGTGTGTCGTACGAGAGTATAGTAAACAGGTTTTTCGCATCATGGAGAGACCAATAGTGACTGTGAAACAGGGAAAATTGCAGGGAATCATCGAAGAAAATCTTCTCGGTTCTCATTATCTTTCTTTTAAAGGAATTCCCTTTGCTGCTCCACCAGTAGGCGAGTTAAGATTCAAGGTGATCATTTTTTCAAACTTCTCAAGTAACATTTTGTACTTTATACTTTATATTTATTCTTGACCCTCGCTCATTTGTGATTTATCTTGATTTTAATCGATTCATACTTCTTTATAAGTATATCGATTTTTTTAAATATGATAATATATGAAAAATATAAAACCATTGAGTATAAAAATAGTAATAAAAATAGTAATTAAAAAACATAAAGAATTAATGCAAAATACTTGTGTGTAAGAATGTACAATATGTTAATAGTATAATATCTTAAATAAATGCGACCGAACGGCAATAAAAAATTATATAGAACAAAACACAGTATAAATGTTTTTTATTTTCTTTTCATTAATCTAAGCATGGTGAAAATTATTCAATCTAATAAATGTTAATTAGACTATAAAATTTTGCAACTTATTATATCTTAATTTTAATAATCATTTCGATTTCATTGTTTGGATTCTCTACGGTACTGAAAAAAATATAAATGTGTTTGCATTTAGATATTAACAATAAAAATACTAAGTATAGGATTGCAAAAAAAATTACGTTTTATAAAAAATAAAAAAATATCCATAGCTAAACGAAGTAAAACTCCGAAAATTCAGTTTTACTAATTTAGTTATATTAATTTTTTGCTTTCAAAAGAAAAATCTCATTATTTGCTTTTATATAAAACATACATTTGTAAAAATATCTTACAATACTCTTTTTAAAGATTCATTTAATACATGAAAACACAATTTTATCGTTATTCCAAATCAGGATCCGCAACCTCCCGCTTCTTGGACAGGTATCCGAGACGCATCGAAAAATGCGGGCGACGTTAGCGCGCAATTTCATGAATATCCGACAAAAAGAGTTATTGGGGGCGAAGATTGTCTTTACCTCAACGTTTACGTACCTCACACTCTTCACGGAACAACACGAAACCCGGTAATGGTTTGGATTCACGGTGGTGCCTTTCACATGGGTTCTGGCAATGACACTGAGAAGCGACCAGATTACCTCATTGCAAAAGACGTGATTCTGGTGTCTATAAATTACAGACTTGGTGCTTTAGGTGAGACATGCTTAACAGAGCTCAACTCTTGCATGATTGTTCGATTATCTCTTATCGATTGCTACTTATCTTGCTGATAACTAAAATGATATACAGAATAAGAGTGTAATTACGTATCTATCTAAAACTTTACACCGAAAAAATTATATTCTTGTAAGTAGAAGATTTTATACTTAAAAAATCTTCTTCAAGATTTTATAGATGATATTCTTCTGAAATTAAGAATATATTCTTTATTTAAGAATATAGTCTTTTTCGATAGTGAGATATATATGTTTTTCTATAGAGGCTTTTTATATTCTAATCAGTATATATTCTTATCAATATTACTATTTAGATGATTTTTCTCTTAAAATAAGAAACTCTTCTTGGCGCCTATTTTAGTATAAAATATACTTAAAGTAAGTGGGATATCCTCAAAACAAGAATACAATTTTTTCGGTGTATTTATAAAGATATTTACGAGGCTGAATTCTGAAATAATTCCTGAAATCATTATTTAAGGATTCTTAAATCTTGGTCACGAGGTGGCAAGCGGTAATCAAGGCTTGAAAGATCAAGTGGCAGCGTTGAGATGGATTAAAGAAAACATCGAGGTTTTCGGCGGCGATTCAAACAACATCACCATTTTCGGAGTGAGCGCGGGTGGTGCGAGCGCGCATTTGTTAACATTGTCACCACTCGCTAAGGGTATGCAATATGCATGTATACACTACAGAACGCTCTAATTTGCAAATTTTAATAAAATTTTTACCGTCATTTGTTTGTTCAAAATTTATATATGAAATTATATATCTTGAGCATGTCTTGAATATTGTTTTTAGGTCTTTTCCAAAAAGCCATTTTTCAAAGTGGTGTAGCCACGTGTGATTGGGCGGTGAGAGAGGACCAGCCGGAATCTTTCGGTCTTGCATCGTTATTCGGCAAAGATTCGCAGGATCCCGTGGAAGTTGCTGAGTTTCTTCGAACAATACCTGCGGCCGCAATTGCCAAAGCGCAACACAAAGTTTCCAATGTAAAAAAATAATATTACATATATTCATGAGATTAATGGATTTTATTTAAAAGATATTGCTTATCTTTAATGATAAATTTGTAAAACATGATATTGTGTTTCTGTGAATATTCAAGAAACTTACTGCGAATTATGTATCCAGTCTTATCACATTCGGACCCACGATTGACAAAACAGCTAAGACACCTTTTCTGCCGTGCGCCGTTTCTAAACTGCTTGATAATGGCAATAATATACCAATTATTGTTGGTTATACTTCTCATGAATATATCATGTTTATTAGAGGTATCAAAAAATTATTGCATCGCAACAAATTTTTATATTTATTGCAGACTACATCGTATAGCTTTATATCTTCTGTATCTTCTTGAGTAACTTTTGTAAATCATTTATATCATTTGTTTGCAGATACCGATAAAAAGTTTTTAGAGGCGAAAGAAGCAGAGATACCGAATTACGTGGCCAAAGTTGCGAACACACAGGATCCGGAAAAAATAAAACAGTTAACCGAACTAATTAATCAGAGGTATTTTCAAACAAAACCAAGCAGTGAGAATATGATGCCTTATATACGATTTTGGAGCGATCTTCACTTTGACATTCCTGCGAAAAGTCTCGCTGATTATCGAAGAAAGAAGAATCAAGCGCCTACTTACCTCTATAGATTTTCTTACGTTGGTGACGAGATCACGTCGACGAAGCTTATGGGAAACAAGTTTGCCTCGCTTGGTACATGAATATTTATGTAATGTGCGCGAATCGTAAGATTCTTATAATATATCATCCCAAAAGCTAAGATACTTTGGATATATATATAACATAAATATGTAAACGTTTAATATGTATTATTTTTTAACTGGTGTATTTAGGCGCTTCTCATTCTGACGAGACGTCGTATCTGTTTTACAAACCTGCATGCAAGACTGATAATCCTGAACCGCCGGCGATAGGAACGGAGGATCGAAAAGTGATGGAAATACTTACTACTTTGTGGACAAACTTCGCGAAAACAGGGTAAAACTAAGAATCATGAAAAAAAATAAAAATATAAAATATATTTGATAAAAGATTATAATGGTAAACAAATTTTTCAGAGATCCTACATCCGTTGTCGATCGGTATATAACTTCTAAATGGTTGCCAGCAACATCAAATGCCTTCAATTACTTAGAAATTAACAATACTCCTGAACTGTCAACTGTTGCTGATGACGATATTACATTTAAGTTTCAAGAAATGATTGAATGTTAATTTAATATATTACATAAATAATACTTTTACTTGAATAATATTTTTTCGCATAGATACTTATAATATTAACAGAAAAGACGTATATAATATATATGTTTGTGCAATTTTTATATAAAATTAACTGATAATAACTGATAATATTGATTTCTATAATAAAACTGTTAAATATATTTATACATAATGGAAATATTACGTTTTTAAAAAGAAAGTAGGTATATGTATTTACGTGTATATTCAGTTAAAAAATATAATCTTGTCAGATTATCGAAGAAAATAAAAAAAAATAAAAAGTGAACGTAAACACTACAGCCTTCATACGTCAACATATAGAGTGTCCCATTTCTCGGAATTTCTAGGAAAATATGCAGTTTTGAAAAAAAATATTTGAGACAAAAGTTGCAGAGTATTAGTAAAGTGATATATTTAATGATACATTTAACATTATTTAATGATACACTTAACAGTTTGACCTTGAGTAAAGTCGTCAATGTCGGATCACACAGTTACATCAATTTTTTTAAATAGAACTTAAATATTTTTTTCAAAAATGCATACTTTCGGAGAAATTCAGCTGATCTGGAATATACAAGACACCCTGTATATCTATACTCGTATACGTGATACTTATTGTTTAATGTAGATTTAATCTTATTTTCTTAAAAAAATGGAATAAAATAATCTTAATAATCTAATCGCATGGCAATTAATTTTGCAAAAATCGTTGATAACCACCGTTGTCAATACTAAAGATTATTTTCTTTTCTGTTTGATTGTAATCATTTTAATCTAAACATTACATAATAAAAACATTAGGTGAAGTAGTAAAGTAAGTTAATGATAACCACAATAACCAAGGTTTTATTTTATTGTAATCGATTACGATAAAATAAAATAGTAAATATAGCATAACATACAACATTATCTACTCAAAACATATTAGATCAAGTATGCACCTCATTGTTACGATATTTGTATTGTATGTGCGTGAACAAGAAATATATTAATTAAAATTTATTTTTATAACTGATTAGTTATATTTATTTTGTTTAATAAGATAAAAATGTATTTTGCATTTGATTCATAAATGTTTCATGTTATTGTTTAATTTTGGATATTTTTCTGATGTAACAAATCACTAACAATCAGAAAGTCTCCTTGTTTTCATCATTGTTATCTTAATTATCTCTGATGCAATTGCACATATCTCTTATATTATATATTATATAACCTTAGACTTTGAATCACCTCATATATTTGTTTATTAATAATGTTAATTATTTTGTATACGATAAGATACAAGTATAGATAAAAAACTACATATATATATATATATAATAATCTGTAATTTATTCACAGTTATTCATATTACATGTACATATATAAAGATAGAATGGTATTTGTTTTAAAGAATAATTTTATAAAATATTCACGCGCTTGCGCACACAGTGTATACATGTACGTATGATGTAAGGAGATACATCATGTATATATACGAGTGATTGTCGTAATTATTGTCGGTCAGTTCGAGTCAGTCGTCCATACAATGGCGAGCTACTCGGTTCTCGGAGTTGCATTTTGCATTAGTTTAGGTGTCACTCGCGGTTTTACTGATGACATATTATCAATTCCCAAGGATTTACTGTTAGGCACTGCTTCGGCCGCTTATCAGATAGAAGGAGCTTGGAATGAAGGTGGTACGTAAAGTTTTTTGTTAAAACTATTATAGAACGTTCAATATTCTATAGTGATCTTATTTTATTATATTATTTTAATTTACAACCTAGAGCACTTTTAAATATTTTATAATTATTTGATATAATGAGAATTTTTCCGGACTTGATTAAATAAATCCATATCAATAGAATAGGCAATTATAAACACATTTACACAGTGACAATCATATTTTCAGCATAAATGAAAGCATATTTTTTTACGCGTCTATGTACATACTTCTAACTACGCGTTAACTTTTTAAATTTACAAAGCTTACTAAAGCTTTTTAAGCTTTCACATTTTTTTACATCTTTTTTACGTAACATATATATAATGTTTCGTATATATAGCGATGTTTATATTCAATATATTTACGTATTACGTATTTATTTGTGTATGTTCGGACGATAGAATGTTCAGATATTAAGATTATTCGGATAATGGGAGTGTCTAATGTACCAGCTAAAAATAATTTAAAAATAAATCAAAATATTGATAGTTTTAGTTAAATATTCCGCACAACAATCTGCGCTCACTTGGATATTTTAATTTTATTGGTATAATTATTTGATTATTCACAAATACTATACTGCTTTTTTTATTTGAAAAATGTACACTGAGAAGAAACATTGTGTCAACAATGTGTATTTAGTTCAGAGTGTAAATTATTACCTAAAATATTTGTTTTTCTAATCTATAAAAGTCACACAATGTTTCTTCGAAGTAATGAATATTCGATTGATAACCTTTGACTGTACCGCAGTTGGAAAAACATATACGAAATACGCTTTCGTCGATTTAGTAGTTGTTTTGCAGATTTATAATTTATTTTTTATGACGCATATAATTTTTAATTTAATGCAAAAAGGCAAGGGTGAAAGCGTTTGGGACAAGTGGACACACGAACACCCAGAAAACATAATTGATGGAAGTAATGGCGATGTGGCTTGCGATTCTTACCACAAATACAAGGAAGATGTACAATTATTAAAAACCATGGGAGTAGGTTTTTTGCTTGTATTGTATATTTTATTAGAAGGATATTTATAACGCGCAAAATATTGAAAATCAAAATATAATTGTATTTTAGGTTGATTTTTATCGGTTTTCTCTCAGTTGGACGCGTATCTTACCAAATGGTTTCGCTAACGTGATCAATCAGGAAGGGCTCAATTATTACAAAAATCTCATTGACGAACTTCGGGCAAATGATATCGAGCCGTTTGTCACTCTTTATCATTGGGATCATCCGGAAATTCTGGAAAGGATGGGAGGATGGACTAACGAAATGATGGTCGACTGGTTCACCGATTATGCGAAAGTTGTTTTCAAGGAGCTCGGACCTAAAGTCAAATACTTTATGACTCTCAACGAAGCTCACATTGTTTGCAATGAAGGATATGCGACAAAACAAAAAGCGCCAGGTATATACATTACGTGTATCTTATTTATTGTTTAACGGAAGATGAAGCAACTTAAATTAAATTTTACTTCTAAAAAAAAAAAAAAAAAACATGATTCTTTAGGGAAGGAATTGGGCGATGTCGGTAGATTTCTGTGTCTGCACAACATGTTGAAAGCGCACGCCAAAACTTATCATATGTACGACACGCAATTTCGACCACAACAGAAAGGTCAGATAGGTTTAGTTAACGCTTGCTCGGGCGCATTCGCCAAATATCCCAATGACACCACAGCGGTGAACTTGCATTTTCAATTTACGTGCGGATGGTTGGCTCATCCCATTTTCTCGACGACCGGTGATTATCCGGAGGTCATGAAACGTCACATAGCCGAGAACAGCAAACTGAGAGGTTTCTCAAAATCGCTTTTACCGGAATTCTCGGAAGCGTGGGTGCAGTTTATCCAGTAAGCAATCATAAGTAATACAATGTGTGATCCATCAGTAATTATAAAGAATAAAAAACTGAGAAAACAAAAATGTGATAAAAGTACAATAGAAATAATTTATTGGCGCATCAGACGCGATCGGAACGTAATTAACGAGGATCTCTGATCAAACATTAATACTTGAAATCTTACATTTTTGTTTTTTACTTTGTTAGGGGTACGTCGGACTTTTTCGGAATAAATCATTACACTTCGAAACTTGTGGAAACAATGCCGCACACTGATGGGAAAGAGTGGTACTCCTTTTCCGGTGTGAAAGAAAGCGTAGATCCATCGTGGCCGGGAAGCGCTTCGAATTGGCTTAAAGTTAGTTAGCACGAATGCAATAGATTATTTTTGATGCGTTTTTTTAAGATACTTATGCATGTAAAATGAATATATTTTAGGTTGTTCCCGAAGGATTTCGACAAATTCTCAATAAGGTTTCGGAAGAATATAATTATCCTCCCATCTTTGTTATGGAAAACGGTTTTTCTTACAAGTGCTGTGTCACTGATGATCGTTTAAGAATATCTTATTATCATTCTTATTTAAAGGCGATGCTAGCCGCCGTTAAATTAGACGGATGCAAAGTGAAGGCTTATGCTACTTGGTCTGTATTAGACAATTTTGAATGGAAAAATGGTTATAAGTAAGTTAATATATCACCTTGGTCTACGCATCTTGATAAATTCATAAATAATCTTATCAGAAAAATAGTAAGAAGTATTAATAAGTGGCGCTGTCAGATAACACATTTTCTCTTGGAAAATAAATAACACGATTTAATTGAATATGTTTTTTTTGACAGAGAACGTTTTGGATTGATAAACATCGACTTCACGGATCCCAATCGAACACGAACTCCGAAATTGTCAATGAGCTGGTACGCAAATGTCATAAAGACTCGTAAACTTTTGCCCATCTCGAACTCGTCGGACGTAATCGTAATCGCTGTATAATATATAAATATTATATAAATATATACGTATGTAAGAGCGCGCCGTCCTTAAACTCCTTGCACAATGGAAGAAATAGCGATAGCGATAGAAATAACACTAGTTTTAAAGAGTTTATATCTATAAATAATAATAGGAACAGCGGAATCTAATTAGATACAAGCATACACATGCATCAATGCAGATCAGAAAACGGAATAAGCAATAACGTAATAAAATTTTCGACGAGTTGTACGCAATGCAAGAAGAGCTGTGCAATAAAACTTTCCTAAGACAGCTAATTGTGTCGTGATTGAATCCCGGCCGTCACATATTACACGTAGTTATATGCAGTTTTATGAAAAAACCGCGCGTTTGTGTGAATATATATTTTTCAGTATTTAATTATTTTGAGATAAGTATGTTTAACATTGCAGTGAGGATAAGTACGTTTAACATACATATCACATATAAAGTTATGCATACGATATTTTTCATATTTTTCTGACAAGGACTTATTATAAAACAGAACACGCAAGTATTTGTGATATGATATATGTATATTTCTATGTAAATTAACTTTATATAGTAATAATACAGATCTTTACAATAAAACTGCTGAATACATTTATAAATAATATAAGTTTACGTTTTTAAAGAATACATATAGTTGTTTTATGTGTGTACATCCAGTCAAGTATATGCTATATAGATATAATAACATTATAACTGCTCACGAGATATATCGCATGTGTTCAGTTATGTACATACGTGTTTTCTAAAAACTTTTCCCGCATTTGCATAAAACGTAAGTGCCAATTGTCTCTATATAAGTAATAAAAATTTCTAAAAAATATTTCGAAATATTATATTTAAAAAATTGAAATAACCGTAAGTAAATCTCAAAAAGTTCGAATTATTATTTCAATTACATTTAACATTTGAATAAAAAAAAAAAAACAAACAAATTAAGATGCCAATCGCGCGATACAAACCTTTTGACTTTTTCACAGATTCTTGCAAAATGACGGACAAAAGTACAGTGTTTTAGTATGAATTTTTTACAGAAATAACTGCTTATTTCAACGATAATACGTATCTCTTTCATCAAATTGGTGTGTTGATTTAATTTAATAAAATAATTTGGAGATTTGAATAGTAAAAACGAGCAAATATATATTACGGATTCAACACGGTACGTATTACGCTCCTACACTTGCCTAAAAAAAAAATTTTTTTTACACATCCGTGACTTCTCGCAAACAATGCAATTTGTGTGTGTCGCTCGCAAAGGATTCGAAGGTCTGCCCGCTTTAATCTAATTAAAAAAAAAAACATCTTTACTTGTTCCAGAACGCGAATGCTTTCTGTATCCTTTCGTTGTGCGACTTTCCTGTGATTATAGCGGTGGGATACGCACGTTGCGCCACGGGAACCTGCGAACCGTCCGATGTTCCGCTCTCTCTCTCGAACATCCTCGCTGTGCGACTCACGTTCCCGGTCGGGAGATATTTATCACGAGTGTTACATTCGCTTAATATCCTTGAGTCCGTACTCTCGCCGGTAACTGCAAAATTGTGAAATTTCGACAATGATGGTGTTTTACGCAACAAGCGACAATCACAATCCAGACAGCACGTGTGTTGTCTAACTATCTATTAATTTGCATCTGAAGAAAGTTAAAAAAAAAAAAAAAACGTCTGTCTAGAAAATTATTATTTTCTTTAGAAATTGTTTTAAAGAAAACATAATTCTGAGATACATGTTGTCTGGAAATGTTTGTGAACAAATTTTATTTGGGTTTTCACACACCTTTTCGCACAGAATTAGTCTCACACGAAGCTTTAGTCACATCACTCTTTGTACTAGCTACCTTGCCATCGTCCGTAGTACTTTCCGTAACGTGAGAAGAAACGTCCTCGCCTTGCGTCGAAGAACTTGTCAGAATCTCCTTAGTTAAATTCCGCTTTTCTTCCTCTTCCATCAATGTTCGTTTGTTTTCCCGAGTGTGAGTCTCGTGATCTGTCTCTTCTTCGGTGATAGAAACTATCCCTTGCTCGTCCACTTGCAACGAGAATGTTACTTGGCCCGAACTGCAATCGCCTATTCCGGAATCGCGCGAATCTCCTCGAAACACTTTGCGCAACGCCTGTGGCTTTGATCTCGCATGCTGCTCCATTTCCGAGGGGAAATTGTCGAGCTTTTTGGTCTCTTTTGACACTAAAATTTCTAAATGTGTTACAACGTCTTGTCTCCTATCATCTTCCATCTTCGAAACTAATTCCGTATCTAATTCAGATGTTTCTTTCTCGATATCGACCTGTTTCGAAGAACCGTTCAAATCGCTTTCTTCTTCTTCTTCTTCTTCTTCCGGTGTATTTTCTATCATCATATTCACTTCCGTCACACACGTGGAATGAAAACTCAAACGTGCTTCCGCTTCGGCCGAATTTTCTTCCACCGCACTTTCGTGTTCCGTGTCTTCGGTATCAATGTCGACCGATTTGATTTTCTCATCGGGATCTTGTATGTCAATGCTGTCGAATTGTTGCTCGAGCGTCGGCGACAATTCCGCTGTCGACGTTGGACTGTGGCGTCTACTGTGCGCCGAAAGAATCGCCATTCTTCCCAACGCGCGAATAGCATTTCCTGTTTTCTGTTAAAGTAAAACACACACTCCGGGCTTTAAACGAGCATGCCGTGTTCAAACGTGACGCAACAAACTACAGGAAGCGCGCTACGCCTAATAAGTACTTATTAATGTTACGCTGTGCGCAAAACAAACTTTTCGGTTAATAGAATCTTCGAGAAACAATTATTGAAAAATTATGTGCAATTTAATTAAAAAAATGATGTGAGTCTTTTTAGTAAATTATTTCATTTCCTTTGTTACGCACCTGCCACTTTCTTCTTATGATAAACTTCTTCAGTTTTTCCGTCGGCAGAGCTACTCCCCTCACAGTCGCGTTGTGTTCCGCCATCCACGGATGGTCTAGACACTGTGTGGCCGACATGCGTAATCTGCGTCGCGAAAACAATCAATACATAAGGAGTAGAAATATTTGTGTAATTCGCTAGAAAATTACAAAAAGAAAAAAACTTACTCCTTTCGTTTAATGAGCAAGTTGCTGATAAAGTCTTTCGCGTTATCCGAAATAGCGTCGAAAGCTTCGTCGTCCAGATCGTAGTCCGCTCGCGTGATGTTGGCAAAGGTCTCGGCATCGTTGTCCCCCATGAAAGGCGACAAACCGGTCAATCTGCACATACATTACGATTACGATCAATCAGTCCAGACCCACGCTGGGAAAATAATCAATACTTACAGAACGTAACAAATTACACCGACGCTCCACATGTCCGACTCGATGCCAATCGGCTCGTAATTGATAATTTCCGGTGGAATGAATTCCGGGGTACCGAACAGCACTCTAATCGGAGTGTCGGGTTTTAGAGTCTGAGCCAATCCGAAATCAATCAGTTTGATCTGATGAGACGTTCGCGTGCAACACATAATATTTTCTGGCTGCAAGACGAAATGTGAAAGAGGTTTAGCATCGAGATTAAAAACCAAAAACTGCAATAATTACGCTACTCGTGAAAAAAAAAAAACGTACTTTCAAATCTAGATGTACGATTTTGTTTTTGTGCATGTATTCGACTCCCTCACAGATTTGTCTCATGAAGAGAATGCTGTCCCACTCGGTTAGAGTAAAATCGTCAGCCACGACTCTCTCGAACAGTTCTCCACCTGAGATACTGTAGAGAAATTGTTCAAGTATATTGTGATATTTCTTTTTTCAGAGCAAAGTATTTATATCTCAATTGTACTTACTATTCTGTAACCAACACAGTTTCGCGGGGACTCTCGTAAGCAGCGGCTAGTAAAAGAAGTTTCGGATGCCTCAATATGTTCATGATTCTGATTTCCTCGCGTACTTGTTCGCGATCTTTCGCTTTTATGGTTCTGACGAATTTCGCAGCGAAACTCATTCCCGTCGCCATCTCGGTGACCCTTTTGACCACCCCGTATCGGCCCTTTCCAAGTTCCTCGAGAACTTTGTATCTTTCGTCAAAAAGTTTTCCCGCTTCCGGTTCTACCACACGAGCTTCGAAGATCGGCTCGAATTCGTCTTGAATAAAAAAAAAAAACAGTTTTTAATCACGTTTATCAGAAAAATCTTGTTCTTTCAAAAAAAGTGAATTATTGGTAAGAGAATTAATTTCAAATACGGTAGCATCACTTTTTCCGCTTGCTTGGTTATTTGAAACTTGTTGAAATTCGACTCTCGCGTGTCGTTTTTCTTATCGCTCTAACATAAACAATGACATGCTTACTCACAGTTGTAGTAATCTTAGAACGTGCTTTAAAAAATTATATGTTGCGTGTGTATTTAATAACAAAGAAATAATAAAGCGGTAAAAAAGTTTTTTCTCTCTTGAATCTTTTCAAAGTTGGATTTAAAATTTTAATTTTTCTTTCACATTTTCATAAAATTTCATATTTTTGTTAATTATGAAGTAAAAATAGATCGTAAATTTACCTTCTTTTTCCTCTTCGAGCATTGTTTCTCCTTGTTTCGGAATTCTCACTGAATCGGACTCCATACCGGGCTCGCTGAGTCCGTGAATGTTCTCAGCGCGGATCCGGAAGCGGTAGCTCTCACCCGGTGTTATAAAATTCGTTTCAGTCGTCGTATAACTTAACGAGTGACAAGACTCGGCTATTATCGTCCACGTGCTTTCGCTGATGTGTCTCGCCTCCACAGTGTATCCGGTAACCGTGCGACCTCCGTCGTAAGGTGGCGATCGCCAGACGATCGTGACCCGATCTGCACTGCGGATCGCACTGGGTTTATCAGCGGGTGACTCGGGCGGACCTGAATGAAGATCGATTCTTTTACCGAAAGATCGAGGTTTTACCGACTAAAAGTTATCACTTGAACTGAAAGTCACTCAACAAAAGTCATTCTCACTTGCGTCAGTTATTTACGTCAAAGATCGGGGCAATTAAGACGCACATCGATACTTTATCTGCGGTTTTCGTGCGATTGAACGCAAATTCCGCGATGATTTCTCACAGATTCTCGGATCGTGAATCGCGCGCGTTTTGGAAAACTCCGCACGTCATCGCGCTCGCGCGCGCGCTGTTACGTTCGACGTTCGAGATGCGTCGTCACGCGTATTCTATCACGCGATGCACGCGCATAGTCGTCTCGCCGATACTCAAGACGTGTTACCTAAGAAAAGAGGAAAAGGAGGTGGAACACCGACGTGCCGGCTGAGGAAGCGCGGTAAGGAGGAACTATTGCGCGGCGTGTCACGTGAGACTGCCGTCTGCCTTGTACGCGAGAAAAAGAACTGGACCGTGCCTCTTACGCACATGGAACAATAGATGATGATCTCGGGTTTGAGTACCACGCGAGCACAAAGATTCAGCCGCGAGAACTCTATCGCGAAGAAACATCTCGCTGCTCGAGCATTCGACTCGATGCGCGCTCCGCGTTTAATTAAGGTTTAATTAAATCAAGGTCGTTGTCAAGCAGAGACGAACAAACACTTGTAAATTTTCGAGCTCGCAAACGCGAGCTACGCAAAGATATATATAAAAAAAAAAAAAACTCACCTTCGACGGCCAGGCTGAAATATCTTCGTTCCTTGCCCAACGAATTTTCCACCGAGACCTCGTATTTTCCGGCGTGATCGTACGTCACATGGTCCAGTGTCAGGTAAGACACGCCGTTCCCGCTGACTATTTCGGTCTTCTCGTCCGGGCGCAGTTCTCGATTCTTAAATGAGAAATAGTAAACAGAAATATTTATATATTTTCTAATGTATCATCATGGATATTGCTTGTGTACATACGGGACGCGTCAAAGGCACTGGCAACAGTTAGATAAACACAAATAACATATTGATTATATTTAGTTGAGTGCGTGACACCGCACAGAGAGAAGCAATGACACCGACTTACGTATTCCGATTGGCTTTTCTCGAGTTTACACATCTGTTATATTTCGAGTGGGGATTTTATTGTAAGAATTCCTTCGGTACGTGTACATTTCCCGTACACGTGGCTGAAGATAAGCTAACGACCTCTTGAATAATTAACGAAAGTATTTCTGTGCGTCAAGATCGTTCGTCTGTGTGTCTCACATAAACGAGTGCGCGCTCTATTTAGATTATGGTATCTGATTGTGAGTTATATTCGTGTACTGATTCGTAGCGCGAGAAAGTTCACTGTTGAGTTTTTTTACGTGTAAAAGACTGTGCGTTTTTTTCAACAGCGAAACTTTTTCGTTCACGTGTAAAAAAAATCTACTTGCGTGATAAGAAAATTATGCGTTATTAAAGCGTTAGAAATTAATAGCACTCGTTCTAGTTGGTGTTGCCTAAAATTAGGCAGGTAAGCGATAGAGGATAGAAGTCAGGTAGGTAGGGCCGCGGCTTTAGAAATCTACAGGTAAATTTTCCACGCATTTTAATTTCTCCCCTTGTACATTAGATCGAGAGAGATGGACGAAGTTACGGATCGAGTTTAGGTATATGGATCCCTAAACCGCAGCCCTTGCTTACCTGACTTCGAACAGGTCTGGTCCGTTAAAGTTAATTACAAGAACGAAAAGGTGAACCTACCACTCGAAGCCACTTGACCGTCGGTTCGGGGCGACCTTGATAAGTGACTCGGATTAATGCTTTGTTTCCTCTAAACACAGTAACATCAGCTGGCTCTTTTATTATCGCAGCTTTCTCTAACGTTTCCATATTATCTTTGTCTACTGTGATGTCAGTAGTTTGATCGTGAAGTAGTTTCACATTTTCCGATGGCAATCTTGCGGAAACTTCAGTTGTATCTTTTTCGTTCAATAAAGACAACTGTAGATCATCCGAAACTTCCACTTTTTTGTTTAAATTTGTCTTTGTATTTCTTTCTGCTGATAAGTCGTTTTTGAATCGTAATTTTTGTACATCATTTGACGCATTTTTAGATACACGTTTTCTCGCTGGTAAGGGAGAGACGTACTCCTTAGCACACGATGCAGTTCGCCGAAGAAACGAAGACGATCTGGCGCGAGTCGGCGACTGCTCGCATTGTCTCGGACATTTTAATGACGAACGCTCCAGAATTTTTTCCGACACGCTTATGAGACTTGAATTTGCCGGTGCACAGAATTGTACACCTTCAGGTTTCGCTACGGATTCGCCGGGATCGTGTGGCGAACGTTGCAAACGCAGCTTCGCGACGCAACTGACAGATGGACCCTTTCCATTCACGGAAGCTGTGCATCGAACGTCTCCCGCGTCACGTGACGATACATCGCGTATTCTTAAGATGCTGACGTTGCCGTCCCTTTCAATCTTTCAATAGAAAATAATAATTATAATTAGCAAAAGATTAGATCACAGAAATATTTAAAATTAGTTTATTTTGACAATATATGATTGATATAGTTAACGTACTTTACACTTCGCGTTGTCTCGAGCATCATTTCCATTAATCGTCCAGATAATTTCCGTAGTTTTTCCGCATTGCACTCGGGCGCAGAAATAAGCAGTATCTCTCTTAGCGACGGTGACTGACAACGGAGTTTTTGTAAATTGCGGTGCCATTTGAGAAACTTCTTTGTAATCTGATATAAATTTAAAAAATATTAAATTGATATACAAAACTCTATCAACAACATTAAAATGTAATAAAACTTAAAAGCAATATTTAAAGACCTTGCACTGCGAAAAGACTAGTGCATGATGCGGCACCGAAATCATTTTGCACAACGCAAGTGTATTCGCCGGCATCTTGCGGACGAACTTCAGATAATCTTAGAGCGACACCTCCATCTCCGTATATAATGTGCTTGTAATAATCGTTATCGGGCAATTCGCGGCCATCTTTGAACCAACTGACCATGAAAGGAGATGTTCCTAACAAACAAAACATAAAAGAAAAAATATATATTACTACTAATTAAGATTCATTATTTTTTTCTTGGAAAATTTGGATAAATTCAAACAATTACAAATGTTTTAACAAGTTTTTACCTGTGATCCCAGTTTGAAATTCATGACAATGGTTCTCCATGACGATTGTCTCTTCCGGCAGTGATCGCACAAACCGCGGTGCACTCTTGTCCGCGGTAGACGAATCGTGCGGATCCAACACAGTTACCTGCACGTATCGCAAAATTAAAAAAATAACGTGATAAAGAAATTTAAAAAAATTGCAAGAAGAATTACGACAAATTGTTAAAGTAAAATATACGTGATCAGTCATTTCTTCACCTGACAACTGCTTCTCGTCGACCCAAGGACGTTAGTCGCAACGCATGTGTATTCACCGGCGTCACTGGCTTTCACTTTCGATATTTCGATTTTGGCTGTCGTGCCATCGAAGTACCTCTTTATTCTACCCGATCGCTCCAACGGCCGTCCGTTCCTAAACAAACAATTTAGAGATATACATCCGATTGAGACTCCGATTCTTCGCGCGCATTGAAGTCTCCGTGTACATGTACCTACCTGTACCAAGTCGGCGTTACGCTCGGCGATTCCTTTACACGACATTCCAGCTGTAAGCGTCCGTTTATCCTGCTGGTAGTCGGAAGGAGACTACGGTCGAAGGAAGGATAGGTTCTAGGCGAGGCGCTTCTGGTTCTGATTGTTCGACTGGTCGATTCGTATCGGTCTGTTTTTCGACAATTGATAAAATTTAATATTATTTATAATTCTTAAAGAAGAATTTTTTTGCGTTGTAAAATAACACACGTAAAGTATATTTGATATTTTAGGTTTTTTTTGCATCACAATTGACAACAAAATACATTACAATGAGACTTTGTAGAGGCTTTTATATATATTTGTAATGTGTACCAAAAAAGGTTTAGTTGCACAACATAGGTAAAAAAAAAAAAAACATCTCTCTAGCGAGGCACGTACTTATTACTTCAAGACGAGCGCTGGCCTCGATCCGTCCGAAGTCGTTTTCCGCCGTCACTCTGTAGAGAGCGGCGTCTTCCCGCATCACGTCGACGATCTCGAGTATCTTGACGTCATCCCGCTCTTTGATGGAGATTCTCGTGCTCGGCGTCACAATCATGCCGTTCTTGTCCCATCGTACCCAGGGTGCCGGATGACCGACTACAGCGCACTGGAAACGCACGGTATCGCCTTCCTGGACCAGACGATTGTGCGGCACCGCGTAGAATTTCGGCGGACAAATTTTCGGTCGCTTCGATATTCCGCTTCGCGGCAGAATCTGAGGCGATCTGAACTCGCGACCATCTAATAACGCGTTTCAAATTGTTATGTCAATGTTTTTTTTTTTTTTTTAATATCTGCAAAGTTGAAAGGTTTATCTTGGTCTTACGTGGAACTGCTGGTGACAAGCTTCTGATTGGTGTCGATCGCGGAGTCGATCTAGGCGTCGATCCCGCTGACAAAAGACCCACTGGCCTTGTCAATCTTTGGCTCAGAATATTTTCTTTTCCTTCAGGCACTATATAATACAAGCAGGTTAATTTTTTTCTATTCAGAGTTCTTTAACTTAAAGAACTTTCTAAAAAATAATTTAAAGAAACTCCTTATATGATTTTTAATTTTTGATGGAATAAAATAAAGAAGAAGATATAAGAAATATTTGAAAAAATCGCGGAAAACTTTCCTAAATCTCTAAATCAGCATTGAAATATTAGAATCTATTATAAGAGAATGTTGTAAGTTCTAAAGTCTCGGCGTCGCGTCATACGGAATTAAATTACGACTATATACACGCAATATATTTGCGTGAAATTGTGAAGTAACTTGCACTCATTGGTCACGTCGTTCTGCGGTCTTTGAACGTCGCCGACGATTAGCATAATAAAATAACGCGCGTAATTCGAAGAGACGGTCGCGATTCACACGCGTTCTCGTTTGATGAGCACGCTTTTGTGAAACTCTAGAGTTATATGTAAAATTACCATCCACGACTAGACAGGCCGATGTATACGCTTTTCCCAGATCGTTGTAAGCCACGCACGTGTATTCCCCTTCGTCTTCGGGATAAACATGTTGGATGCTCAACCGCGCCGTTTCACCGTCGAATTCGGAAGCAAAATCGCCCGCCATGGCTATAATCTTACGAGAGACACTTTGTGTATTATCATGTATCAACGACGCGAATAGAAATTAAATTATTTGTTTCAGTACTTTGCCTCCCCGTTCCCAGCGAACTAAAGGCGGTTCCGGCGCAGCGTGAACTTTGCACTCCAGAGAAACAGCGTCGCCGTCGCAACACCTGATGTCTCGCAGTTCTCTCTTTATGATCGGCAAGGTCAACACTTTTCTGTGGAGTTTAATGTTTTATTTGATGGATGAATATACTATAAACAGCGGCGTGTATATTTTACGCAACTTTGTTCGCAGCTTACCCATGAGGAGACTTCTGCGTTTGTTCCTCTTTGCCTTGACCTTGAAAAAAATCGTCAAATCAAACAAAAATCGCGACGTGAAGCAGGTGTTTGGTTCGGCATCTCTTACCTTTCGCGTAGATTTGTAAGGAAATTACAGCTTTGGCTTCTCCATGGCAGTTGCGAGCTATCACGGAGTACGTTCCGGTGAAGTCGAGCTTGGCGTAAGGTATTTCCAACCGATATTGTGGCCCTGCACCCACCAGCCGGAAGTGAGGCGCGTCTCTGTAATAGTCGGGCTGAAAGACAAAACGCGCGTAAAAAAACAAAAACAAAAACATTCTGAAAAGCCAAGAAATTAGCAAAGTGCAGACAGTATGCGTAAAAAAGTCCGGTTAAATTAAATAATGTACACTGAATGTTTACCGCTTCTTATCGACGCACGTTCTGTTCTGGCTTACATTTTATACGCGTGAGTTTTATTGCTGACAGTAATAACGCGCATAACTCAGTTACGCGTTTGCCAAAGGAAAGTGCCGAGGAAGCATAAAAGAGTGATTCAGAGCGCGCTTAAACTGCGTAGAGACGGTTCTCGGATGCTGATGTTTTTTTGCAATCTCAACGTCATACGTTGGCACCATTAATCTTACGAAATCATAATAAACACAGAGAATATATTGGCTTTGAGGATGACGTTTATCTTGTCTTTAATCGTGAGTATGATGTCTAACAGTTATCGTGGCGAATCACACGTTGATCCAATGCCAATTACACACAGACTTCGGATGTTAATTCTTACGCAAGATTACGAGGGACGGGGTTAAAACTCAACGCGCTGGGAATGAAAACAGCGAGAAAAGAGAGGCGAGAAATATGTCTTCGTCACAGCTCTAGCCCATATAGGGGGCGAAAGTTGAACAGATCGCAGCAAGTCTGATCTGGTTGTGTATTACATGAGCGCGAGAATGTGTATATGTATTGCCATTTCTTATCGCGTACTTTCGTTCTCTGCAAATTGAGCGATTCAATTTGCATTAATGGAGTCGGGAAACTGCTCGATTTTTAATCCTTGAATTCGAATCGTGACATAATGAAGACACATCGATCCTGCACCTGTCACCTTGTTGAAGTGCTCGCCAACGCGAAATTTTATGCGGAGGATTATTTTCCCGATTACGAAAGACAAACGTCATAAATTGCGGCAGAGACAACTTGCAAGGACAATGTCACTGTTTTTATATATTAAACGCGTAAACATGTTAAAGGAAAGATATCTCTATGTATGTAAATAGAGATATCTCTATATGCACATTAGCATGCACAAAATAGATCAGTCGTGAAAATAGATTTATTTAAAATAAAAAAAACAAACCAGCTCGCGCTGTTTAAAATATTATTGTTATAATTGAATGACTGAATAATAAGCTAACGCAAAAAGATAAGTCTAATTTCTTATGAATAATGTAAAAAAAAATCGATAATATATAAAAAAAGTTATTAAATTATTATATGTACATTTAATGACTGAATGCTTGTTTTTTACTTACATTATCGTTTTCCACATCGAGATCTAATTTTCACGATGATTATTGTGTTAGATTAATTAAACACTCGTTTGTAGTTATTATTATAAAACCTTGAAAGAGTGAATCACAAAACAAATAAGAAATTTATAAAAATAATTCACAATTTACACAAGAAATGGCGCAAAAACGATATATCATATCGCGCTGTCGATCAAAAGTCGGAGAGACTGATTCGATCGCTTAAGTTACGCGTTGACGACTGTTTTGCCGCTCGTACGTTAAAGTACCGACCATCGACTTGGTCGACGACAAGTGGGGACACACGGTGTTCCGTATACTTTTTGCGATTATGCAGATATTTCGTTGTGACGTCGATGCGCAAGTTTCTACGGTCGATGAACCATTTCCGTTTCCTCTCTCGAATCCGATGTCAATTGGCAGCGACTCCTTTTTCCGAGCGCGATATGCTAAATCTCATTCTTTCGTTCGTATTAATAACGCAATGTGACGTAACTCGTTGTCGCCATTTAAGGCATCACTCAATGTCAATGCCGTTTCCTCGGCGCATACAATACCTTTCCTTTAATGGAATAATACGCTTTATGTTACACGGCGATCTTTTTCGCAATCACCTTGACCCACATAAGAAGACGACGCGTTAGATACACGTCATTTCGTCATTTGCACAATTTGCGTTTCTATCCATATTTCGATCGCAGTTAATTAACCGCGTTGACAAATTGAGACTCTATCCGCGAAGTTTGATCACGTTACGTTTGCCGTTATTACTAAACTTGCATTCGGGACAAGATAAAATCACGAGAAAAAAATAATTTAGAAAAAGCGAAGAAAAAAATAAATAGCTTACCTTGAGAAAGTCGCGTAACCATATTACTTCCGGTTTAGGATCTCCAACGACCTCACAGAGTATGATTACCGTATCTCCCTCGACCGCATCGGTTGATAATGGTTTTGTGACGAAAAGAGGTTCCTTTGAATATCTGGAATCACAGAACAGAGACATTTGCAATTTTATTTGTTACTGACGCGACTTACGAGACAAACGACGCAAAGAACTGAACTTACGGTATGTCCGGAGATGCGCTCGTAATATAAGATAATCCATCGACCATAGATGACCGATCCTGAATCTCAATGACAGCCACTCTGGTGGAAGTTTCAGCGTGACCGACCACATTTGTCGCCGTGCAACTGTAAACTCCGGTGTCTCGCGCGGTGATATTCGCCAGAGAAAATTGGACGGTGCCATCGTGACTTAACGTCATCACGGCTCTTCGACTGGGCCGCAAGCGAATACCGTCGCGATGCCTAGAGTGCGATGATAGAAAAAAATATATCAAATTTTTTATCGTTAGAAGAACAAAAAAGTTGAAAGTTGTGCGTTAAAAAACTTTTACCAAACGACGCCGACACTTGGATACGCCTCGAGTTGGGCGGACAGTCGTAGCTCCTCGCTTGAATTGATCGTATAAACGGTGTCGAGACCGCGAAGAAACTCCGGAGCGATATAAGCTCGAATTCCCTTGTCCACCACGAGGTTACACCGGCAGGATACGGAGCCATTTATGTTCCTCGCTGTCACCATGTAGCATCCGGAATCGTCGAGAGTGGAATGAATTATTTCCAAAGTATGGAAGTTCGAATCATCATCCCAGAAGATGTGACGATCTAAAGAAGAGAATTGATGTAAACGTTTTAACGCCAGATATCAGCAAATGAGACAAATCATACCATCTTGAGAAATTTCCGTTTCGTTCTTGTACCACGTGATCTCCGGAACAGGTTGCCCAGTGACTTGACAAGTGAGTCTTACTGGATAAGTCGTTTGCACGCGCCTGTCTCGTAGTCTCATGGTGAATTGCGGCGGTCTGTCTTCCAATTCGATGCTTAAATTTCTGATGACAATTGTATTGTAATGTTAACTTTATGCTCTTGTCGTATAGCGATTACACATTTACTTACGTAGTTCTAAGTTTTGCATCGGCCTCGATGATTCTTGGATCGGTAACAACGAGGACTCTAGCAAACGACGACACTCTTCCGATCTTATTGCTCGCTTCGCAAACGTATCTTCCAGAATCGTTCTCTTTGACATTTGTAATTGTTAAGAAATATCGCGAACCAGCGTGATGTATCGCGAATCTCGAATCATTGCGCGCATCTATTTCCGTTGTTTCACAATACCATCGCACTTCCGTCTTAGAATCTCCGCGAATCTAAAAACAAAATCGATTAGACAAACGGGAGCCTAAACTATGGCAAAATTTGTGTGACCAAATATTTCAAATTTTATAAATTTATGTAATTAATTAATTTTAATAAATTTACCTCACACTCCAGCTTTACCGGCGTCCCTTCGAGAGCTTTTAATTGACCCGGAAGAATTTTTGTGAATTCCGGAAGATCGGTACTTTCGCTTACCGTCACCGAATTCGTCATAGTGACCGGTTCTCCCCATCCGTAACGATTTCGCGGTGTTACACGGAATTTGTATTCTCCCCCCGGTCGCAAGTTGAACGCATCGAACGCATTGATCGGTGTGATTCCCAACTGGAAAAATCGGATAATGTAGACTTTTTAAGTCACGGGAGATTGAAAAAACTAAGCTAAAAATATTCTCACCTCTGTCCATCGCGCGCCACCGTCACTGCCTAATTGCCAAGCATCGACTTTATAAGCAATTACTGGTGCAGGTCCTCTTCTTTCTGCCTTACCCCAAGTTAGCGATAACCAGTTTTTCCCACCGTCAACAGCAACGGGTTCACTACTGATCGGACCGGGTACGTCTAAAGTTAGATAAATTGTAGACAATTAATTAATTCCTTCTCTAAACGTTTAATCGAGTCCTTCGTAATTACATAAAATATATCCTTGTTGTTTCTTAAAAAAAATTTATGAACAATTCTCGTTTCGCTAACCTCGGTGTCCGTAGAGATATTCCAAGAAGTCAATGATCAAACAATCTTTGTTAGACCATGATTGTCTCAAACGAGAAATAACAATATTTCCGTTTTCATCGTTTACAATCCCGTGATCGTGCGGTTTCATGATAAATTTGACTTTATTTTCGTTTTGATATCAATCGAAAAAGACGACAAACAGAAATATTTAATAATTATATAACAATATTGTATAAAAATAATAAGAGATAGATTCACGACAAGTTAATGTTCATATAATAAAAACGACAATGAAAGATATTTAACGAGATTAATAAATTATGTTTCACTACGAGAAAGATTTATTTTTTTTTGTGCACAAAATATTGAGGATCAAAATTTTGAAAACTATGATATACGAAATGATTCGCGTTCCGACGGCAACTAAATTTTAGATTCGTGGAGTTTGCGAGGTGTTAGTGCGTGGGTGGTGAGTAAGGAAGGTGCGCTAAAAGTAAAACTAAAATAACTCGAGATATTTTTAAACGAAAAGAAACTCGCGTGTTTACTCGGTTACAATATTTTATTGAGGCTCCAAAGCGATTTCGATTGAATTGAAACATTAAATCTCGAAATATTCGTTTACGTCAGAAGTAAATTTCTTCAAAAAGACATGCTGAAGCAATGTTTGGTCGGCATATCAATTCGATGAATAATCGAATAAAATGTTGACGTCATTTCAAGCGATTGCTCGGTCCAGACTGGCGTCCAGCCATTATAATTTAAGCCAAATGCAATATGACGTCGCATTTATTATTGCAAAACGTTTGCTATTCTAATTTTAATAAGTTATTCAATAATATCTATTCGATACTCTTTTAGAGTTACGATCTATTGTTATACAGCATTCTTAATTTTATGTTTCATAAATCTTGCAAGTAATATTATTATAGCACAATCACAATTTTAGTCGAGATAGTTTGTCAAAATCACTTACTTCTTATATAAGACATGTCGTCATCTTGTTCTTCTCCCGCATCACGCTCCGTAACAGAATTCCAATCTGGTGATGGGGTTAACGACCTAGCGCGTTGCTTCACCTACGCAGATATATCATTTGATTACATGTACTTCTTCTTTTGGTTTGGTAACTAGATTTACAAATATTCTCACCTTGATGGAGAAGAAGCTTCTGTCACAACCGTATCTATTCTTAACCAGAATACAGTAGGTACCCTCGTCAGAAGGCAAAGCTTTTTTTAATGTTAATCTAACATAATCGTCAATAGTCTCCTTGTACGATCTCGGTCCGTCCGTGATGTCTGTCAATCCTTTCATCCATATTACTAAAAGACACCAAAGAAATTCATAAGTAAAGAATGAGTTAAAAAAAAAAAGAAATAGAAGTAAAGCAACGTTAGGCGTTTAAAGGTTGAAGTCTCACCTCGAGGTTTAGGGACTCCACTGACTCGGAAGGATATGCTGACGTCTTCGCCAACAATCACGTCGATCGATTTTTTCGAAGGTTTCGAAACAAACATTGCTGGCTTTCCTCCGTCGATAGCGCTCCCTGATACTACGTGCACCGTTGCGCTCGTGTCAATCTGTCCGTAAGCATTGATTGCCCTACACACGTAAGTGCCCCTTTCCGATTCGGTAGCTTCGGGTACAATTAACGTGTGAAGTCCACGTTCGGTGAACATTTTTGCTTTTGATATCGCGATCGGTTCTTTTCGGTCGCCTCGCAGCCATCTTACTTCGGGAGGCGGGACACCTACAACAAACGAATGAAAACTTTAAAACTTCGACATATGACGGTCCCGCATTTGCTTACCTTTGACTTCTACTTGTAGAGCAATCGTTCCGCCAGCAGGTACGGAATAATCCTTCAACAGATTCGAAAATCGCGGTCGTCGTATGACATCCGATTCAGTTGCGTCGCTCACATTTAAATGACTTCGACTCAAGGATTGCCAATCTAAAGTAAAGAAATATATAGAATATAAATACTCATTAGGTGTTATTTTAACTTATACGCAATTAATTTATAACATCTTAATCACCTTCAACATGAACCATATGAGATATTTCTTCAGTATGTAGTTCGTTTTCAGCGCGGCATGTGTACTGTCCGTTATCTGTAACATTAGGATTCGATATTTCCAACCGATATACATCATCATCGAGATAACTTTGCTTATAACGTTCTCCTTGAAGAATCTGTCTGTCTTTCAGCCACGAAACTGACGGTGTTGGATGCGCTCGTACGCGACATTCCAGAATCAATTTGCAGTCAGAATGTCGATAAGTATCTATAAAAAAGCAGTTAAAGTAAAACAATGCGTGTAAGTAAATTGCGTTGTGTCAACAACTACCTTTAATCGATTTTACGAAAATTGGGGGCGAATGCGTGGGCTTGTAATCGGAGTAAACTCTCAAGAGAGACTCGGTGCTCGAAGTGCCTTGTGCGTTTTCAGCTACGCATGTGTATAATCCCGCATCTTCGGGACGTGCGTCATATAATTCCAGATAAGCCATACCGTTTTCATATCGTGTTTTACAACGACTGTCTGATGCATCCAATCTGTAGTCGTCTTTGGTCCAATAAACGCGCGGTTCTGGATTACCAAGAACGGTACAGGTCAATCTAATTCTCATACCAATCCCCACAGTTCTGTTCGTTAACTTCGTGCAAAACGATGGCTTCTTCGGCTTGTCCCATGGAAGACCCTGGAAATTGTAAAGAATTGTTTCACAAAATTACGAAATTCTTTTTTGTTAAAAAGATGAGAAATTGTCTTATCCTCTCTCTCTAAATAACTACCTCCCTCTTGCCAAGATCAACATAATAGGATGGACTAGGTTCGTAAGTGTTGACATTAATTCGTCGAGCCTCTTTACGTCGGGATCGAGTATGCGTGCTGGGTATAATCGTGGCATCGCTATCTTCAGTCGAATAGTCTTCGTACTTCATTAAACTGATCGATCTGGCGCGAATCATACGGTTTTCTCTTTTCTTGCGTCTTCTGTACGACAATCCTGTATCATAATAATATTTATCCATGGTGGAACCACGTAACTTATACTCGTCGAGATTTCTATTCAACGATGTCAAGGAATCTCTCCAGCTGTACGATCTGGAACTGCTAGTAAGCGTTGGCATGCTAGACTCAAGCCGAGAAATGTAATCTCGATGATAATCGTCGAAGAACAGCGCGGTTGATTTGTCAGACTTATATCTATTCTCTAACATATTTTTAAGAAAACGATCAGTCTCGTTCTCACGTCTTCTAGACCATTCACTTTCTCTTATTTGCTCTTCTCTTCTTTGTTTACTTCTATATATTTCCTCTTCGTGTCTTCTTCGTAGTTTTTGTTCTTCTTCCCGCAAAAACCTTGCAGTCTCATCTCTCCTTATCCTTGTTTCTTCATTTCTTTTTAGGTATCTTTCTTCATCTTTGTCAAATATATAATTAGCGTCTTCTTTTTTAGATCGTTCTACAACTCTTCTTTTTTCTAAACGTTCTGTTTCCATTTTATAGAGCCTCTGATTGTCATATTCCGTTATATTATATTTATCACTCTTGTCAGCTCGTTCGTCTTTTTTCGCGCGTAACCAGTTTTCATTGTCTTGTAATCTCCGCTGTCCATCTTCTATTTTTCTTTTCGATCTTTCTGTTTCTTCAAAACGTGATCTTTTTTCTTCTTGTCTTTGGAAGTTTATATTATCTTTTGGTTTGTCATTTTGGATGAGTTGCATCGTTTCTTTTGTTTTAACAATCTCTTCTTTCTTTTCTTTTATTGATTTCTCTTTTACTGTTTCTACAGTTGCATTTTCTTGTTCACTCTTTTTTAATGTCTTTGTCTTTGTTTGTACATCCTTCTTTGACTTAGCTTCTTTATCCTTTGCTTTTATTTCTTCAGTGTCTTGAGTTATCTGTTTCTGTTCCTGAACTTCTTTTTTTGATATTTTAACTTCATCCGTTTTCTTTTCTTTAATTTTTTCTGCAGATATTTCAGTTTTATTAGATTCAGTTTTATTAGATTCTTGTATTTTCTTTTCTAATTCTTCAGTCTTTTCTTCTTTTAATTGTTTATCTTTTTCTTTTTTTGACTTTTCCAATACTGCCTCTTCTTTCTGCTCTTTTCTTTCCTCTCTTAGTTGTTCCTGGCCGGTTTGTTTCTTTTCTGTTATTTTTTCTTCAATTGACTCTTCTTTTGTCTTAGATTCTTTTTTCTTTTCTAAATCTTCAATGTTTTCTTCGGCTTTTTCGTTTTTTACTTTTTTATTTGTTTCCTCTACTTTTTCTTTTATTTTATTTTCTTTCTGTTGAGTTTCATCTTTCTTTACCTTTTCTTTTTCTACTTTTGCACTCTTTTTGCTTTTTGTTTTATCTTTTTCTTCTACTTTTTCCATTTCTTTCTTCTGCTTTTGCTCCATTTCTGTTTCTTTTATTGTTTCTACTTCTTTCTCTTTCATGTCTTCTTCTTTTGTTTTCTTTTGTGCTATCTGTTCTTGATCTTCTTTAGATATCTCTTTTTTCTTATGAAGTTCTTCAGTTTTCTTGTTTTCTTCCTTTTTGTCTTCTTCTTTTATTTTTTCCATTTCTTTCTTCTCCTTTTGCTCCATTTCTTTTTCTTTTATTGTTTCTACTTCTTTCTCTTTCATGTCTTTTTCTTTTGTTTTCTTTTGTGCTATCTGTTCTTGATCTTGTTTAGATATCTCTTTTTTCTTATGAAGTTCTTCAGTTTTTTTGTTTTCTTCCTTTTTGTCTTCTTCTTTTATTTTTTCTATTTCTTTCTTCTCCTTTTGCTCCATTTCTTTTTCTTTTATTGTTTCTACTTCTTTCTCTTTCATGTCTTCTTCTTTTGTTTTCTTTTGTGCTATCTGTTCTTGATCTTGTTTAGATATCTCTTTTTTCTTATGAAGTTCTTCAATTTTCTTGTTTTCTTCCTTTTTGTCTTCTTCTTTTATTGTTTCTGTTGCTTTCTTTTTCTTTTGCTCTTTTCCTTCTATCTTTACTTTATTTTCTTGTTCTTGTAGCTTCTGTTCTTCTTGTATTATCTTTTCTTGAATAGATTCTTCTGTCTTAATAGGTTCCTCTTGTTTCTTTTCCAATTCATTGATCTTCTCGCTTTTTGGTCTGTCTTCTTTAACTTCTTTTACTTTTTCTTCTACTTCTTGTTTCTTTTGTTCTTTCTCTTTTTCTTGTATTTCAATTTGTTTCTCTTCTCTTATCTTTTCTTGAGTTAATTCTGTTTTACTAGATTTGTCTTGCTTCTTTTCTAATTCTTCGATCTTTTCGCTTTCCAAAATTTTATCTTTTTTCTCTTTTAAGGTTTCTTTTTCTTTCTCTTCTTTCTTTATTTCTTTTATTTTTGTTTGCTCTTCTTGTTGTTTTACTTCTTTATTTTTTGTTGTATCAGGTTCTTTTTCTGTTTTTTGATTGTCTTTTTTCTTTGATTCTTCGGTTTTATCTTTTTCTGTATAGAGCTCAGATGTTTCTTTATCTTTTGTATCTTTTATATCTTTTATATCTTTCTGCTTTTCTGCATTGTCAATTTTTTCTTGTTGTTTTAGTTCTATCTTTTCCTTTTCTGTATCTTTTTGTTCACTTTTTTCTTGTGCTACTTTTTCAACTTGTTTTTTTATTATCTTTTCACTTTCTTTCTCTTTTTTTTCTTTTTCGTCTAGTTTCTTCTTATTTTCTTCATCAATAGTTGTTGTAGACAAATCTTTATCTACTGGCTTAGTATCTTCAATTTCTGCTTTTGGTTTGTCCTCTTTTTTGACAGATTTGTTCTCATCAGATTCTTCTAGGTCTTTTTTAGGTTTTTTTTGCAGTGCTGCTTTTGATATGTCTATCCAAAGTATTTCTTCTCTTAAAATTTGATTACATATAATATCTATCGCAGTTTTTAGTTTGTAAATTGGCTCATCAAGAACAGTTAATCCTTCTAATGCTGTTTCTTCACACCATAACAGTTTTGATGCTTGTATTGATTCCTGTAATTCATTGAGACACGGTACCAAGCATTTTGAGAGACCACCTGCAATATCAAAATGTTGCGGTTCCGTCAACGGTTTATCTGCCGATTGCTCTCGTATTATAGCTACCGATTTCTCAAGATTGTGAAGAGCATCAATCATCAAATTAGCAGTGCTTGGATTTTCTTGTATTTGCGGGATAGATTGTTTAATATTTTGTAAAGGTTTTGCCAACATTCCGAGTGCTTCGAATTCGATGCGAATTTCGAGAAACGATACTTGTTGCTGCTCTAATTTGTGTTCAATTGATTCAATTGATTTCTGAATATTCGAAATAGTGTCTACTACTTTTGTTGACAAGTCTGAAAACTTTTTACTTCGTTGTGCAGACAAAACTGTTTCAAGCGCATTTTGAACGAGTTCCAACGGTCTCTCCAAGTTCTTTAGATTTGCGTTAGGTGATTCCTTTGCTGTCACAATGCAACATTCTAACTCAGTTAGTGGTATAGTGAGAGCACTAGACAAAATAGTGATTTCCTTTAATTTCGATTTAGATTTTGGTTTATCGATTTCTTTCTTGATGGATAAAATGCATTTCTCGAGATTAGAAAGTGGCTCAACAATAGCATCAAAACATTGTTCCGTACTAACAGTATTCACAGCATATGTATGTTTTAGTAAAGTTAATTCTTCTTGTACTTTAATCAACGCTTCCGTCATTGGTTTAAGAACTTCAGTTTTTGTAAAGTCATCTTCCATACGTGATACGACTGATTTAATTCCTTCTACCGGTTTTTCTAGTTTCTCGACGATCGACCAATCTGGTGTTATTGTTTCTGCTTGCGCTTCCGCTATAATAGTTTTAGGTTCCATTATGGTACACTGTCGAATGTCAGCTATCGATCTCTCTATTTCATGCAAAGGAATCGCTAAACATTCAGTGATCCAGCTGCTGCTTGTATCTTCTGGTATTGATTGAACATCCGGTGACATTACTCGTGATTCTAAAACGGATATGGCGCGTTGAAGATCTAATAGTGGTTCAGCTAACGCATCTAAAACGACGTTGTCCTTTTGTCGATCTGTCGATGTTTCAACCAACATTTGATCTTGTATTACAGCGATAGAATGGCGCAGTTCTTCGAGCGGCTCGATCAAAGGTCGAAGAACGTATTCATTATTACCTTCGATTTCAAATGAGTGTTCCTTAGCACGTTCAATTGCGATTTGTTCTTGAATAACTGCTGTAGCTGCATCGTTTAACTCTAGCAATGGCTGTATCATTGTCTTCAGCAAAGAAATATCTTCTTTTTCCGATAACGATCGAGTCGTGTCACTAGGTGCGACTATTTTGTGTTCGTCGACGATTACAGCTAAGCACTCACGTAATTCCGTCAGAGGCTTTGCCAATGTTTTCAACGCAGAAACTTCATCTTCCGATATCGACATCGCGATTTCAGCCGGAGATTCGATCGCACCCTGATCAATCACCATTGGACACGTAACTTTCGAAAGAGGCTCTTCGATTATGTCTGCCCAAGTGTTCAAAGACGAAGCACATTCGGAAATAGTGTCTGCTGCAGGTTCTATGACTATCTGCTGATGATTGCACATTGCTATGCACTCCGACAAATTATGGAGAGTCTCGGCAAACGTTTCCAAAGCTGAAACATTTTGTTGCGCAAGCTCGTTCAACGAATCAGGCGCAACTGTGGTTACCTGCTGAATGGACGCGATAGAAGCTCTTAGATCCACCAGAGGTTGTGCGATCGATTTCAGCAAAACGTCAGTTTCTGTTTCCGATATAATGTGACTTCCTGTTTCAAACACTACTTGCTCTTGAACAGTGGCAATGGATCTTTGCATTTCTTCAAGAATAGGTTGTAGAGCAAGCGTTTCCAAGTCCGTAGAGAACAAGTCGCTTGCCAGGCTGTGTCCATCGTGTTCTATAACTTGTTCTTTGCGAACTGTTGCGACGAAAGATTTCTCTAGTTCTTGCAAAGGTCCAACCAAACTGCTGAGAACATTAACTGGTTTTTTAATCTCAACTTCAAAGATTTCAGATTCTTGCATTTTAGTTTCTTCGATTGTTAAAAGTTGTTCTTGCAATATTCGCAGAGGCACGATGATATTTTCAAGCAACTGCGTGCCTACTTTAGTTGGTTGTTTAAGCTCTGTGACTGTTGTAAAAGCTTCGACAACTTTCGGTTGCTCAACAACGACAGAACAACATTTTCTGAATTCTTCAACAGATTTCGCGAAAGCTTGCAGAGCAGATGCATTTTCTATTTCTACAATCTGTTGACTAGCGTTTTCTATCGCATTTAACTGCTGCAAGACTACAGTTGACGTTCTTAAATTACTGAGCGACCTTGCAAAATCTTTTAAAATTATCATATCGTCTGAAGTCGCTTTTGCAGCTAAATTGTCCTGGACAATCGCAACTTGTTCTTGAATTTCCGCTACGGATTTGTTCAAATTGTCTAATATTGGCTTGATTGGCAAACGTTGCAAAGACAGAGCGATTTCTTGGTGAGATGCAGCCAAGAAAGATTGCTGCAACTCTTGCAATGGTTGCACCATACATTCTAAAGCGACAACTTTCACTGATTCCTTTGTTTCTATCGTTTGAGACACTCGATCTTCAAGCTCTAATATCGCGCTCTGCAATCCTTCGATTGGAATAGTTATCGTTTTCAAGAAGAGTAGAGAAGTTACTTCATTTTCTTGTTGCGTCACATCTTGCTTAGCTATAGTAACTAGGTGATTCGCTGTTTCTGTTACTGACTTTGCGAACGATAACAAAGTCGATACCTTTTCAGTTTCAGTAACTTCGTTGGAATGATCAAGAGTTTCTTCAACAACTGTTAACGGTATCTTCAAGCTTTCAAGAGCTTCGTTTAATGTTTCTGTTGCAGAATTATTCTTGCTAGAAATTGCTTGCTGCTGAACTACACTAATTGAAGTTTTTAGCTCTTCTAACACAGGTTTTAAATCAGGATTTACCAACAGACCTTGATGTTCTTCAAGGTCTTTTGTAACTTCTTCTTGCGCAACTGCAACATGTTGCACATTTGTAATTAACAATTGTTCTAGCTTTTTCAAAGGATCTATTACTGCACTCAACTGAACGAGCTCCTCTTTTTCTTGTTGTATTTCTAATAGTTCAGCTTTATGACTATGAAGATCGTTTATTTGAGACAAGGTTTCGTGTAGAATATGAATAGGATCGACGATCTTTTGTAAAACTTCTGGATTCAGTGTTTGTTCTTCTTTTTTAGCGATTTGTAGAGGCGGTACTTCTTCTACTTTTACTTGATCAATAATAGACATAAATTTCTCACCAAATTCCTCTACCGATTTGGCAAGAGTTTGCAAAACTGTAATCTGTTCAGTACCCAACAATTCCACACCCTGTTGGCAAATTGTGGGATCAGACTGAATACTTGCCAGAGACATCTTCAAATCTTCTAACGGTTTCTCGACAGCTTGCATTAAACGCATTTTGGTTATTTCACTTGGGCTGGCTTCAATTGCAGTATAAAACTGTACTTGCTCTTGAACTGTTGCGACTGATTTTTGTAGCTCTTCTAAAACGCACGCGATTTCTGTACTATCTTCGAACGACGGGAGTTCTAAATTTATTAATGGTTCTAACAAAGTTGAAAATGCAACTGCCTTTTTATCGGAAAACTCTAGAACTCCCATTTTTTCAACTTCATCGAGTGATTTATGCAATACTTGAAGAGGAGAAAGAATTACTTGAAGAGTCTCAATTTTTACTTGTTCCTTCTGCATTGTATCCTTTTCTGACTTAATTATTTCTATCTTTTCTTTGTCGGTAATTTTTAAGCTTTCTTCTTTAACTTCCTCGAAACATTCTTCTATTAAATTTATTTCTTCTTTCTTTTCGACATGTTCTTTTATTTTATCAGGCGTTGATGAAGATGTTAATACCTCCTGTGATGCTACTGCATCTTCTGTTGATAAGCTGCTCACGTCTTTAACTATATCATCCATCTTACTAATTGTTTTTACTTCACTCACTTCCGTTTCTATTTCTTCTAATTTTAAATCGTCATTGTCTTTCGGTTTAATCAAATCTGCAGAAGGCGAACTAGACTCCAAGGTTTTGTCGCATTTTACTTGTTCCTGAGACTCCATGATGGCTTCTATAAGTTCCTCGAGAGGTCGAGCAGTCGTTTCTTCAATATTCTTCACTTCTTCTTTTATCTTAGATATTTCCGTTTCTTTCTCATCTACGATTTGAACACATTTCGGTATTTGAATCATTTTCAGGCATTTAATGGTGTCACTAATGTAAGGTATTAAAACTCTCGCAGTTGTAACTAACAACTCTCCGTTTTCATCGAAGTACTTGTTCTCATTAATTGTCTGACATATTGATTCTAATACATTTTTGAGATCATTTAACGGTTTAGCAAAAGATTGTAAAGATGTCATAATGTTCTCCTTCAATTCTGGTTTAACTCCTTCGTCAGTTAAGGAAATAATCACAGCAACAGCTTGCTCAAAATCATTAAAAATATTTTCCATACGAGAGAAATCGTTATTTAATAACGGAGATAAAGACGACAGTGATGATGACAATGATCTAATGCATGTCTTGATAGAAGTATTTGTAGCTTGTAGATCGTAAACAATTTGCATCAACGCTGTCAGCTCTTGTATTTTCCGTCTGTCCTCGTCAGATTTCGAAATGAGCGATTTTTGTGTAGCAGACTTTATAAAATGACTGAGTTCTTGCAGAGGCTGTGGTAAGTTGTTTATTGCAGAGTTAAACTTTGACATCTGAGTTATCAAATATTTTTGCCTCTCTTCCTCTTCCTGAGTCTTTTCGTGTTTTGCAGTATCTACTAGATTAACTTCTTGTTCTGAACGAGTTGCTTCTGAAGTTTCTAAAACTGACGTTTGTGTCATTTGAGGAGCATCTTCGATCTTTAATTCTGCACTTTTTTGAACTACCGCTTCAGTAGATGGTTCCGTGATCACCATTACAGTCTCAATTTCTTCTTGTGATATTTCTATAATTTCATCAGTGATACTTTCTATTTCCGTGATAATTACTTTCGCTTTCTGCTCGGCCACCTTTTCTATAGTTACTATAGAGTCTTTTACTTCATCCAAAACATCTATAACAGCAGAAAAAGTCTCTACAATCGGCGCTTCATTGGAAGCGCCTTCCTGGACGAGTTCTGCTTTGTGCATCGATAGAGAAGAATTCAGTTCTGAAATAGAATCAGCTAGTTCCTGAAGCTGGACTAGTACAGAGTGTGAAATTGTTGAGGGTTGTTTCTGCATGTTCTCTTTGAGAACATTTAACGCCGACAGAACCTGACTAGTTGGATAAAGAAAGCCTTCTACAATCGCTTCTTCGTCAACTAATTCACTGCTAATCTCGATAAATTGCATTTGCGTAAAAGAGATTTGTTTCTGTAACGCTTCCAAGCATTTGGACACCACTTCACGCGTATCTTTATCCGCATGCTCTTCCAAAGATAATATGGCGCTTGCCAAGCGATCCAATGTGCCTGTAAGTCGATGTTGAAGAGGAATCTTAACGCTACTTGACTGGCGCAAATAGTCAGTTTTACCGATTTGTTTTTGCACTTTCAGAATCGCGGAATTAAGCTGCGTTAAGGATTCATTAAACAAAAACGCTTCCTCCATGTTCGCGATCGCTTCGACTGTATGACAAACTTGTTTTTGTAAACCGTCAATTGCTCGTAAAATAACGCTTCTTCTTTCCTCCAATAAGCAGGCTTTAGAAACCAAACTTTTCCGACTGCTTTGCACCATAGACAGACAACTGTGAAATTCTTGCAAAGGTTCCAAAAGGTTTCGCAATTCAACGATCATTGATTCACGTCGATCCAGAACATCAGTTTCTTGAATAGCAGTCTTGATGTCTTTTAGAAGAGTATCGGTTGGATTTCCTAAGATTTTCGCAACGTCTGTTTCAAGAGTTTCTTCCGCAGTTTGTTCCAGATCCTTCATGCGTTCCATAATGTTTTCTAGAGGCTTTGAGATGTCCCGAAGACACTCCAGAATTTTTTGTCTCGATGATATTTTTTGAATTACAATCGGGACTTCTGTTTTAATTTCTTCTAGCACGCACAGTAGAAATTCAAATTCTTTTTCAGCGTCTCCGTCTTTATTGATAAATTGAGTTGTCGGTCTTATCACGTTATTTTCTATCGTATTCAACAGCGGAATCAATCGATTCAGTATCATAAGTTCCAGAACGTCGTGTTTGTGCGATTTTGAAAGAAGTTCTCGGATGTTCATCAATGGTTGCGTTAAATTAGTTAGTACCAACGTTGCCTGATGAACTTTCTCTTCAGATGATCCAATTTCTTCACCGTAAACGGTGGTCATCATGCGTATTGTAGAAATAGTTCTTCTTAATTCTTCGAGAGAATTAGCCAGTTTTGATTGCGGAATCATAGTGGTTCGTGTTATCGATTCCTCGAAATCTTCCAGGATACCAGTCATTTCCAATTGAAGTTTTTCCAGAGTTTCTGATAAAATCGTGATTAATTTATTCGCTTTCTTCTCTCTTTCTTGCATCTCGCTCTTTATAATCATTGAAGTGATTTCCGCTGCTGTTTTGGTTTCGTCTTCTGTTACGATTTGCTCAGTAGCTTGTTCAATAGGCAATACAGTAGATTCAAACAGTGTTGTCGATGCAATTTCTGTGAGAGTGCCTGGTATTGTTTCGCGGGAAGCAGTAACGGCTTCGTCTTCTTCTTCAGTTTCCACATTAGATGTCTTTGTAGATTGTTTAAGTTCCTGCTGATAAAGAGCGTTTTTGATCGAAAGCGGCAGTTGATTTTCGATTTGTTGAACGATGTCTACTATTGATAGTAAAGACTCTTCGTTTGCGTGTTCTTGAAGAACATCCATGATAGTTTGCAAGAGATGTTTCATAGGACGATCCAAATTTTCCAAAGTAGAAAGATCTTCTGGTCCGTGATATATAGAAATAGCATTTTTCAGTCTTATTAACGGTTCCCGAAGATCGATCAGAGCTTCTATCAAACTTTCGTAGCTTGGCGGTTCAGAATACGAAGTTTGAATAGCGATCTGAGTCACGTCTCTCTTCAATTCCTCGATCGTTGAACTCAATTCAGATACTTCATCTTTCGTACTGTCTTCAGACGTAGTAGATAACCAGTGTTTAAGAGGATGTAAAGAACGATTGATTTGATCAGCCAGATTTGAACTCTTTTCCTCCGTATCTTCCATTCGGGACTTGGTATCACTTTCTTTTTGCAATTTTTTCTTCGATATTTCTTTCGCTACAAGAGTCGCGTCTCTTTCTATTTCTTCCAACAATTGTAGGATAGATACCATCGATTCAGCGGAGGAACTTTGTTTGATTACACCGTGAATGATATCCTTCAGTCTGCTGATTGGTCTCATTAAGTTATTTAGAATTTCTTCCTCTCCTGGTTTGTGCTTCTCCGTCAACAAATCTTTTTGCAAATTTAACAACGATTCTTTTAATCTGCTAATTTCCTGAGTTATTTTTTCATCTACCGGGTTCTTCAAACTCGCGATTGTAACAGCTGAAGAACCAATTGCCTGACGTAACGTTTCAATACACGTAATTAAATTAGAGGAAACTTTATGCTCTTCTTGTTTCTCTAAAACTGAAGACAAAGCGAAGTGCACGTTACTCAAACTTTGATCGATGTTCAAACTCTTCAGTATCTGTTTCTGAGCAGTTTCTATTTCCAATAACTGCTCCACTAATTGCAATATTTGTTTATCAGTATCTTCTAATATCGTAAGAATTGTTTCTGCTCGAGAAAGCGCTTCACGATTTCCAGAATTTTTCAAAATATTTACTACCACGCACTTAAGTTTTTTGATAGCAAGCGTGGTTTCTTTTATTATCGGAAGTTCTTGAGGAGTATAGTCTTCTATCGCTAAAATTGACTGAAGATCTAACAGAGGTTCCTTGAATTCCATCAAGCTATTTAGCGTCTCATTTTCTCTGAAAGTCATCGCAGTGTGCGCTATGTGGGATGCGCATTCTTTTAATTCTGTCAAACACGTCGCAAGTGGCGACATTTTCAGAGCTTCTTGCGGAATTTTGTTCAGTTTTGATCGTTCCATATAATCTACAATCGCGCTAAATGCCGATTGAATATCGACCAGCGGATCCACGATTTCTTCAGATATATTTCCAAACGTGTCCGAGGTCGATTTTATCAAAGTTCCTTTCATCGTTTCGCTAGGAATGTTGCAAATGCGTTCGTTAACTTTGTTCAAAACTATCAACGTGGATTGCAAAGATGGCAGTCCAAGATTTTCGACGACGTCTGACAACTGAACGATGGATGGTTCGAGAATATTACGAACATATTCTATTTCTTCCGCTGATGTAATTTTATTGAGTGATTTCAGTAATATATTCAGAGGTTTTTCGAGTTTATTCAGATTTTCAATGTCTTTTTTCTGTGTAACTTCGACTATTTGACACACATCGCTGATTCGTTCGTGAATGCTGGAAAACTGTTGTACTAAAGATTCGGGTACTTTTTTGCATGCTTTCAAAGCTTTGCATAAAGCTGATCTTGATTCTAAAAGAATATCTTCCGTCATTTCTTCAATTTCTTTGGCACCAGAGATGTTAATAGCTTCCTTCGCGCCTTTTAAATTATCGAGCAATTCTTCTTTAATAAATAATTTTTCTTGTTCAGTTTCATATCGAACATCTGGTTCTGTGCCATTTACAGGTTGATCTGGTGTTATCGCGTCAACTTCATCTTCTGATTTGCTTCTTCTTCTCTTTTTATCGTAGTCACTGTAGCCGGAATAATCTTCGGAGCTGCTTTTGTCTTTGTGTTGTTTTTTTCTGCGCTGTTTCTTTCTCTTCGGAACACCAGTGACCAAATCGAATGAAGAATCGCCGCCAATTCCGTCGTCTAGACTGGAACCAGTTGACCTGCCTTCACTCAAACTGCGTTTTCTATTGTCTACCGTAGTTTCTTCTAAAATATCTTTCTTTTCGATTAGACTTTCTGTAATGGAAAGATGTGCGGAGGACAACGCATCCGCGAAAGTATCGCTGTCGTCCTGTTTTGAAGACGGGAGCGGAGACAACGGTGGCTCCTCATCTTTCTGAGCGCTGTGAAAGCTTTCGGATTCGATTCGTTGGCTTTTTTCGCTCTTCGACGACGATATGCTCATTGATTTTTTTCGAGGAGGTCTGCTAGGAGCTTTCTCGTCTTCTTCTCCGTTGTATCGAGCTGATCTCTTCAGAGAACTGCGAGAATCGCGTTCTGGCGAAGAGAGAACATGCGTCACGTCATCCATGATAGAGACATCTTCGACATCAGCTTCGGTTCTTAGATCGTCTTCTGCGCTGACGAAATAATCGGGTGACACGTCAATCACTACGGCCTCCATCAGCAAATTACCGGACGTAGATGTTTCTTTAACGAACCTCATCGGTGGTAGCTCGATCACGTTATGTTCTACATAAATACATTTATAAATTATAAACTAACGAATATATTTGTTTTTCTTCTGTGTGATATTCAGTTATGATAAATTAGAAAAAGATGTAATGTAAGTCTCTTACCTGTTACATGCTCAGACAATTGATCAGCGTACATTTCGACGATTTGAAGCGCCTCTTCTTCAGTGAGATCGGGTGTTTCGTACAAACTGACTGACACTTCTTTACCGTCAAAGCTAAAGGATACCTCACCTCGCTCGTCCAATGTAACAGAATGATCTGTTTGAGGTGTATCGTACAACTGGGAGGTTCGCTCTTCGTGTATGGTCGATAAGGATAAATTTCTCGCTAATTCGTGACCGTTTGGCGACTGAATTTCCTTTGCTTGTTTTGCCGCTTTTGCTTCTGAAATTAAATCTTTGTTTGGTTAAACTTCTTACAGTTTTTCTAAAAATTGCAGTATCTAACACACGAAGATCTACCTTCGAATCCTAAGAGAGACGCGGAACTGCTGACTGTTCCCATGCAATTCGTAGCTTCGCAAGTGTACACTCCTAAACAACAGGTGCCGTCCTGTCCAGAAATAATTCGATGTATATCACCGGGTTTGAGCTCGGCGTTGTCTTTGTACCACTTCAAAACCGGCTGTGGGACGCCGATAACCTTGCACTCTAAATTTACAGCACCTTCTTCCGACAAGATCGCTCGTAAACTTTCGAGGAATATCGGTTTTTTGTAATGCTTGGGAATGATCAGCTTGAGGAAACAGGATGTGACGCTGTGGCCAAAGTCGTTTGCCGCAACGCATTTCCATTCGGCCTGAACAAATGGCAAAATTTGATAAATATTTTTTCATATCTTAAATAAAATAATTTCGTAATTTTGCGATTACTCACTTGATCGATAAACTCGAGCTTTTGCACTTCAAGATGACATTTACCAAGAGTCTCTTTTGCTTGGTGATACTTGTCGGATTCGTCAACTAATGTATCGTCTCTGTACCAAGAAAGAGTTGGTTCTGGAGCAACACTTACTAAAGGAAAATTACATTTTGTTAATGTGATAAAAGACAAAGTTTAACAATTTATTTACTTAAAAAAATGAAAAAATATAAATACCTTGTATTGTGAAGCGGAAGTCTTCGTTTATTCTCGCTTCGCAACTTCGAAGGCCCTTAATGAACTTCGGAGGCTGATTGGTGCTCAGGAGTTGAAAACGTTCCTCTTCGTTTAGCTGATTCTGAATATCTTCGATTGTCAATTCGGCTGTGCTCTTGGCTTCGCCCATGCAGTTTTTCGCGATACAGCAATAAGAACCTAAATAATATTTAATGAATCTATGCACATAGAGAATGAAAAAGAAATCGAGAGTAATAAGAGCTACCTAATGAATTAGTTCCCGTCAATTGATAAACGTCTCCTGGCTTCAGTTCCTGACCATCTTTGAACCACCTCAACAATGGAGTTGGAAAACCTACGACTTTGCATTCGAACGAGACAAGACCTTCTTCCGTCAGAACTGCTTTCAGGTTCTCCATGAACCGCGGTTTTCTATAATTTCTTGGAACTTGAAAAAAAGATAAAATAATCATTAATACTTTTATATTTTACATTATATATATATATCTATATTAGCACTCTATTTTTGGTACGCAATACGTACTAGACATTGCTACGTAACAGCTTGAGAATTGCTTCATATTCTCCTCGCTGGTAGCGACGCACTTCCATTCACCCTCATCTACGGCCTCTACTTGTGTTACCTCAATCGAGTATCCTCCGATGCCATCCTCTATGATGTGATATTTTTCGCCGGGTTCGACACGACCTCCTTTGTTGTACCAAGTGATCGTTTTCGGCCAGGGAGGTACTTGAACTATCAGTTAACATTTCACATAAAGATAAAATAAATGTAATGTGTAATAAAAAACAAAAAAATTATTAATCAATTTTTTACCGCGACAAGATAGCAAGAGATCGTCTCCGATTCTGCAGCATTCGTCTTGAAGAAACTGTTTAAATACTGGAAGTGGTCCCGATGGTGTTAGAGCATCCGCCGGTTTCAGCGAACCTTCACGACTTCCTCTTCCAACGACGTGAACCTGGAAGAACAAAACAAACGACTTGTCTACATCTCGTCAAACAACAAAATCGAAAGAAACAGAAGTAAATGTATTTACTTTAGAAGAAGAATAAGCTGTTCCCATACAATTGACCGCTTCGCAAGTATAAACTCCGAGAGAAGTTGGATCATCGAGATTGGCGGTCAACGCGAAAACGTCTCCGGCCTTGATTTCTTTGTTGTCTTTGAACCATCTCAGCATTGGTGTAGGTACACCCACTACTTTGCATTCCAGCGACACCGTACCCGTTTCTGTGAGCAGCGCGCGAAGCTCTTCGACAAATTCGGGCTTCTTATAAGCTTTCGGAACTGAAGTTTGAGATCGAATCTACGATTATTAATTAATTCGAAACGATAATCAATTTAGAAACGTCGAGCGAACAATCGATTACCAATAACAGTGAGGGTGGACGTGCACGAGGATCTCCCGCTACGATTTTCCGCCATGCACGTCCAACTTCCTTGATCCTCGACGGTGACGGGGGCGACATCAACGCAATGAAAATTACCCTCGTTAACAAGGGAGAATCTAAGTCCATCGTTAATGAGCGAGTCATCTTTGTACCACGTTATCTGAAATTATTAAGTGTCTAATGTCTTTTTTTTGTAATTGAGTTAAAAAATGATGAGTTTTACGACGCGATTTTATTGTAGTTTTATATAATAATTAAATTCCCCGTATAGTAGAAATGGTGTAATACGTTAAAGCGCTTTAAGCGTATGGCGGAAGAGGAATATCGCGAAGGAATATCGGAATATATAGTCTCTCTGACATAGTATGCGGCCACGCGTAATAATAGTATTAATACGACGCACAAGAACGCGCAAAAGCGTCAGCTTCCTTTACTCTTCGCCATCTTTCGTCAGGTCATGGACCTCCCGATACCCATCTTAGTTCGCCTTTCTCGTTTCGTCTGGTGCCGGGACACGAAAAGGAAGAGAAATGCCTAACAATAAGTCACGGCTGGTACCATCAGTTTCCAACCTTCCGGGTTGATCGCAGAAGTTGGCACGGTATATTATCAATCTATCTTAGGTCAGAATGTCTCTTACGTCACGTCACAGATATGGCCATGTCGCCACAGGTCATTTTCTCGTCTCGTTAATACACCATCCAATTAAGCTATAATTATCTGCGACAAATTTATTCGCAACACAATATGTGCCCGAATAATATGTTTCTTACGTGTGCTGCGCCTCAGTGAAAAAAAAAATTTTGTTAGTATGTCAAATCTTACCTTTAAAGTGCTTGAACTTCGGACTTCCACCAAAAATCTGGTTCGAGTGCCGACCTTTACTGCGAGATCGCTTAATCTTCGTAAAAAAACGGGAGGTTCACCGTCTTCGTAGCTTTGCTCGCTGACGCTCAAATGTATTTTCTTTGCAGCGCCTTTACTGTTTTCTTGCCCGAGTCTTGTGGCTACGAGGGAATAGTAACCCGTGTCATTTTTGCGCGATTGCTTCAGAGCTAGTTGAACGATATTGCCTCGCATCGACAACCGATAACGATCCGATGAAATTGGTAATCCATCTCGTATTCTGTAAATTTAGTCAATTAAACAGTACTGATTCTTGTAAATTTATGTAACAATGAAAGAAAAGGTGTTTTGAGTGAACAATTAAAGAAAAATGTAATTAATTGTATAATGTGCGAATCAAATAATGTAGAAAAGTGAGTTGCTGCAGAATTATTTCGACAATTGCTAATTGTTTAACGATTTAATTAATCTTGAATTGAAATGTATTTGTATTTTTTCGGGGTTATGGCTGGTGTCCAATCAGCTCGGCTACTTTCGCCGAATCTATTTATCGTTTGTCTGTCAACATTTCCGCGCTATTCAAACTAATTGATTACATACTATTAGATCATTTAATTAGATTAAATTTGGGTTTTTTAATAAATTTATAATATTCTTTAACTGACTTTAGTCTTTTAAGAATTTTTACGATTTTAAGGATTTTACGAGCAATTGCCAAACATTTTTATGCATTTTGAGAAAATTGCAACAAATACAAATTTTAAAATAAGAAGGAAACAAAAACAAAGAAGACTTGGGTTTTTTTGTATGTTATATCATCGCGCTTAACTTTGTTATTATGTTCTTCTCTGACGCCTGTTTCTATATCTATGTAAAAATATGTTACATTGGCCCGACATATTTCGGGTAACAGAATGATCTAGAGTCTTGGCATTGCTCTACTGCCCTATTTTTGTCATCTTTTTCGCAACGTGAGGAGCTCGTTTAGAAAAAAAAAAAGATTTGAGAAAAAAAGTCTGATATAAACACAATCTATTGATTTGTCTGCACGTTTTTTTCTTTATGTAATAAATCGTTATTATAGCGATCGAAGGAACAATAGGAAATGCAGAACGATCCCTAGAAATATCGCACATCGATACCATCATTGCAACGCGATGCAATTGCGCGCATCTGACGTAAGGCCGGTGAGAATAAACTGACGCGACGCCACGTAGCCTCGACGTGTCTCTATCGCTTAATTCATATTCACATTTCACGTGTTTTTAATAAATCTGTATTACAGCGCGCGTTTTGCATTCAATATCTAAAACACCGTTAAAGAGATATGTGATGTTTACATTGTTTGATTGTCAGCGTACTCGATACGTTTCAGGTGTTGAGAAAAGTTGCGAATATATATTGTTAATTATTCACATATAAAGACTAAATTTAGATTACGAGCACCATTTTTATTGTCCTACCGATATTCCGACTCGTCGGAGGAGGATCCAATGGCGTTCTTTTTACCGTTTGCGCATTTGCAACAATCACTTCCCATGATGAATTTAATGAACTAGGCAAACCTTCCGCTCAGCGTCAAAATGCACCACCGATGAGGTAATAGCCAGAAATTGGCCGCGCATTATTTTCACAAATAAACATTTCGTTCTTAACATCCACGTTGAAACATTCCTCAATGTCATCTTATCATGTCGACACGATCCAGAGTGTACTCCACTTTCCGAGATATCGATCTGCCGCGCATAATCTTCGTTCATGACACTGCGAGCACCCGCGTGAGCGATAAAATTAGCGAGATACACAGATCAGTCGATCGACAATTCTGACAGCGCGATGGCGCTCTGCAGAGACTCGTTTTACTGATGCATCAATACACGTCTCATGTACTTATCGACATGAATCACATTATTATTTCTTTATTTTTTTTTAAATTTCATATTGTTATTAGCTCAATTTTTTTTAAAGCAACTTTTGACGTAATATTTGGTTTTTTCTTCAAATTTTTATAACGTTAGTTTTTCTTCATACATAATAATGATTTCTTGTATTTCTTAAAAAGTGTCTTATTTGAAGATAAAATTTGCGGAAAGGGGATGATTTTTTCTTTTTTTAATTGATACTTTAATAATGCTCAATAATAGATTCTCTTGTTTCATAATTGTTCCAAATGCACAAGGAACTGACAGCTAATCAAGCTCGAAACGAGGAACCCAACAACGCCAGATTGTTTGACCCTGCCACCTTTTTAAGAGACGTGTACCGATGCACTCGAATCGGATGGTTGAAAACCCCTTTCTTAGGGGTTCGTCGCGACGCTCTCAGCGTCAGACTGATAGCGAGAGACGCCAACGTCAGGCTGTCCCCTCCCAATTTTCCACCTCCATCAACAGATTCATACGTTGTTCCGAGGAACCGTAAGCAACGGGCTATTTCACATAGGGACCAGCCGAGGAAAAGATGGACCGGACAAGACATGGACACGCCTTTCATATTTTTGCGAAAACTTCGCAAGCACGATCGAAATTAGCTTACGCAAAGTGGCGTCTGTCGCGATGACGAGGAACAGCGAGGAGAGTTCAAAAAATTTTCGTAATTTAATCGTATTTTACTACTGTGACATAGTGTCTGAATCGCCGTGACGATTAAAACTATCAAAGCAAAGGTGATTCAACGTCCGCGTGCGACGCATATTTTAGGCACGCGAAACTAACTGAAATTTAATTCAGCAAACGTGTATTCAAAATATTGTGTGCGTAATTAGAAGTCAATCAACATTGACAGTGGTTATTAATTATTTAATGCTTTCTCTTGTTTTATTTTAAGTACAGAGTAATTACAATTACATATGCAGTTTTTAAACTAAAAAAAGACGATGTAAACGATGAAACGTTTCTGCAGTTTTAGAGAGATTATGAATTATTTATTATATTTCAGAGGCAATCTTGTACAAGATATTCTATATTGTCTTTTGTATTATCAGCGAACTTAAATGTCGGAATGACGGACATGTTACTCGCATCTTCAACAATAATGGCATGACGATCCATGTAAAAATATAATCCATGTAAAAATATAATATTGTACAAAATTACATACGCAAATATAATTCGCTTCTCTGAAATTAAGCGCGTGACAGCTGAAAATAACTCGCGTTTGATCCTTGGCACGTTCCAAGGTTTTACGTAAAATTAAGGCCGATGTATAAGAATGAATGATAACGTGAAAACATATTAATTCCAGGTTGAGATATCCGAATAAAAAAGGGAAATATTGCTCGTCGAGTATAGTGTCGAATGCATACGCCACGTAATAACTTTATTTAGCGGACAATCTTGTTTATTGTACTCACAATTCAAATTGTAAGTCATCGTAATTCTCAGGCGAGACGAATTTCAATTCGACGATGATGTCTTCGCCTACACGTCCTTGGGCCAGCACGGTCTGATCCTCCTCGACCCATTCTGGCGGCTCTTTATTCCTCGACTTGTAATCTGCAAACGTTTTTTGCAGTTTTAATTTTATTCTTATGCAAAACAAAATTCTCATTATTAATGCTTTTACGGCACAAAATCTCGAATATTGGAGCATTCTTTATCGATGACGGAAGAAAAGTTAAGTTGTTGTTGAAAAGCTACCTGCTATTTCTAGACTCACGTGTTTCTGCAAAATGGCTACAGGGTGGCAGTAGTACGAACATGCAAAATAGCATAAATATAGACGACTATATTGAAAGCGTGGTGAAGTCTGAAGCCGCTTAAGAAAATAAAAACGTAGTCCGTCTATAAATCTTTGCAATCTTACGAGTTTGCGGCTCGTGAAGTGCGCTCGGAATTTTCGATCAGATGCAACCCACGCACGCTCGGGGTTGCACCATTAGCATAAATAAATATTTTCACGTTTTTGTCTGGTAAAAAGTTTGGCAAGCAACTTTGTTGATATTTATGCTGCATCCGCACACCACTTCATTAAGGAAATCAATTATTAAGAAATCAATCAGTCAAATTAAATCTCAATCATTGCGTTTGGTTTTAGTATTCCGGTATTGTTTTTTATCAGTGAGTTATCGCGATGTACGATGTTCTTCTAAAAATATAAAATAAAATCTATTCTGACGAGATGACAGTTCTTTATCAGCGGTAATACTTTAGTAATTTATCATTCACTTATTAAAAATACTTATCAAACTCAAATACTTAATAAACTGCACACACAAACAGCAAATAAATTATCAAATTTTTAATTATTTATTACACATTTCAATTTTAATTTATTATTATATTGTTTTAGATTAATTTGTTTGTTTTATTGTGTGATGAATTTTTATTTTCTAATATGTTTTTACGCAACTTTGATGATGTTGAATTTGCATCGCAGTATTTTATTTATATTCCGTTTGATTTGCGTTTGTGACATTGTTTTTTCTTTTCAATTGCAACTAAACTAAAGAAAAACATGCAAATCACATGTATATAAGAAATAGAAATCTGGCATCTACCGTAATATCATTGATAGACCGGCACCGATCTAGATATCATTCTGATACCGGCTTTTATACCGGCGAACACACGTTACAACAGTTCGATTGTGCGTCTTACCTGTTAAGGTCATCTCGTCAGATGTTACGTAGAATGATCTTTCCGTAAATCGACATCACTCGCGGAGGATCGACGTGCTTACGCGTGTATCACTCGAGAAGACCTGCAACCGTCTTCCGCCACCACTACCGCCAACTTGTTCCTGTCTTGACCCTATATTGATACAGCACACCCTACACTACGACGTCTGACGGCAGGAGGCCCTGCTCCGTTCTAAAATCGTCCCGACGCCGCACCGCTCTCGGCTTCGTCGTTTTAACGAAAGAAGCACATGCGCCGTTTGAGATCTACGTACTCTCTTTTCCACGTTGCTTCTCCCGTTCGCTGATGTAACTGCCAGTGGCGTTCCTATTTTCATGATTCTTCTTTGATTTTTTTCCCGCCGTGCGAAATTAAAATTTACTTCGCATTTTGTACTCCCGAATCGCTTGCAACTAGATGATCAATTAAACAAGTGAAAAATTTTATAAAAGTAAAACATTATTTATATTTAAAACATTATTTATATTTAAATAAATGGCAGATGAAGAAACAGGTTATATATAATATAGTTATAGATTCAAGTTTTTTTCATGAAAATATGTACATGATTTATTACAGGAATAAAAGACAAAAGTAACATTTATTATAAATAAAGCAAATAACAATAACAAGTATCGAATAACTGAATTATACATGAAAAATGTTATAAATATTGTTTGCGTGATTCAATACATTTTCATTCCAATGTATATTATCTCTTTAACAATCATTTGCATTATTTTAATTGGTAAACCGGATGTATAAAATATATATGCGTATTCATTCATTAATGTTTCTTGGTGGATCGTCTCCAGCGACGTGGTATCCATCCGTGTATCTCCTCCTGTATTCTTCGATACAAAAGAAGCACAATAAACGGGACCGCCAGAGTTTCCTTCTTGAAGAAATAGACGTACATCGCAGCCATCAGCAACGTCACGTCGGTTACATAGCTTACTGTTGTTCTGACCGTCTTCTTGGCCTCCTGAGCCAACTGTTCTTCGTCTACTCGATCGGTACTGCTAACGTCTTCTTTGGTAACTTTGGAGTCTCTTCTCGCACGGTACTTGTTGCTCTCGAGCGCTTGTTGCAACTTCTCGACCTTCGCTTCCACCGACTTCTTTGCGCCAAATTTCTCTCTGGAACTTGATCTTGATCGCGATGCAGGCCTGGACGGCACTTTGGATCTACCAGAAGGTTGCTCGCTCGAATCGTTTCTTGCCAAAGACCGATTGGGTCTTTCCTGAGAAGGTGTGCGATTCCGAGTTTTGGAAGACGATCTCGAAGAAGCGCCTCCCGCACGTTCCCGCTTCTTTGCGGCTGGAGATTGGTCCCTGGAGCTTGGTCTGCTTCCGCGCTTCTCCGTTGCGGTCTTCGTGTCCTTCGCGGGAGTTGCACTTCTGGAATTGATGCCCTCTTTTTTGAGACCTGTTACCTGACCAGTTTTCTTCTGCTTGTCAATTACATCATTTTTATTCTTCGGTTGTGAAGGCTCATCTTGTTTGTTTGTTAGCTTCGCGAGTTTCTCCTGTATTCGATTTTTTTGATCCTGATCCTCAGAAAAAGAGGATCTTCGAGAGCTGGCCGCGCTACCGTGTCGCGAATGACTGGAATATTCTCGAACTATCTCGGTGTACTGATTCACGACCGCCATTCTGGCCTCCATTTCGGCCGTATCCTCTTCAGGCGTCACAGATCGTAGTTTTGATTGTCTTCTACTTTTCGCCGCTTCTGCTGCCGACAGAATGCTATCCGTGTCGGATTCCGACATTATGGGTGTTCTCATGAGCTCGGGTGTACTTGGAATATCCGGGATTCTTTCCTCACCGCTCGTAACCGTCGTATCCAAATCTTCCGTTTGATATTGCTGCGAAAGAGTGTTTCTGACTGGTTCCGGTGAAATTGATCTGTCAACGGTGTCGTAAGAGACTACTTCTTCTTTGGGCTTTTTCAGAATTGATTTAGGCATCATGTTGCTCGGAGAAACGGGAGTGACTGCTCGAACAGGCGGAGGAGACAAAACGTCCACAATCGGTCTGTCATACGAAATCTGCGGCATCTCCGGCTCGACATGAGGAATCGGTCTTCCTCGAGGATGATAAGTGTCTTCCTCTTCCATAACCTGTCTCGCTAGAATCCTTGATTTTAACAGTCTCAAATCTTCACTGTCCGCGCTGCTCATCTCTTCTGACGACTCTTCCGAAGTTTCGACGCTGTAAGTTTCCTCTTCTCTCGCTTCCTTAGATTGGTCGAACGTCTGGACTTCCTCGGTATTCGGACTGGTAGAAGTTACCACCTCCTCGCCGTTATTCGTACGTATCGATTGCTCCTGTTGCACCTCCTCCAATAGCGGCACTGTCGCCTCGTGCCATCTACGCAGACGTTCCACAGATTCGTTCTCGTTGCTCCTCCTCCAAGGATCTGTCACCATCATCGTTTCGGATGGGAGATTCGGATCCGATCGCGCCTCAAAGTCCATCAGAGCCGGTGAGAGAAGTTTCATTGTTTTTGAAGCCGAATCGGTTTGTCCTTCGCTCAATCTTCGTCGGTTCTTTTTCGCCTGCCACGAAACGATCAAGTTCTGCGTGACGCCAGAATTGGACATGCGTCTCAGAAGTGACGACTTCTGAACAGATTCGACGTCTGATTGCGCCAGTTCGCCAACCTGCGTTTCAAGCTGTAACTTTCGTTTGGCGATTTCAGACGTCTCTTCGGCGGCAACCGCACGATAGAAACGCTCCATAGCTCGTTCGTGAAGAAGTTCAGTGGAACTGACCGCTTCTCGCATCACTTCCACCACTTCGTGCTGTGCGCTGAACAATTCCGGAAGAGAAAGCGACATCGGGGGCGGTATAAGATCGTCCTCGTCTTCGATCAGCTCGATATCCGGCTTGTCACCTGAGAAATAGTTACGAAATAAAAAACTCAATTAATTTTTAATTATCCAAGTAGTTAAAAAAAATTTAAACTTACTACCGCCTCTATCCCGAAACTCGGCACCACTCATTATACCGATATCGTCTTTTTCTTGTTTCTCGTCATCCGGATACAAAACCAGCATGAATTCCGAACTGCCGTGCAACGCGTTGTAATCGTCTTCTTCTGTTTCCTGTAAGCGCGGACTGCTCGACGAAGACACGACGGATTCATTCACAATTGCGGTCTGTCTCTTTAGAATGGAACTCGGAGCTGGTGAAAGATTATTTGTCGTAGCGCGAGTTTCTTCTTTCTGCCGTTCCGAAATTTGCGAAATAGAAAGTGGAGAAAGACTTCTTCTTTCTCTCGTTACGATTATTAAATTTGGCTTGAGATTCTCATCGATTCCCGTTGGCTTTGGCGACAGTGTTCTTTCTCTCTTGATAACAACATCTTGCTGCAATTCGAAAAAGATTATTGCACTTTTTTTCTTCTTAATTTAGAATCTAATTACATTTTTTTTTATGCTTTTATACTCTTCTTACCTTATCTCTCGCATCTGCCGATCGATTTGTGTAGTTTTCGAGAGAAGCTTCTTGTTTCGCGTGATCTCTCGATCTGGCCGGAGGAATCGGAGGAGACTGTTCTTTTTTCACAGTGTCCAATGCAAATGTCACTCTGCTGTCCGCTCTGGAAGGCCTGTCGAGTCGCTGCGCCGAAGCGGATCGATCATCGTATCCGAAATGACCGCTGCGTTCGTCGTCTCGCATTTTAGCTTCTTCCCTTGTTAAACTTCTGGTCCTCTGCGTCGACATGGTAAAACTCACTTCTCGTTTGTCACCGCGGGATCTGCTGATCTCTCGATGACTTTGCGATTTTTCGCTCAGAGTCGGTGCTACGATTCTACATTCGTAAATATTATGAATATTATTAATGCGCAGCTAGAAATAACAAAATAAAATGTTTGTAAAAAAAAAAAATACCTTCGTTTATGATCAGGAATGAAGATAACATCGCTTTCTTCGCTGGGATCACTAACTCCGTAAGGATTCTCAGCCTTCACGCGAAATTTGTACTCGGAACCTTCAATCAGTTCCGTCAACGTTGCGGTGGTGCGTCTGCTCGTCGTTGCTTTCAGCCACACATCCCAGCCAATCTGAAACAATTTTTCTCAAGTCTCTGGAAATTCACACTGAATTGAATTAATTAAGCGACTACGTACTCTGTAGTACTCGACAATATACGTTCCGATTTTGCATCCACCGTCGTCTTCCGGTTCGTTCCACGAAAGCGTCACCGATCTACCTAAAGTCATCGCGACGGCAATTTTGCCGGGAGCAGCAGGTCGATCTGTTGCGGAAAATCGAAAAATTTCCATCACTCGAAAAAACTGAAGAAATTTATTTGCATTAAACGTAACGTTATTTTTAAACCTGTCACAGTGACGAGAAAAGATGCGGTATCTTCGCCAAGTTTGTTCGTAGCTTTGACGGTGTATTCTCCTCGATCGATTCGCTTAGCGTCCGGTATTTTCAAAACTGACTCGCCGTCCATTACTTCAAACACGTGTCTGGCGTCTTTAGATACAAGTTCTCCATCGTGATACCAGGTGACAACAGGCGATGGTTTGCCCGCTAAGGACACTTTCAGTCTAATGGTCTCGTCCTGCTCAAAGAGCAAACCGTCCTCATATTGACGCGGCAGCCGAATTCGTGGTGGTGCTAGACACAATAATAGCACGATTCAAAAACTTATTAATAACATAGAAGCTCTATATTTCATTGTTATGATTGTCTAACCTTCGAGAATTAACTTAGCTCTAGTAGCAATGTGGCCCGCTCGATTGGTGGCGGTGCATTTGATTTCGCCCTCGTCATTGAGAGCGGTTTGGTGAATCAAAAGAACACTCTTGCCGTTGTCCGTAATGATTCTGGTACGTCTGCTGCTGAAAATCTCGAAACCGTCTTTAAACCACGAGATCTTCGGCAACGGCGTGCCAGAAAATTGTACAACAAACTCGGCCTGCACGGAGAGAAATTTTGAAATGAATATAAATGGATCTCTCCGAATTTGCATTCAGCGAACGTACTTGTTCGTTTTCGAGCGCGATCGTGTCCTTGAGCTCCAGATCGAAGTGAGGAGCGCACGCGACAGTGGCTTTCTGCAAGGTAACGGTGAGAGGCTCGGAGATTTCGCTCGGCGCCGAAAGTCCGAGCGAATTCTGAGCACGAACTCGAAAATGATAACGCCATCCCGGCTCGAGACCGCTCAGATTCAATTCCGGAAAGGCACAAAGACCGGGACTGCTTCGCACCCAATGAGAAGATCCCATCCGCCGATGTTCCACTAAGTAGCCAATAATCGCAGATCCACCGTTATTCGGCGATCTTTCCCATCGTATTGCCACAACTTCCGGCTGCTCCTCATTTGTTCCTGATATTAGAATAGGTTTGCCTGGCGGAGCTGGAAGAACTGAACAATATTGAATTTCTATGTGAAATCTGTTTCTATCGAACCTCATACTTTACAAACTGAAGAAAAAGTTGTGAAATATTGTTTGTTGTTAATTAATTTAAAAAAACAATTATATTATTTATTTAAAGATACTTTTTAAGGAATTAAATATTATTTAAGTTTATTTATATATTATATATATATATATTTTATTTATATATTATAACAAAAAATTCTAAAACTAACAAAATATAACTTCTACATTATAGAACAGGTGATACTGAAATTACAAAGTGAACTCGTGTTCGTACGATATAGAGCAGACAATTTTCAACGTTGGTATACATAAGTGACGCTCCCAAAATAAAATGCGTCGCGTTTGGCAGTACAGTAATGTACTGAACCGGCGCTGACTACAGATTAAGCATCCGATATCATTATTTCTTATCTATTTTTGCATTACCTGTGCATTAACTGTGCATTGTTTCAACAGTGCACATCACGTAGCGTTAAAGTTTTGTACAATTGATCTTTTTAAAATTTAAATTTATTAAAAACAAAACACAATTTCTTTTTCTTCTAAACTAGAAAAATCGGTAGTTAGCAGCAGTCTAATTTTAGCTGTCGAAATCACTTAATCGCAATTTAATATATATCTATTGCTATATAAATTGTTGGTTGTGCAAATACATATACTTCGAAATCTAGACACGTTCGAAGCATCGACTTGATGAGATAGCAAATTCCTTGTTTCTTTCTTTATACAAGTTGAACCGATGTAACGTTAGACTCTGTCTCTTCAAGGGTTTCTCAATTCAAGAGATCAAATATCGCACGATTGCGCGGGCAAAACATGAGATTTACCTGGACCGTCCCAACGCGCCTTTTTCGAACTAGTACCGACGGAGATGTTCTTCGAATAGTTTTTCGTAGAGGTGTTGCCCATTATCGTGTCCGCTCCTCCTCTTTCTTCTCCTCATCGAGCCAAGCTCGATGATCACTCTCTTTCTGGCCAGTTTTTCTATCGTTCCCACAAACGTCGAAGTGTCAAAAGTATCACATTGACAATGCTATCTGAAGAAAGATCGAAGAGCAAAATGATGCTGATCGCTTGATGATGACCGGACTCGGGTGAAAGAGGAGAAGAGAGAGAGGAAACGCGAGGAGAAGAGAGATAGAGAAAACAGAGACGGGAAGAGAGAAAACGAAAGAAAAAGAGAAAGAGATGAATAGAAAAGAGAGAAAGACAGCGAGAATATGCTCGATATAGCACGAGGCTCGCTGCAGCACTGGCGAACTTCCCCGTGGTCCACGATCGTGGCGACGCCAAATCTCTTCAGCTTTTCTTGACGTCTATCTTTGTCCCACTGGCGTTAGCTATATTTGTTTCCGCATACTTTCTCGATAATTAACAAAGCAAGATCTTATAATAAAGTTAAATATAAAAAACTTAAAATAAATCTAACTTACTGCTTATATAATGTCTCATGTGTGTAAAATATTTGTTATATATTTGTTTCCTATTTTAATGTTTCTATATATTAATACAAAAAGTTCTATTTATATAAGATATAACAATTATCTTATGCAATTTTTATAAAGTGCAAAAGTTATTTTCGAATTAATTAAAATACTGTAGTACGAAACACGTCGCTAAGATTCTTTTTTGTTAACGTTTTTATTCAAGAAATATACACAACATACTTTTTCAGCAAAGTAATGCATTCAGTGCGTGAAGTTAAATTACATGACATGTAAATTACTCAGCTAAAATATATATATATATTTTATTTAATTGTAAGCCATAAGTTATACTATTTGTTTAAACTTGTTTAAGATAACAGTTAACGATATGACCGTGTGTAGTATATTCACGCAAAAATCACAATACATTAGCTTTTTGTAATCCCCGTTACTTTTTCGTCTAAAATGTTTCCGCATATTTTAAACCAAAGAATGATAACAAGTGGTAAAAATGCGGTTCCGCAGATGCGGCGAGGTGAGAGGAAAAGGACAAGCGGTGCGTGAAGGAGGGGCGAGCTCACGGTTAATCGGTGCCAAAGTACCGTTGTATCTGAATGGACCACAGAGATGGCTTTCGGTTTTCCTGCAGCCTCCGTCGTGGCTGCAACACCGCGCGCGCTGCACCCACCGCGTCCGTGCGGGTCCCGCGCATAGATGCACGTGTGCGACTATTTTTCTTCCGTCATCTAACACGGAAACACGTGCGATCAAGTTGGATCTCACAACGGGGCGCGACAGCTCACCCGTCGCTCACGTGGACACGCAGGTGTAATTCTCGAAGTCGAAACAGCTGTTCCATGATGTTCTCCACATTTCCGCTATGCATTCGAAATGCACATTAGGCTGCGAACTGCATATGCGCGATGTTCCGTTGTGACGCTCCGCGAGTGTTTCGAAAATTTTGACTCGACGTGAATGGAGATTGTTATTTTAGAGCAGTGAGTACTGTCATATATTAAATTGCAATCTGTAATTAAAAAGTATGTATACATAAATTTTTTTTTAATGGTAAACAACTGGCTTGTACTGTTTTAGTTTTTCTTGCGCAAAAATGGAGAATAGAACTGCGTGATTAGAATTCTTTTGCTGGTCATGGTTTATTACTGCGTAAAATGATATAGTTGCCAACAGCAATAATTATAACTTACATTAACAATTGTACAGAAGATTATCTGTGTAAAACAATTTTTTTTAAGTTATAGAAATGTCAATAAAGAATTTGAAAGCGGTGGATATCCTGGAAGTTCTAGAGTCAAAGCTCGCGTATATTCCAGGCGGTCGTGATCGCGACGGACGTCCTTTGATAGTAATTAATGTTCCACCAGAACTCGATCCGTCAACAAAACCGAAATTAGAATCCGTTATTTCGTATTTTATGTCTATTTTCAGGTAAAGATAGTAACATCAATATATTCTTATTAAAAGTGTGTCATTAGGTCAATATATATATATATATACGTAATGCTTATGTGTGATCTAATATCTGTTGATAATGGATTAGCGAGGAAACGAAAGAGAACGGATTGGTACTAATTGTGGACGCGCGTAGCGGTGCATGGCGCGTAGCTAGGTCCTGTATTAGATTGGCCACGAATTTGATCGGAACGAAAATCGTTTCTGTGATCGTCGTACGACCCGATGGTTTCTGGGATAAACGCGTCGACAGCTGCACCAAGTCGCACAAAGAAGGCGAAGTTAGTAAAATAAATATAAAAAACATAAATCAATTGTAACTTTGCGAGTGTTTTCATTTCCGTAAAAAAAAAATTGTTTCAGCCAATATATGTCACCCTAACAAGACTGCATGTTTATATCGATTTTTCTCAATTGCCGTATGAGTTCGCAGGTAACAAACCATACAATCACGTTGAATGGATTAGGAAACGTATGGTAAATTATAGTTTTGAGCACAAATATTATCTAACATAAAAAAATATGAATGTTTTTTTTTTTTAATTTATATTTACTGCTTACAAACAGAAAATAGAAGAGTATTCGAGGGATGCTTCAGAGCTCGTGTCAAAGATGACGAGTTTGCATCAAAGACTAAATACTCTCGATGGCATTCGCATGACAGAGTCCGACGATGATGTGGAATCATATTGGGAAATCGGCATAAAATTGGTGTCAACGGCACGCCATATACTTCAATCAGGTCTATTTCGTATTATGTATTTCTTTTACTTAATCGTGGAAATATAATTATGAAAGAAGTCAAACAAATGTCATTTGTTTGCAGGTAGAAATTTAGTGAGTTGTATGAGTAGAGACACTTCGAAAGATACTTTGGACACCGTGAAAGAAATTCACAAACTGCTCGATTCTATTGAACTAAAACAGGTATTTGATTATATTTACATTTAATTCATATTTTATTACATTCGGTGTCGTTTTTCACTTTTAGATGGATATTGAAAATTCGTGGATGGAAATGGAAAGAAATTTGGATACCGCGAGAGTAATCGAGGATCTGGAGCAAGGTGTGTCGAGTGTCACCGATTGGATTCTAGGTCCTGCGGACAACATGTTGAACTCCTGCTGTCAAGTTGGTTTTGACGTTTCTTCGTCCGAGGAACTTCGAAGACAGCACGAAAAGCTGGAACTTCAATGTCGGGTAAATGAACTAATAAAAACATCACATCAATTTTATTTTTATTTAAAGAAGAATTTGCGATATGTGTTTAATACGGTTTATATTAGGAAACTTACGGACGATACGCGGAATTGCTTCATAAAATCGACAGTCTTCCTAAGAACAGACTACCTGAGGATTTGAAATCTCAAAGAGATTTCATGGATTTCGTTTGCCGCAGTTTCGCTTCGCGACTCGAAAGACGTAGAAACGTACTAATCACTTCGCAGAGATTTTTCAGACTGGTTTCGGAGGTAAAACTAAATTTCACAATAAACAGCAGCTAAAAATTACTCGTTATTGCTCTATTTGTTATTGTACTTTTAGTATTTCGACAAAACGAGCGAAGTATTCGAACACTTAGTTATGGGCAGCAGAAACTACAATTTCTCTCAGGCGAGCGTGAAACTTCTGACGTTAGAAAAGAGTCAAGCAGTTCTAGACAATTTAGAGCGCGAACTCGTAAAAGAGGGTGAAAAATTATCGGACATTCTCTCGATGCCCGTGAAAGACGCGCTCGGTCGAGAAGTTCGTGTGAATTACGACGAGGATATAATCAATGTGAAAGACATACTAGACGCGACAAACGCAAGGAAAAACATATTCAACGACAGCGTGGAATTGCAAAAGCTCTCGTTAAAACAAATAGCTCTGATACACATGTACGAGAGCGATGCCGAGCAGGCGAGTACAACGCAAAAATATGATAATAAAATAGTAATAATGAAAGTCATATTTTTTTTAGGCTGTCAAGTGGATAAATGATTTGTTCAACGTTCTTCTTCAAAATCACATGGAAGTTGGATGCAACGCAAAAGAAATACAATCGCAAAAGGAAGAGCATCAGTCCCTTCAGGAAACTGCAAAGGTAAAATAAAGTTAGTTGCGACTTCTTTATTTTGGATTTACGCAAAATTGAAGTCAAATAATTCCAGGGAACTTATGAGTATGGCGGCCAGTTGGTGAACGGCGCGCGCGTACTGAGATTGTCTTGCAGAATACCTTTGGAGATCAACGCCAGTCTCTTCTCGAAGTTGCGGCAAGCTTGGCGGCAATTTCGATCCGTTAGTCAGGAACAATTGACCAGATTGCGAGTATGCGCTGTCTTTCACAGAAACGTCGAAGATGTACGAACTAACACTAATAAACGAACTCTGATAATATATATGAATTCGAAAGTAGTGCTTGAGCTACTTTATTCTAGGAAAGAAACATCATTCCGTATTATTGCGGTGTCATGCAGCTATACGTCTTCTACACTTTCTATTAATTTATTTCAAGCACTGCGTCAGATTACAAAATCTGATGGAAGCGGTAACGAGTCTGCATCGTGTTGCGAAAGACGAAGACACGGCGGCGAAATCACGCGTCAGAACGGGCATAAGAGACGTTCTTGATAACCGAGAGAAGCTCCTACTGGAGGTTGGTCGAATGGTGAGACTGGGTCGTCTGCTTAAAACAAGATTGAAAGAGCCTCTTTATCAACCGTGAGTACGATTTCATTGCATTATCATAATTATGACATCTCTGATGATTTAAAAATTTGCAATATCAGATTTCGAATTAATGATTTAATTTACATACGCATCAGATCAGCGTGACTGAGTTGAAGCGAGAAATTAAGCGAGTGTCGTGAAGATAAATTAATTACACAAATCAGAAATACTCATTTAGCGAGAGAAATCTTTTTTTCTTCTTTTGTAAATTATAATTAGAGAATAAGAGCAAATAGAAAAGAACATAGTAAACTAGCGAGAGGTAGTAAAGTGCAGTCGAACGCCTACGTGTTTAATAGAGACGGTGTCAGTCCATGGCCGACTCTCGTCGAGATAGCTCCTGCAAATCTAGAACCGACGCACGTAAGTTTGTTACAGCAAGACAACTTAAATGTATCTTTGAGTAAGAATTATTATACTTATATGCGTTATTTTTTTATTTTATGTTCTTGTAGTTTCGCTAATATTTTTTACATATATTTAGTTTTGTGTGTTTATTTGATGAGTATGCTACAATGCGGATCACATGTCAATTGACAGACAAATATCTGCATTTGGTTTTTTTTTATAAGAAAAAGTATTAATTGACAAATGAATGTTTACAACTGAATATTTTTTATTTCGTACTTTTTATAACTTTAATCGTTGCTGAGACTAACGTTTTAATTTTAACATTGTTAAGTTTGATATTTGATGTTTTCGCGATGTGTCGTAAGAATTCCTGAAGATAGTTTTCGCGTTTAAATGTTAATTTTTGGATATAAAAATGACACTAACATGATTCAAACCCGAAAATCATCTTCAGAAATTATTAAGAATTACCATGATGCTCATGAATAACAAAACATCGCGTTGTTCCACAATTCTCTGGCTTCGTTCCACGGTCACATCGCAAACTTAAAGCTCGACTGGTAATATGCGAATATTTCGCCTCCAATATTTTGGCGAACTGGCTTACGTCATGAAGAATCGTCCATCGTATTGCATCACCAAGATTATTTTTGATGCATCTTCTAACAATGAAAGGAAAACTTGACGCTCGAATATTGAAGTAAACGATGACTTGAAATAAAAAGTTTGTTAAAAAAAAAACTCTCTTTGATATTGTTAAAAGAGTTTATATACGATTGGTTATACAAGTATTTAGTGAAACAACCGCGTTTTACGAAATTAGAACCGTCGTCCCAAATTACAGAGGCCACGTGACAACACACTGTCAATGCACTGTCAAACGATCGATTATGTAATTTACTAAGATCAAACTTTTTTCAAGTTTCTTTCTAATATACAACTAGGCGAAATTGTTTACTTTACACAGCTCTTTGGTTTTCTTAGTTATTATTTTCTGTAAACGATATAAAATATTTAGAACGTGTAAATACACGGTACAAGCAAGTGGTGTGTTACCGTGCGGAGCTTCTGGAACTCACTGAAACCGCAGACGCCAAACAACCTTCGACGATTTCTAGTCCAGAAAAACAATCTATTTATAGAATATCAATCTGACTAAACAAATTCGCTTTTCTAGAATGACCGAAGCCGCGTCGATTCTCGGCAGTAACTTGACAGCGGTGGATGCTATCTCGGCGAAATTAGCGGAAGTCGCGCGTCTCGCGGAAAAACTGGATGCGAGACTATGCGAGGCTGGAGCTAGAACTCGCTCGGTGTCTATTCCTGCAGCAGTGACGTCCTCAGCTTCGTCCTTGCTCTCGATATCTGTCGCGTCGTCGTCGGACGCGCCCGTCCACACGACTTCAATCACATCGACACCGGTTGCCACAGTTTCGACCGCAACTGCAACTACTCTGAAGCAACCATCATCTTCGGGAACCGCGATAATTAAGTCCGATGTAATTAAACCGATTACGTCCATGGCGGAAATACCCGACGAGAGTTCGCTTCATATCCGCTCACATTCCGCACAAAATGTCGAAGCGACCAATAAGGATAGCAATAAGGTGAGTTAATCTATCGTCAAAACATCGTTAATTTTCAAATAATGATAGTCAGTTAAATTTGGCGTTTCTATTTTTATAGGAAGTTGCCGACAAATCTTATAGCGAAAGCGCTACGGAGGAATATAACGTAGAATGTTATACGACAGCTACTGAGTGCTCGACACCACTTCCTATCTCCAGAAGCGAGTCTTTCGTGACGTCGCCGGAATGTGAAGATCTTTTTACTACGGCGCCTGTGGTGACGCCCTCGTGTTCTAGTTCCACTTGGTAATTACGCAAATATTTAATCTTTTTGTAAAATCACTTGTGCTTCACCAAATCTAAATATTCTGACTTACGTAGGATCACTGGAACGCCTAAACTAACAACTACAACCGCACCTCATTACTCTGGTACGAGCAATGAGACTCAAACAATGAAACCTACTGAAGTAATGTCAAATATTTCCTCCTCCATTAGCGGCACACAACCAACAACACGTATCAAAACGATGGACAAAATTACTGACGTATGTTGGAAATAAATGTACATGACATTAAAAAAAAAATCCGATATTTAATAAAAATAATTATTTTTGCGTATAGGAAAGATCAGGCAAAATTGCGAAAGAAGTGACGGAGACGACCGTCTTACGTGTATCGCATAACGTTCGATTAGACGTCGCCTCTTACAAAGTCACGTCAAATACGGTACTAGATCATCGACAACACATTGATGGAAAGGTTATTCAAGATATAGAAAGTGTGATACCAGCGGAATCACATGAAAAAACGGATGGTGTTCATCAGGATTCTGATGTCTCTTTGTTCAGTCAGTATTTCATTTTGATGATTTTTATCATATACAATATGATAATATAATTTATTTTTAATTTATTTTATTCTTCATGTTTCAATAGAAGAGTCTGAAAAATGTGTTGCGAAGTGTCCGAAGAATGTTCAATCGGATCAAAATGTTACAACAAAATTCACAAATAAGGTTAACGAGAGCTCGCGTTCTAATTTAAAAGAATACGAGGATATTTCGTTGTTTTCGCAAGAGTTATCGCGACATCACGAAGACAGCGGAATTGACATGTCGCCGATAAAGAAGGACGACAATTTGGAAGACGACGAGTTCCTCGAGAAAGCGAGGAAGGTGAGTCCGATCGAGAATTCGCCGATAATTGGCAGAAAAAGTTTGTTAAGTGTTAACAACTGCAACTAAACTCGCTATATATATTCGTCATTTCTTAGCTCGAGCTAAATACTTGTGGAATGTGCTTATTGTAATTGCATCTTTTATCTCAAGCTTTATATAAATATATGTTTACTTAATCGCCGCCTAAAAATTTTTGCAGCTTTGATAAAGACAATTTTTATGTAACTCATCTGACAAATAAATGTTACCAAACTATACTACCTATAACGCATTTGTTTGATTAGAGAAATATTTATATTTGTACAAATTATTGCTCGCATTAAGAATATGCCATGTAACTTCTAGGCTAGAAGTATAAAAAAAACTAGCGTTAACTGCACACTTTTAATGCGTTTTGTTGTATTGCAAATAAAAAAGTTTTACATAATACACTCTCTTGGAGACTTTTTATACTACGTCGCAGCATATATTCGTTATTTTTACAAATTGCCTGACAGTGATGTCGATTTATACATATTTGATTTATATATATTTAAGAAACACGTCGCCGCGTTTATTCTTTCTTCGCGAAGGTGTAGCGCAAAATGCAAATTATTAAACAATGAATAATTATAGTTAATTACGAATTATCTTTATCTCTTTTGAAAACCACACATTGCACAACTATTGCATATAAATTGTTATTATTATATAAAATTGTTGTTGTAGTATACAATTAAACACAACTTTTTATTAAACAAACTTTACTCTTATTCTTATTTTTAAGTCTTTGTTGCATTTAATTTCACATCTTTCGTGCTGTACCGTAATTCTCGGCGAGATTTTTCATTTGAAATCCAGCTAGCGAGCATCTGCTGGTCTTTTCTCGTTTACGATCGCTCCACTTTCGTTCGACGTCGCTGCGTCGCGCAGCTTTGCTTCGTAGATCGTGCTCGACGAGCGCGACGAAGGTGAGCGGGAGGCGTCCGGAGGCTTAAACCGGGAGGCCGGAGGCCGTGACGCGCCATGCCGGTTCAGTCTTGGTTCGGCTGGTTACTGCAACCGATCGACTGGTGACGTGATACACTCGTGACATGTGTCACGCGAGTGTTTCTGCCGTTATTATTGTCGTCATTACTGCTCTTACCGCCTAAACGCAAATCGATTTTAGGTGATTGCCATATCGTGCCAAGTAGAATATTATTATGAGGCAAAATAGATATTTTTGTAAAATTTTGTACTCGTAACTTGGTGCACCGTAGAGACGTTTTGCCGTAATGTCATTGACGTAAATTTAAATTAAACGAGAAAAATATAAAACACAGTTCTGACTCTACCACGTTTATTAAACAAAAAAAACAAATCTCTGTCAAAAATCTCTGTCACTTTAAACAGTAATGTCACAAACTGGACATTGATGTAAAGTGATGTTTTTTTAATACAAGAGCCGGTTTAAAAATTAATTGGCAAAGCAATCACGTAATTCTTTAATATAATGAAAGAATAAAATACTTATTAAACAAAAAATACTTGGAACATTCTTTCAAAATACATATTTTGACTGATCTTTTTATCGGGTCATCTTTGCCTGTGGTTTTCACCGTAATGTACTTGTCGCTTCGAAAGAACGCTACCAGTCAGGCCGGTTTTATTCTACCATTTGTTCGTCTCCATCGATGACGTCACCGTGTAAAGATATCTATATAAAGTATAAATAAGTAATATGTAACCGCGACGACTCTAAATCTCCAAAGAAGATTTTAGTGTAGAATTAAACAAATTGTAATCTTTTCATATCGTAACAAAATGTAAATTTCAATAAACGCATTAAAAATATTATTTTCTTATTTTTCGCAACATAAAAAAATATTGTAGATGAAAATTATAAATAAAATAAATCTTTTTTTAAACTGCTGCAAATTGAGCGAGGTGAACATCGAAAAGATGTCGTAAGAAGATTCTAAATAAGAATTTTGATTTGTAGTGTGACAAACATAATAACGCTCGTCTCTCTTGTGTTGAAGACATTTTTACAGCAGCGCCTTTAATCATGTGCCAAAAATAACATCAATCGGGAGAAGAAGACAGCTGTGCGCCAACTGGAAATTTATAATTTTTCATCTGTTAACGTCTTCTTTCTCTTTGAGAATATCGATGAGCAAGATGTTTATTATGTCTCGGTTTAGATCGGCATACGTCACTGTGATATATTTAGCTACGGGCATTGAAATCACCCTGCCCGTTTCAGAAGGCATGAAATCATTAGATCGCGTAATAGTGTAACTCAATTTTTTTTTCGCAACTCGTCTGTCAATGATATTGCTCAATTCGTAGCGTGTACCAGCGTTCGGCGAGTACATAATTTTTCCTGTATGCTTTCGAACTTTGAGAATGCATAATCTCTTGGCAATCATCCAATCGACTAACGTTTAAGATTTGAAACGGAGTATCGCTCGGAAGACGAAATTAATGATGATGGTTAACGGTCCCGAGTCGATGGAGATGCATCCCGAAGGATCCGCCGGCGAAATGAACTCGGGAATAGCGATGCAGAGAGATGAGGGCACGCAACAGATTATCTCCCCGACCACCACGATAAGCACTATAGTCGTGCAAAGCGGAGAAACGCGTGTAGTAATCGCTTTGCTTCAAGTAAGGAACCATTTATCCTTTTTATCTTTTTTTGACTCTGACCGCGAGCGATTGGATAATAAATTTGACGCGAGAGATTTGTTAAGATCAAACAGAGGATTTTCTACTGTTTGATTTAGAGTTTTCACAGCAAAAGATTAACTTAACGCCGCGCGATCTCGCGTATAAACGCCTATGGTGTGGATATTTCGGGATTCGGTTGCTTCGGTCTATAGTTATTTCCGAGTCCTCTCGAAACCGTAAGCGTTTTAGGTATCCGCTGAGCAAAACGAGTCTCCCGAAACTCCACGAAGGATAAATTTAACCGCTAAGTACAGTAACTCCCATTACACGCCATGATCAGATATACACCCATCTCACGTGTGTGTACGCCGAGAGTTCCGAAATACTAAGGGATCACGACCGCCGCGCGCGATCTGCGATTGCGAATTGCATATCGAACGTTGTTGACTGCAGATTTAAAAAATCTTTTTATTGCTCTTTTCTTTTAAATAAAACAATCGAGACAACCAGATGTCAAATATAATTCTCTCACGAAATTGAACGAAATTGAAAATTTTAATTGCACGCGATTCGACTAGGAGTACAACCTCGCGCGCGAATCTTTCATTTATTATCTCAAATTGAAAACCGCGGCTAATTCCCGCGAGACAAATCGGCAAATAGACCGAGTGACCGGCGAAGTCCATATCGAACCGAGAGAGATCTCTCTCCCGCGGTAGGATTCCGTGCACTCTCTCGTGTAATCTAACAAACCGGTATTATATGCGAGACGGCTCGGGGCGGCCCGGGCCCAGCCCGGCCCGTCTCGCGGACGCGCAGCATGATTCTTCCTTTTACCGCACCTTTCCACCTATATCGTCTCTAGCGACACCGACTTCTACGGTCTAGCGACACCGACTTCTACGTCCAAAAAGAAAGAAATAAGCATGGACTCCCAGACACGTGAGATTTCTGCGACGTAGTTTGCTACTACTGATCATCACAGTGTTTCTTTAGACTTTTGTTGAGAAAAATATCCATCTTCTGTTTTTAAGGATATATACATATATTTTTTTCTTCTTTTTTTAAAAGGAAATTATAATAATGAATATAATGTAAAAGAAAAAAATTAAATGGCACGACCAACTCGTTAGTATATGACCAGTGTAGTTATTTTTATCATCGGGCAACTCTTTTCCAGCTGAAACTCTGCTGTTTTTTCATTTTCTATGTGCTCGAATTACGCATTTTAATTTCAAGCATACGAATACATACGACCATATTCGGTTAAACCAGTCGTTTCACCGCGCGCGGAATTTTTCCTCGCGCATGTACACGTGACTTTATGGCATCATGTTCAATTTGAGCCGCGCCAGCCATAAGATTTGCTTTCACTCGCATCACGAATTCCGTTTTCTTTGGTGATCGATTATATAACGTAATTATACTTCGCATCTCTCTTTTGTGTCTGCAAACGCGTTCGAACACGTTTTTGTTTTGTAATCTTTTTTCTTCTGTCATTAGTTATTCTAATACCCGCGAGAAAAAAATTGTGAAAGGGGCTGTGTCTTTTCTAGCACGTTAAAACAAAAAAAAACATTTTGATGACATATGGCGATACAAGAGAAGAGAACTGGTCAATCCAAACCTGGATATTCGGCAGTCTGCCAAAGATGAAAATGGAAACATATCTTGCTCGTTTCTGCATCCCAACCTTATGAGGTCGATGAACTGAGGCCAATCTCTGTCTCCGCACTGTCTTTTCTTTTTGTTTTTTTTTTCCCTCATCTTTCTTCTTGTATATATAATACTCGAGGAGTAAAATCTCGATTAGTTTTAAATTCGATCCAAAATTTGTGCACGATCATGCATTACAAGCTGTTAATGGATGATGCTGAGCCGTTAATGGAAATTTATTTGAAGACTGAAGCCGCTAATGGACGATAACGGAAGTTTATTTGAAGACTAGATCAATCTTTCGTGTTCAATGTGCATCGTTCGAGATTAATATCTATATTTACTAAAACTTTCTTGTTTGGCATTTGTTTTAAAAAGTGTTTTAATCGAAATATTAAATAAAAATAGAATAACAGTTTTTTGAAGCAATCAATTTATTTGATGATGTCATCGAATTAATTTTAATTGTTTATATATACTTTTGTCATTTGTGATATTGTACAAGATCTTCATTACGTCGGTTAATAATTTTTTGTTTAGAGCGGCGAATGGCTGAAGCTGAAAATACTCGAGTTGCAACCAGAACTAACGAAACTCGGCGCTTCTGTAAAAGAAGCTACGGAATTCTCGAACGCTCACGAGCAAGTGTTACTTCGGTTACAGGTGACGTATATATCTCCGATCAGAGCGTAGCAAACTCTTGCTTTTAGATTACGTCAAATTTACATTAAATACAATCAAATAAAATATAGAAATCTCCGATAAATTAAAATTTTCTCATAAGTAGAACAAGCAGAACCCGGTGGAAGAATTACTGCGGCAAGCTGATCATCTGATTGCGACCCAGCAAACCAAAGCGGAAGTGTACGCGGCAATGGCGGAATCGTTGGGCCAAGCGTGGCGCGATGTGAATCAACTTTTGGAACGTCGCAAGGAAATACTCGATCAAAACGTGTTGTTTCAACGGTACTTGCAAAACATAATTGAATAATTTCGCGCTTCGCACAAGTTGTTCGACACAATTGATTATATATTGCAGTCGTGCGGCAGAATGCAGAGAAAATATGGATGCGTTAGAGATGGCGTGTAACGACACGTTGCTGCCGATCGAGATCGAAGCGGTGAGAAATTTTCTATCAAAGATCCAGGATCTTCGCAAGGACATGCTGGAAGCGCTGATGGGCGCGCTGCGGGAAGGCAAGACACTGCTGGATCGACTGAAGGAATTGGCGAACGAAGGCACCATAGACTCGAGACCGGATAGAGTCAAGGACGATGCTAATCACGGTGTGTCATGTGTTTTTGATTGTGTGTTTGTTTGATTTTTCCCATTGATTATTTGCTCGTTAAAAAATCAGCTATTTTGTGCCCAATATAGTTCTGACACGAGAATATTACATTTTGTTAGCTATGCTGCTCGTTGAAAGATGGCTGGAAGAACTTCACGACAGAAGGCGGCTGATCGAGACGTCTTTTCGCAGCAGGAAGACACAGTTGGAGCAATGTCTCGCTCTCGCGCTGCTCGCAACCGATCTTCGTGATCTTGAAGAACTTCTTAACGACAGAATAGCCGCGTTAGCAGGTACTTGCGATCAGTTAGGGGATTCTGCATCTAATGCGGAGATGCTTCTCTTTGAATTAAAGAAGTTGCAAGCTGAAGCAAAGGTAACGTAAACATCAATTTAATTAAATCTGAAATGAGACGCAATTAAAAAAATATAAAAAATATATTTTGTTCTCTTAGGACTTCCAAGACAGAGCAATTAAAATAACCAAATCGACCGAACGATTAGTGTCATCAGGACACTTCGCTGGCGAACAAGCGACCGAACAGGCATACGCGATTCTTAGCGTTGCCGCCGATTACGTCAACGACTTAGATCAGTATAGCACGCTGTTAAACAAAGCAATGGCTTTCTTCGAATCTGCACGATCCGTGCGTATCTTTATAATTTTTTTTTTTTTTACTTACTTTTGTGAACTACTCATTCAAATATAATTTTTTATACTTCGACGCGCAGGCTCTCACGAAATTGGATCAACTGGAGATTCAATTGATGACAACGGAGCATCCTCCTTATTCCGCGCGTCTCGCGCGCTTCCACGCGCAAACTGTTGCCACGATAGAAGATGTGACTGCTAAGCCCCTGGCAGAAGGATATGCGCTGCTGGATGTCACGGGAAGAGGAGCGCCCGGCGCCGAGGTCAGATTATTAATCGATTAATTTTTATAAGTATATTTAGTATTGCGCAGTAAGTTGAACCTTGTAATATATGTCACGTTTAGGGTGTAAGGAACACCATTAAAGAACTTGAGAATCGCAAGACTAGTTTGATAGAACGGTGCACGGCTCATAAAGAAGAAAATCTGGAGATTTCGAGAATGCTTGCTACATTTTTGGACAAGCACGAAGCGTTGCGAGCTTGGCTGACTAGCGTCGTCGAGGCGTTTCTTCAAGGGCATCAAGACATGGGCAGCGATCTTGCGATGGCACGCGACTTCCGTCGAGTTCATTGCCAACTGTTGATCGATCTAGAGAATAAGAGCGAGGAAGTGGATCACCTGGAACTGGAGATCTTGCCAGTCGTAGAACGCCTGGAGGAGACGCAAAAATACGAACTGCGATCGAAAATAAAAAATCTTAAAGATGAATGGACAAAAATTAAGATCGCACTTGTTAAAAGGATCGAACTGGGCACGACTTACATACAGTTTCACGAAATTGTCGAAGAATTGACCAACGAAATGGATTTTATCACCGATGAACTAAAGAAGTGTGAGGGCGTGTTAAATGAAGCTAAGATTAATGAGTTGGAAAAAAAATGGACGTCTCTGGAACCACTCTACAAGAAACTTGACGATCATGCAAAAGCGTTCCTCGATGAAACGGACAATGTGAGTAATTTATAAACTAAGTTTGGATTAGAAAAACAATTTTACTAATTTTTATTAAACTTTTAAAAAATTGGAACAAAATGTAAAGCTTGTGTCTATATTCCTGTTTCATAGGTTGATGACCCTTATCTCGATGTATCTCGAGCTTGTCTGTGTGTTCAGACCCTTTTAGAAAAGTTCGCCAATCGGCAATTGGTCGTGACCGAGTCGTGGGAAAAATGGCAGACCACCATCGAAATTACAAGACAGAGACGAATCGAGTGCAAACGAAAAATCGAGGAAAGCGCAAAGGTACTAGACTTCAATTTATATTGTTGCTTTTTTTGTATATTGTTATCGATTTATTCTATCGCAGACATTAGCGTGGATTTCACAACTGGAAACAACGCTATATCCCGTGATAACAACACCATTCTCCAGAATAATCGATATCCTGGAGAATTTGAAGGATGTAAAGCAACGGATCCTACCTGAACTAAACAAAGCTCTTCAAGAATTGGACACTAGAAAGAAAAACATTAAAGTATTTGTCGAAAGAGGTAATTAAAAAAAAGATCGTATTTATGTTACATCATATTTAGCAAAATACATTTAAATACACAAATGATTAAATAAAATATCAGATAACGCTGAAGCAGCCGAGCAGGTATCAAATAAACTTGTGCAAACATACGAGAAGACGTATACTGTCACCAAAGATTACGAGATTCTATTGGAGTCTTTAATTTCTATCTTCAAAAATCTTGAAGAGGTAAAACAGATTTTGAAATATTTTAAACATTTGCATCTTATTAAACTTATTTGAATTGTGTAATATGTTCTTCTTTTTTTAAGGTCGAGAATAAGATTTGTCAAACAAAGCGAGAAAGTGAATGCGTGTCGAATTTCACAAGATCGATTGATGTCGACGGTGCATTGAGCGAACTCGATATATTGAAAACATTTATCACGAAATTCTTACAACAAATACGTACAAAATCTGAAGATATCATCGACAGCATTAGACGACAGGAGCCACCAGAATCAGCGACACAAGATATCGAGAAATTGAAACGCGCGATACATTCCGTGGTCGTCGAGTACGAGAGGTTTCAGACGGAAACAACGAGCTGTCTCGAGAAACACCGACGACTTTGCATCTTCCGGGAGGATCTTGAGAAAATTAATTCGGATCTACGTGAGTTAAACGATCAGTTGAAGAATGTAGACGAAAAACTTGGAAACAATTTGTCAGCATCGAAAACTGCGTTGGCCAGTTTCGAACAGTTTGAGCAAACTTTAACGGTGAGTTACAGTTAAAAAAATAATTTAGCAAGATTTTCGAAAACGTTTTTTATTGTTGATCTACCGTTTTTCGACTTTTATTAGACTTTGGAAGAAAAAATAGAGATCTTCGTAAAAGAAGCTGAAGAGACGATCGTTCCATCACCGCCTCAAGTGACGGACGAGATTTTGTCATTGCGAAACAGATTTGATCATCTGAGACAATACGTTCGAGATATCAAGAAGCGAATGAATTTAAGTATCGAATACTTTGTGCTCTTGGAAGAAGCCAAACAATGGTTTAGAGAAGGCAGCAAACTTCTGGTGATTGTTGCGCGTAAAGCAACAAGTGTCAAAGTGCCTGAAGAAACCGTCGATTTATTGCGAGAGATCGAAGCTTACTTGAAGCCAGGCGAAGAGCAACAAGAAAAAAGAATTGAGAAGCTCAAGCAATTGTCGACTATAGTTTTCGGCACAGACAGACTCCCGCAGTTTCAGGAAGTAGTGGGAGAAAATCGTCAGATGCTGGATTCGTTTGCAGTTATTTCTTCCGAATTGCGTACTCTTAGTCAAAATTTACAAACCGCCGAGGATCTTAAAGAGAAACTGCAAGCCGAGCAGCTGGAAGTTGATCAAAAGTTACAGGCGGTCAAGATAGAAATGGCCGCGGCAGAAGCTGCCAGAAAGGAGGCGGAAAATGCGAAAAAACTTGCGGAACAACTTGCGGCTGAGACGTTAGACAAGGCTGCGATAGAAGCGAGAAGATTAAAAGAAGAAGAGGCGCGAAAACTTGTCTCTCCCGTTTCGCATTCTGTTTCTGCGCAAACCGAAACTATAGTGGAAGAAACGGTTACTTCCGCCGTGACGACAAAAGAGATTCATATTCTTCAAAAGGTAAGTAAAAAAAATTGATTATTTTGACAATTAATTTTGCAATATCGTATTGTATATAATTTGTATCTATTTTTGTTTGTAGACGGAAGTTGAAAAAAGTGTTCCAGTCGTTCAGAAGGAAGTTAGTCCCCCAAGAACACTAGTATTCGAAGAAATCCAAGAAAAATCACGCACCGAAGATTTAAAAGCGGACAAACTCGTTTCGTTGGCTCCGGAGTTTACAGTTCTCTTGAACGACGCAACAGTCGAGGAGGGCAAAGAATTCAATTTCGAATGTCACTTGATCGGCCAGCCGACGCCCGAAATAGTTTGGTACAAAGACGGAATATCGATTTTAAACAATCCGGATTATCTGACGACTTATCTGAACGGCGTTTGCGTCTTAAAAATAGAAGAGACGTTCGCTGAAGATTCCGCCAAGTACACTTGTCGAGCATTCAACATTCTTGGCTCTGCCGAAACTTCCGCCATTCTGACTGTCAAAGGTAATTAAATTTCATCATTGTTTTGCGCGCTTATTTTGAGAGCGCGCGTACAATAACGATCTCACGTCTGTAAAAATTATCTTCACAGAAACCGCTGCCGAAGAACAGCCAAGCGGTCCTGTCTTCGTAAAGGAACTGCAACCTTCGACCGTAAGGGAAGGATCCGCGCATACATTGGAGTGCACCGTTGAAGGAAATCCTCTTCCTACGGTGCAATGGTATAAGAACGACGTCAATATCGATAATTCGCCGGATTACGTGATTACTTTCAATAACGGCGAAGCTATTTTGAAGTTTGATGAGGTCTTTCTCGAAGACAAAGGGTTGTACACCTGCAAAGCCACAAACCGATGGGGACAATCATCTACTACTGCTTCTCTCGATGTGGAACGTAAGTCTATTGTTCTATTTTTAACGATTTATTGAAGTTTTTATTATTTTTTTATATATTATATTGATTTCAGCCGCACAAATTTCTATGAAGAAACCATATTTCGTGGTGCCATTGTCTAACGCTATGGCCAGGGCGGGGCAAAGAGTGAAACTAGAGTGCGAAGCCGGCGGAGATCCAATTCCCGAATTAAGCTGGAGTCACGACGGAAAACAACTCGAAGAAACCAGATATCATAAAGTGAGTGATGCACAGTTGATTCGATATATTTAGCGGAATGTGTAATCTGTTTGCTGACTTGTTTAGATTCAAACGGATGGCGCTCGAACGAGTTTGACTATCACGGAGGCTTTTCCAAAGGATGCCGGATCCTACTCGGTAACTGCCAAAAATGAGGTCGGCGAGGCCACTGCATCCTGCACAGTTTCCGTTAAAGGACGTTTGGTTCACGAAACCAGTGAATCCGACTTTGTTTGCAGCGACACGGAACCGATAGTTCCAAAGTTTCAGGTGCCTCTACGCGATCTCAAGATCCAAGAAGGACGTTCGGCCAGACTGGACTGCGTGATTGTTGGCCAACCAGAACCAGAAGTAAACTTGCTTCCTCGATAAGTGGTTTGCGTGACTTATAAACATTTTTTTTTTTTTTTAATTTTTGATGAATTTGTCCAGGTGATCTGGTACCACGATGATCAACCTGTGAAAGAATCGTCCGATTTTCAACTACTCTTTCAAGGTGACAGATGTTCGCTGGTTATTCACGAAGCTTTCTTGGATGACGCCGGCATGTACAAAGTAGTCGCCATTAATTCTGGCGGCGAAGCTTCTAGTCAATGTACATTAACAGTTACACGTATGTATACTTGTAACATACTTTTAAACCAATTATTTGCTTTTAAAGCAACGAGCAGTCACGAGATTTAATATTGTATTTAATGATGTTTTTTCTTCTTCAATTGCAGCGGCGTCTCACATCTCGGATGTACAAAAAGAAGAAGAAACTCTCGTCAGTGGTTCCCCGCCAAAGTTTGTTCGGCTTCCAACGGACTTGTTGGTGGCTGAGGGTGAAGATGCGTTTTTCGAATGTGCTGTAACTGGACAACCCAAACCTGATCTGAGATGGTACTCGGATGATTGTGAAGTTACACGTAAGGAGAGGATTCTAGTAAGTATATTATACATAGAGAAACCGTATAATATTTCAATTGTTCAGCAAGTAACTGTAACATTTTGTAAATTGTGTAGATTGAAGAAAAGGAAGATGGAACAAGAATATTGAAAATTTTGTCAACCACACCGGAAGATAAGGGCAATTATGTGGCGAAAGCCATAAATGCGCATGGCGAGGCGAAAGCTTTCGCCAGATTGGTCGTGAGATCCTTGGGTGATTTTAAGAGAAACGAAGAGTTAGTTCAAATGGAAGAAAAATTGATTCAGCCAACGTTCAAAGAAGTATTTAAAGACAGAACGGTTCCTGAAGGAGCTTCAACAAAATTCGAATGCATTGTCACTGGAAAACCTTCTCCCAAGGTAAAAAAAAGATTCATATTGTTATTTTATAAAATTTGTAGATATATAGATAATTTTTGTAACTTCAGATACAAGAAATAGTTCGCTTTTTATCTCAAATATTTTTTTATTTGCAAATTAAAAAAAGTTCTAGTGTACAATATTATTGTATTTGACTTTGTAACGCGAAAATCACTTTGATTTGTGATTCCTTGAATTGTATCGCCGTGAAATTTGCGTGGGCCTCGTAAACAACATGTAGATGGGCAGTTGGCTGGCCTGTCAGAACGGGACGAGGGTAATTTCGTGCCAGACGAGTTATATTTAACCGTGAACAATATACCTCATGTGAAAAGTCGCTATTGCAGTCGTGTCGCGAAGCATAGGGTGGAACTTACGACGCGGTGCGAGGCGCCGTCGTCTTGTCACATAGATACTTCGTACCAAGTACTTAATTTTCTCATTATGAAAATGATAAATTATTGGATATATTGGTGAAACCATAAAAGCACATATAGATTTACTCACGAAGCACGTGTTCATAGTGTCTTACTTCAGTGATTAATTTGTGTGATTAATTGTTACACTACAAAGTTTATTGGCAGTATCTTCTTTTTGCAGATTCAGTGGTTGTTTAATGATCAGCCGGTTCATGGAAAAGATTTTCTAGTTTCTGTTAGTGGAGATCGACAGGTTCTGGCAATTCCTGAAGTCGGGAATGCGCATATCGGTACAATTTCTTGTGTAGCGGAAAACGCGGCTGGTCGAGCAATTTGCAGTGCTAAAGTGGAAATCAGTAAGTCGTGTGTGATTATTGGTTTCTCGTTTTTCTTTTACCTCTGACGCTACTACTGGAAGTATCGGAAAATATAACGGTGTCACAAGTTATTAATACTCGCGATGCCCAGTTGAGTGTGGCTTATTCGATTCTCAACGAAAGACAGATAAAATAATCATTCGATGCAGAAACGGGATTTGAAAGAGAACACATTGTTATCAGTTGTGCATGTTTCAAAATAATGTACTTTAAATAAATTACTTTCTATTAGACATCAATATGCATGTTTTACCACCTACTTTAATATGTTGCATTTATAGTATGACCTGAATACATAAATTTGTAAACTTGAGTGCCGTATTTTTACGCGCAGAATTTTCAAGTGTGTAATATGAGACCTGTTAGTAAGAGAACTGGAATTACGTTTCAAATGTGAAGTGAGAGGAAAGAGATTTAAAAATATGTTAAAGAACGACGAGTCATCTTTTTCGTGTTGTTTATCTCTTTTTTTTCTCCAAAATATGATACACAGAGAAACCGTGTTATTTTTATCGGCGCATACTCCGGTTCTGACTCAAAGAATATACAAGTGCATTTTTACGCGTTAATAACTCTTTCATTGAATAATTTTCAATACAAGTTATCTGGATAATTTGCAAGATTGACGATGAAAGACACAACTTGTTATTATATTTAAAAAAATATATTAATTTATTATAATTAAAACATTTTTATTTAGTTATAATTATATATAATTTAATTAAATTATATATAATATATAATATATAATTATATATTATATATAATTTAATTATAATAGTATATATAATTATTATATGCGTTTGAAAATACAATGTTTTTTTCTAAGAAGTTGCAACGCAATGTTTTTCTAGTTAATGAAGAAAAAATAAAAAAAACAATAAGTAGTTTTATAAAACAATACGTTATTATTGCTTATTGGATCTTGCACATGTTACGAGACATCATTAAAGAGTGACAACGATATAAATTGGGTCTTGAGTTATATATTGCAGCCGAGTGCTCGATTCACCCATTACTAGGTGAACGATACTATTTCTGTCGTGGATCGTAGGCAAAGTATTTCGTTACTTCGCTGTGAACATTTCGGTCGTGCGCTTAGTACACTCTAGCACTCTTTATCTCTGATATCTTAAATTTATAAAATATGTGTGTATAGTATAGTAATTAAGATAATGTGTTTTTATCTTAAGTGGAGATCTCACATGAGAGAATCGATTAAATTCTTACAACTGTATTTTTGTTATTACTTCATCACACACACAATATTTATAGATTTGAAATCAGAAAAATTATACATAAATATTAAATTATTAAAATAATATTATTAATTAAATATAAATTTTGATACGACTGATTGATTGAAGTTTTCAACACTACGGATTAAGGCAATTATGTTTCACGTTAATCATCAATTGCAATTATACTGTGTAAAGTGTATTATTAATCTCACATCAGAAGAATGAAAGAATACTTGCTTTTCGCTTAATTAAGTTGGATCAAATTTCAGGTAGTGGATTCGAGCAGCAAACTATAGACGAAATTGAAAGAGTTCTTGAGATAGTTCCGCAATCACCTGCAGAGATCATGCATCCTGCAAGCAGCAGCGAGAAACACTTCTCAAGCGAGAAGACGTATCACGAAGGCGGTAGCGAAAGTCAAGTGCTGACTAAGATGTCGTCGTCCGTTACACATTCTTCGACAACGTCTATGAAGAAAGAATTCATATCATCCACTATGACATCATCGCAATCCGGACAAGAACCCAGCAGCGTTTGCACAAAAACAACTGTGCAAAGTTCGGAGCAATCTACTTCGGAAAACGGAGCACCACCTGTCGTACAAGTAAATATGCTAAGTACATCTGTATTATAAACGACTTCTGTCGCCGGTAAAAGTGATAATTACCGTTTGTTGTATTGCAATGCGAAATACTCATAAACCTCGAGCAGCCTTTTCTAATCAAAAGCGATCTATCTTTCAGTCTCACAAGATCCAGGAGTTCGAGAAGATCATACAGGAACAACCAAAAGAGATGCGGCAAGAAAAAACTGTCATCGTGTCTGAAGAGACGGACAGCGCGAAGCGAGATGTTAAGACAAGTCAAGTTCAAAAACCGTCCAGAAAATCGACAGCACCTAGATTCGTCTCACCAATTACAGGGATGATCGTCGATCAAGGATCAGATGTAGTTCTCGAGGGTATCATCGATGGTGAGTTCACATATTTTATTTTTTCATTTTTATTATGTAAATGTCTCTTTTATTTTATTCTTAAAAATTTCAATTTTCTTCGATAATTAATATTTCTTCTGTTGTTGATTTTGTCTTTAGGTTTTCCGCAGCCGACCGTCACATGGTCGAAGAACGGTCAAGAGTTGACGTCCAAAGATAATATAAAAATTAGTTATGCTCACAATCACGTGAAATTGGAGCTGAAGAATGCCAGTGTAAAGGATGCTGGACGTTATACTTGCATGGTAAACAATGATGTTGGAAGTGCCAGTAGTACTGCTGATCTTGTTGTTAAAAGTAAGTAATTGTGTTATAAATGTTTATACAATATGGAAAACTTTATATAAAATGTACGCATAACATTTCAGAGACAATATTTCCTCCCGTTTTTGGCAAACGTCTCAAAGCTCAAGTGGTTAAAAAAGGAGATCGTGTTATTATGGAAGTGGAAATTACCGGTATCCCGGATCCGACCGTTAGTTGGTACAAAAACGACGTGCCGATCAGTGAACGACCACCAGAATTGAGGATTATTCATCAAGGAAATTGTTACACACTGATCATAGATAAAGGTATCTTTTTTATACAAAAATGTTTTATTTGTTCTTTTTTGTTTTTAACTTTACAAAGTACATGAAATATATTTGAATTTTTATTACAGCCAAGGAAGAAGATGCTGGAAAATACATGGTGCGAGCGACAAATGCTGGTGGAGAGGCGCAAAGTATAGCTGACGTTGCGGTTTTCGATCCAAAGCCCGAAACAATGATCGAGGAACACAGGACTGTCATCTACGATGATGTCCAAGGCAAAAGTGTCGTCCAGGTAAGTTGTTACGTTTTTTGAAACCTGAAAACAATTTTTTTTTTAAACATATAACAAATTATAAAATAAAGTTTAATACATTTCTTCAAAGATAATATTTAGAATGCCTTATTTGGGTTTCTGTAAAATTATATATCTCTCTTGCGCTCTTAGTCCGAGGGAAAAAAAGAAGAGATATCTACATCAGGCATTTTGATGAGCGAAACACCAATCGCAACGTTTCTGCCGAGCGCATTTAAGCCAGTAACGACACTGATGTCGACCACGTTTGACACAGTGAAAAAAATCGAGCAACCGGAGATTACGGCTACTAAGTCGGAAAAGATTTCGTCGATAATCGAATCCCACGAAAGCGAGACGAAGTCAGAACAGAAGTTTCATATGAAATTGGAACACAAAACTCCGTCCATCGTGGAAATGAAATCTCCGATCGAACAAACAATCGCGGTAAAGGAACTCGACCGTGACAAGAAAGACATCATGGAGTCGTTTACGAAGATAAAAGAAGAAACGATCGAGAACGAAAATATAGAGACTTCGAGAATTGCCAAAAAAGACGCGCTGAGCTTCTTTGAGTCTATGACAAAGGAGACCGAGATAATACCGAAGAAACCAAAAGAAATGATTAAGTTGACAGAGGACGGACAAGCTCAAGAAGCTAAAGTGGGCAAACTGGCGCAAAGTTATGAGCGAGTGTCGACTCAAGAAGTGAAGAAACCAGAATCGAGACCGCTGGAGTTTCAAACAACAAAAAAAACTATGCAAGATATCTTTACTAAGTTCGAGCAAGGATCGTCGCCTCGCGGAGTGGAGAATAAACTGTTCGAGTTTCCGTATGAAAGTCCTAAAGTGGAAACAAAAAAAACTATTGTGGAGGAGATGATAACTTCCGGTTCGTCCATTTCGGAACTGCAAATTCAGACAGAGAGTTCTGAAACGTTAATGAAAAGTTTCAATCTGGTGCCGGAACCACCTCCCGAAATATGTTACATGCCGAAACCGGAAGAGTTGAGAAAAAAGCGACCCGACATATCTGTTAAGGCAAAGCAGCTTCAAGAATCTTTTGAAAAAACAATATCACCCATCGACGCCCCGATCGGCGGTGTAAAGATCTTTCCCACGTCTCTCTCGAAGACGCCGGAGTCTGCTCCCGTGCGTCCTGTCAAAATCACGGAACCGACTCTTGTGTGTACAATACCACCGCCGTTCGAACTCGAAAAGAAAGAAATGTTAGAAGAGATATGTGTGAAAAAAGATGCGCACGAAAAAAAGGAAAGTAAATATTTTAAAGAAGAAAAAACGGAGCCATTTCGATATACGTCGATGTCAACGTCTATCGTAAGAAGTGCTTCTCCCACCAGACCGTGGTCGTCGTCATCGGACGTAGAAACCAAATCACATGTGTCCACGGATCTGTCAGAATATAGATGTCATTCGGCCGCTTCTAGTCACCAGGAGATTCTGCGATCGTCGTCACCTAGACCGTCTGCCGATGGGCTGGCAATGGAAAAATCCTGGGCAAAAAAGTGCGCGGACTCGAACAGAAAATCGTGGCCGCCTCCAAGCGATTCCGCCCAGAAATGGAATGTTCCCGTCGACGAGTACAAGAGCTCCACGAAAGAGTTCAAGCAGAAGGTCGAAGAAACGCCGCAAGGTGTAAAAAAGATCAGCACGGAGTCGTCCGCCAGTGTGGAAAAACGTTCGTGGTCCAGCAAAGAAGAGTTCACGGAGAAGATAGTGGAAAAGACACCGCCGGCGAGACTCGGTCCGATAATCTACAACGCCGAAACGATCAAAGTCGATCACACCGTGAACACGATGCAGGAAAAGTCACTTTACGAGAAGTACATGAGCGAGTGCAACGTAGAGAAAGCAGAGACAATGCAGAAGTTTGAAGAATTTGGTTCAAAACAATGGACGGATGGGAAAGAGCTGAAAGCACCTAGTTTGGTGAAGAAAGTCGAACCACTCGCGAAACCACTTGTGACGCCTTCTCTTGTACAGACCGAAATAGACTCGATCATCCTCAAGCCAGGATCGCCTCCAGAAATTGGATACGTTCCACCACCCATAAAGGAGACAACTATGATCGAACAAAAAGAAATAGACTCGATCGTTCTCAAGCCAGGATCGCCTCCAGAAATTGGATACGTTCCGCCACCCATAAAAGAGAAAACTGTGATTGAACGCACGGAAATGGATTCGATCGTTATCAAGCCGGAATCATCTCCGAAAATTGCATATATTCCACCTCCTATAAAAGAGAAAACTGTGATCGAACATGTTGCAAAAGTAGAAAAGAAGATAGAATCACCCGTGCGTATTACACCACCACCTGTACTTCCGCCAAAAGACATGCGCATCACACCTCCGCCTGTCCCAGCCAAGAAACCCGCGAAAGTCTCGACGCCAATGCCATCGAAGTTCGTCAAAAGTTCATTCGGTCATGAGAGTGACTACGAATCCGATTTTGAGGGTCGTCTAAAAGCGAAGTGGAGACCCTATGAAAGCGACAATGAAGAGCCGCACTATCGGAGAGTCAAGGCACCTGTTCTGAAACAACCAACGAGACCGAGATCCACCGAGCCCGAGCCACTGCCGCCGTCCCAATTCGAGACTCCTACGCCATTCACAGGACTGTCCAAATCTTTAGTTACCACGGAATCTACCGAAAAGATAATAAAAAAGACGGCAGTCAAACGACACGAGAAAGAATTTAAACAACAGCAGCAACAAGAGCAAACTTCAATTCCTCTGAAACCAGGTTCACCGCCGATTTATGTGCAGCCGGCCACGAAGAGTTCCGCGCCAAGATCTCCTTCCGCCAAGAAACCGGAATCTCCGAAGTTTAAAACAAAAGTTTTCCAACAGGAAAGTGGTTACATGGCAGATACCGATGAGCCCTTTCAGCAGAAAATTTCATCCACAACGATGCAAAAATCTTATGGAAAACGCGACGGTTCTTCGACATTTCACACGGAGAGCCGTACCACGTGCACTGAAAGCAAGACAAAAATCTTCGAAACTCGCAGTTACGAAAGCGATCAGTTTCGTAAAGAAGAATCTTTCGTCTCGCCATCTATTTCTAGCGTGCAAACCAGTCCCAAAGTCGCTCAACAGCAACGCAGCTCGTTCGAGAAAAGTTACGCCTCGTCAACTAGCAGCGGTCTGCACAAATTCGATTCCGTGAAGGTTCGAGATGCGTGTTCGTGTGTGCATTTCGAATGTCGTTTTATATTTCTGTGTGCCTGTCCAAGAAATTAAAAAGCTATCAATCACAAATAATAATAAAATGCAAAACGTTTTGGATAATAAATTGTAGATGTAGATTTTAACACGTATGCGTTAACGATTGGAATGATGAACTACTATTATGTTTTTTTTTAGATAAAATTAAGATAAAATTGAGAAAAATTTAACAAAGAAACACAATGATTGCAGGAAACGGAAAAGATTCTGCCAACCTCTCCGAGTCCTTCGAGATTTGTGAAGGGCGACTTCCGCGAGAGTGACTACGAAAGCGACTACGACGGCAAAACATCGTCATGTCGCACAGTTAGCTCCTCAAAACTTACTAGTATTACTGATTCAGGTATTATCCTATTACTTTAATTAAAAGTAAAAGTCCCAATGCTTAACGTTTAAATATATTTTGCTTTCTTTATACATTACTTATAAATATGTAAGTAATATAAAAGTTTAAAAGTGATGAATGCGTGGTGGTAAGTAAGAATGTGTGGTGAATGTGTGGTAGAGAGTTACTCATGACAAGTTTTCTTATCTTATTTTATCTGCTTTATCCTTTTCTTCATTCATGTTTTCACGTAATTATCATTTTCCATCAACCGTTTATTTCCGCACAATACGAACACGCTTTCTGCGAGGCATATATCTTTCATTCCAATGTCATAACCGGTTTCATCATCGTGAGATCGAGAAAACTCCGAGAAAGGTCGTCGATGTCTAATTTAATGATAATATTTCATATCTATATTAAATTCGAAAGTCAAATCATCTGATCGAGTTTTGACTTTGTTTGTGGACCTAAGATCTTCGACGTGTGAAACCGGCTGCTGCTATATCTTCTACTAGGAGAAAATAATATATCTTCTCTTGACGTTATCTCTTCTCGTTACCGCTCTTTTCTCGAACCGCTAAAAGTCAATTTGTATCGAGAGATCACCTGGATAAACTTTTCCACATAGGAAAGCAAACGGAGTCGACTTTGCATCGCAAGCAATTTACGCCGACAAAGCCGAAAACAGTTCTTTTACCCGGTTCTCCGCCGGAGCTCGCGTACGCGCCGCCTCAACCGCAGCAACAACAGCAGCAGCAGCAGCAGCAATTTTACGAGGCACGCACGAGTATGCCGTTCACGAACGCGGTGGGTACCGAGACCAAGAAGACCGTAAGGATGGACGAATCGACGAAAAACGCCAGAAGAATTGTTACTGTCGAGCAAACGAGTCGAGTTATCAAGTTTGGCGACACAAATGCCACGTCTCAAAAACAACACTATCGCGTGCCAGTCCCGAAGAAATTTGTGCAGGGACAGTTTCGGGAATCTGATTACGAAAGCGACGTGGACTCGAAAATCCGACCGAAATGGGCACCGCCTGATAGCGACACAGAGGAACCTCATTATCGAAGAGTCCAACCGCCCGCGGCAAAAAGTCTGAGATCGTCGAGTGCACCGGTTAGGCAGACGCACGTTGCATCGCCGATGGAGTTCGACACCGGTCCTTCGGTGACGCAGGTTCGCCAAGAAGATACAGACAAAAAGATTGATCAAAGATATCAGCAACAAACTACTTCCGAAAAGATTGATTTGCAGCCTGGTTCGCCGCCCGAATATGGGTTCGTTTCCAGAAGCGACGTGAAAAAAGCAGCAGACCGTAAGATCAACTTCAATGTCACATAACGCTTTCATCTAGACAATGATAGAAGAGCTAAATGCACAAATAGTTATAATTCGCGAAAATTATACGAATAAGTTAGATAAACTTTTTTAGTTAAAATTACATACATACATATGTGTATACTTAACATTTTATAAATATTGTTTATATGATGTGTTACAAAGTATTTCTGATTTTTTTTATTTCCGCTAATTTGGAAAGTAGATAAATTCTTATTACGTAACACAAAGCTCTAAAATCTCCGCAGACATCGCGACACGTCATATGAGCGACATGACGAGCAGCTTCAAGTCGAAAACCGAAAAATTCGTGACCGATATCCAGTCGGATTTGAGACAGAGCAAACCGATTCTGAAGCATCCCGTCGAATCGAGGACAACCGATACCGACGAGCCGAGAACGTATAGAGAGGAATCGCGGGTCTCCGAACATGGTAACATAAAATATAACACACATATCACATATATGTGCACATATCACATATATAGGTTTAAGATACGTAGTAGTAAGGCATTCCGTTTGTAATCTAAGTATAGGATACGCATTGCGCAAATAAAATTTATGAATCGCACACTTGGCGTGATAAATTATATAACACGCTGATTGACGCAAACAGGAACGAAACAAATCGATCCGGACACAGGACTCATATATTTCAAGTACGACTTTGGCTACGAATTCGGTATCGTTTTGCCGGGCGAGGGGAAGAAAACAGTGGAGAGCAGCAAGAAGACCATCCAGGGACAGAGACGCGCAAGTGATGTCGAAGTGCCGATAGTCCACGAGTTTACTGAGAAGAAGACGAACGGTTTTGCGAAAAGAAACACGTTTCCGAGCCGCCAGAGCAAACCGGGAAGTAAATTCGGATGCTCGAAAACCGTCAAGTGGGAGCCGACGTCCGAGAGCGAATTTTCTGAGGCCGAAGACACGAGAAGTCTCAGTAAAAAACCATCGAGCCTCGATAACTCGATGGCGCCACCGAGTCTCATCATACCTAGCTCTGTATCGCCGTCTCGATGGGATCGCGTAACACTCAGCCCGCTTTCTCTCAGTCCAAGTCTGCCCAGTCTCTCTCCCAGACATAGTAGCGCCACTGGACCACCTAGCAATGTGGATTCCGCAGGTATAATACCTGCCATCGAGAACGCCTTGTTGCTTGCATCAGTTGTTTCGAATTTTCTATCTTGCTTTGCTTTAGACGTTATCTATCTGTTATCTATTTATTTATCTGCTAAGTTTTCTCTTGTTGATTCAGGTTTTGATCTCTATATAATGTATCTCTCTATTAAAATCGTCTCTTATCTTAATACATAAGTTAATGATAATTTCTGCGCAATAGAACTTGCTCTTGCTTTTCTTGCGCTCGGATTTTTCTCGAGGTTTCTCTTGGAAGACATTTCACAACAATACACCAAGTAATAAATAACACAAAGATGCTTTTTTTTTTTTAACTTTACTTATGTGCATGTTAATGTGCATATCAATCATCTCGTCATTTTCTGACAAATTATGAAATTGTGAACTAAATCATTTGCGCTAATTGTCATTTTACCGGCAGTTATATAATTATAATATGCTTTTGTTAAATTTTGTTGAAATAAACGTAGGTTCACCTTGGCCAACTAGCAACGGCGTGTCATCGGGCAAAGAAGTGATTCAGCCTTATCTGGACATATTACCAAAAAAAGCTCCTACGTTTATCACGGTAATAATATAAGTTTTTAACAAATTTGCGATTAAGAAGAATCAATTAAGAAAATAAAGGGAATACATAGTTTTTAATAATTGCTTTCAGCCATTGAAAGATATCGCGGTAGTAAGTGGACAACCGGCTAGATTTGAATGCATCGTTCAAGCTGAACCGCAGCCTAATATTCTTTGGTCGAAAGATCGCAGAATCGTTGAAAATTCTACAAATCACGATGTCCAATACAGAAACGGCGTTTGTCGTCTTACTATAATGAGAGCTTCTCCCGGTACGATATAATATGTAATTTTTTTGTTGTTTGTCTTAAAACTCGTGAAAATTTCTATGATCGTACGTATTATGAAAAGAAAAACAAAAATTATTGATTCAAAAACCGATTATGTATATTTGTACAGAGGATGCTGGGACTTATGCATGTACGGCAACGAACAGCCTAGGTTCCACTGTGACTTCTGCCAACTTGGAGGTTCCAGGTAATAGACGATCTGTATACGCCTCTATTTCATAAAGATCAGCTGAAGATAGAAACAAACGGTGGATAAACGCTAAGGTGATGGAAAATTTTAACTTGTCGTCGGTGCCGGATTTGCATATCGTAATATTTGATTATTGCTTAAATAGATTACAAACACTATAATTAATATGGTGAAGGAAATAATAACGATATTTACCGCGCTCGAAATATATTTTTCAAGAAGAAATTCTTGCGAATATTCTTTGAAGATAAATTAATAATGAATAATTTAATAATTAAAATGCTTTTTCTAGCTTGCTTTTTGTTGAGAGAATAAACAACATGCAATTAGTACGATTAAGAAATAAAACTAAGCGATACACTAATAAAACAACACAGATTTTTTGCATTTCATATAAAAATATAAATATGAGAAAATTAATGTTATACGACGGGCTAGTCAACTAAATGCTAGTCACGAAACACGAAAGTTAAGAAACTACTTTGTTAAACATTATAATAGAACTCTTATTATTGAGCGAAGTAAAAAAGCTTCGCTTGATTTGTCGCATACCTACCTATACTTTTGTTTCTTGTTTACGTGTCTTTTTTATCTGTTTTATTCATCCTTTTGTTAAAAATTATTACAAACACATAATCGACTTTCTGTATTTCAATTAAGTTGAAACAGGCCGATACGAGCAATAATCACAAGATGATTAAAATAAATCCAATACTTATACACGACCATCTTGTAATTATTGCTCGTATCGGCCTGTTTCAACTTAATTGACAATTTCACGAGCGAACTATTGATTTTCTGTATTTCTTTATTACATTCTTTATTACATTAATTATTTTTTGCCAACTCGAACACGTTAATCCTCTTTTCAAATTTATTTGTGCCAAACCTGATAACTATAAATAAGAAATTTGACAAAATAAGAAGCACAAAATTTTTCCTACTCTCTTTGTGATCAAAATCTTAATATTATTTAAACTTATTCTATTTTTATGCATCGTGATATTTAATAAGAATATATTAGTCATGTTAAAATGTTTGATTTAAAAAGAAAATAATATAAGAATTGTTTATTTGTTTATAATAGGAATATCTAATTCACATCAATTATTCTTACTTACACACAAATTAATGTTTCACAAAAAATTAATGTTTCAACGATAAATAAAATTTGAAAAGTTTTATATTTTGTAAAACATGTGTGTACGGCTCAATACAATAAATAACTACATATTGTCAACTTCTTGTGTTTTACATAATTTATATGCACTTAGAAAAACAACATATAATATAAAAGCAGATGTAAAAAAATTATCATGATACATAATTACGAAAGTTTTTATAGCACAGCTTTTGAAAAATTTTTAAAATGAAAAAAAGAATTTTAAAAAACTGTAAAAAAGTAAAAATTATGTAAATGACAAAAAGAACATGTTTTTTTTTTCATTGCAAGGAGATAATGGCGATTGAATAATACCACTACTCACACATGGTCACAATAATATTTATATATTGTGTAAATAAATGTGTGTTTCCTCTACAATATAAAATTTTGGGTAATGGTTTAACACATTATTTTACACATTCTTGCCTTTTTTCCTTCTTCCTTTTCTATTCTGTCTTTGGTAACTGTCTTTTTTTCTCAGTACAAAATTTTGCGGTACGATAGACGGCGTTGTGGGAAATCTAAGGTAGGCATTATATTGACAATTTTGTATAAAAACTTGTAACACTATTAATAAAAGTTTGTAGATTTTAAGCTTTTATTCGTAGAAACTGCTTGTATAGCACAGTATTGATAATGTTCAGTAACATTATTTAATATTTAGTTAAATTATTTAGTATCTCTAATGAGTAATAATCTTGTAACTAATCAACCAAAACTATTTCTATAATCTTATGTATAAATATTTATATAGGTTTATAAAATTATTCCTCCTCTAAAAATATATTATTTCGTTAAAATTAAACTAGCGAGAAAAACTCTGTATCATCAAACATACAAGCGAGATTTTTTTCGTCCCTGTGCCATGCAAGGGAGTTCAAAAGATTCTAGATATTATAAAGCTCGACTAACATCTCTTGCATAAAGAACCAAATGATGTGGTATGAAAATAGATGGTAAAATAATCTTGCGGAATGTGGAGGAAAGTGTGTGAGTCGGCGATCCAAAAATATATGAAAGAAAAACAAGCGATCGTATTTGAAGAGGGTGGTTATTCCTTTTCATAATCTCTCGGAGAGAAAAAATCGCGTAATTCGTGCAATATCGCTATTTAATTGCAGGCGCATCGTCGATATCCGACACTTACCGCGATCATAAGAAATGCACCGTTGAGCAGTTTCCGCAGGATTCGCAGAGATACGTAGCTTTAAGAGATCTATTCTTTTCACAAGACAAACCACGCATTCTAACAAATCACGAACGACTGTACAAGTCCCTTTATGATTTCGGATTGTCAGACAGGTAGTTGCACATTGTTCATTTTAATTATAGTTCGTCATATTCAGTATTATTATGAAGATATCATCAAGTTATGTATGACAGTTTCGTAGATGCAAACAATCACGAAAATGAAGGAAATAGATTTGATAATTACATTAAACGTGAATGGAGTGCTATTTACGCAAGAAATGGAATCGGTGATTCACGTTTGAATGTCAAACGTTCATTGCACAATCTCACTGGAACGTGTAACATAGAACATGGTGAGTACTTAAAATTTTTGACTGTTGTGATAATAACATTTATATTTCGTATACATATACATTTAACATTATATTAACATATAACATATATGTATATACTATATGTTTAATATCAATATATTAGATAAAATAGCAAATTTATTTAAATAAATAAAATAGGTTTTTAAATATTGACTAATTGTAGGTTTATTCCAAAAATAAAATGTGTTATTATTGCATTACTGGAGGGAATCCCGCGAGGAAATCTTATTGTTACACTATCATTTGACAAAACATATCGCATCGAAAATAACGCGGGAATTACTCAAGAAAAATTTTCGGCAAAACTGATCCGGCCTTCTCGATCTCGTCACTCTAGTTTGTCATAATGATCGCTCATTGAAGTCACCGAAAATAGACTGTGACAATGCGCGTACGAAGCGTATATAAATATATATACAAATTTGCGTCGCTTTTAGCGAATGTGTTCAAGATCTGAAATCTCTCATGTTCAAGACTTGAATCATAGACACCGAAGACCCCCTCGTCATCATCTCGGCCGAGATTATTCCACAGGACCCTAAAATAGATGCGTCGCTATGCGGCATCTCGCACGAATCGCGGTGATTCACGCGTGACCTACCTTTTTGATGATCATATCGATGTTCTTAGCGTTAAAGTACGAAGTAAAAAGCACTTAATCTCCTATGCATTTGTAATAACCGTTAATATTCGCTTGCTATCGACACGAGCAATACATATATATATGCAAAGCTTATACAAAACTAACGCGGAACAATCTTAGAGTAAAGTATGTATCTAAAGATGCGTTAATGCTGCGTATAAACTGCTCGTGTTTATACAGAGTATGATACAAGTTTCGCAATCGCTGCGTGTTTCGCTCCGATTCGTCGATGCATGAAATGTTAATTAACAGTTAGTAAGTAGAATTATTTCATTATTTATAAAGGATTGCTTCAGAAATCTGTAAAATGAAAATATTTGATCATTTCGATTAATTCAAAAAGCATTCTTGTTATAACTTCTGAGTAAAACTTGTTAAGAAACTGACGTTAAAAAATTCTTCAAAAGAGGGCGGAATATAAATCAAAAATATTCTATCGCTAGTCTCATAATTTTTGAATAATTTGATACCGGTTTAAAATTACGAAGAAGTTGCGCAGCCAAGTGCAATCCCGAGGTAGCAATCAGGGGTTGCAAATTAAACTTGGATGAACTTGCTCACGTGAAAAGAGAATACGTGAGTAATTTTTTACCGTTGAATTCTTTTAAGAATAAGAAAAATTCAAATAAATCAAGACTGTAAGACTGCAAAGAGAGAAGAAGAAAAATCAGGCCATCTTGACTCTAAAATATAGACACAACGTAGAGACTTGTAAATGTGTTTGAGCAAAATGAGAAGAAAAAGAAGAAATAGAAAAAAAATTGTGCAAAGAAGCGAAGGAGAAATGAAAAACAAAGAAATGTGCACACTCTTATTAAAGCACACATTCAAACTTAAGAATCTATGATGTTTAGCTTCGCGGAGGGGAATGAAAGAGATGTGAGAACACACGGAGGGGGCAGCAATGTGGAGAGATGCGTGGGCGGCTGTCAGTGAACGCAAGAACGCTGCGTGAGACTTTTACCGCCTTGCACGGCGATGTACTGTGATCTCTAACAAATTTATCAATAACGATAGATATCATTTGATTTTGCGCGATGGTTCTTTATTATGAATTAAGTGATCATCAAAAATTCAAAAGCATTCATTATTTATGTGTGTAATTTAAAAATTGGAGCACACACATATTTATGTCAAGTGATACAAGTCAACGACATGTTGATTACTAATTCTTCCAGTTGTCCTTATTCGTAAACATCATATACAATGTACGCAAAAGTGTAAAAATTTGTGAAATATGTTATATTGTTATATTCCTCTACATCGTCTTCAGCAACGTCAGACGTCGGGGGCGCCGAGTCCCCACCCTAGCCATATGCGACACCCTCCCCAGCTGCTTACGTTTTAGCCAAGCGTCAAAGTCGTAAGCCGTCCAATTCGCATTCGACCGACGTCTTGGTTTAAAGAATCACGGGGACAAGACTTTTGACGATGACTTGATTTCTGCCGACTGTCTGGATTAAGCCGCGGCTACCAGCAGATTATTATTTCGCGTACGAGGCGAAGCGCGAGTGATTTGCTCCGATTCGTCGTTGTGCATTGAGAGATTCGTTCGTTGAATCTCTCGGGTGAAACAAAAAAAAGCAGAAGGACGTAAAACACAGAGATCTCCGTAGATCCTAGAGTAGTTGAAAGTTTTACTTTTGTCTATTAAGTTGACGACGAGTTCGCCGTTTGAACAAATCGCGATTGGATTCTTCGATCCAAGATGAAGCGACAGATATCTCAAGAACAGCAGAAGCAACTGCAGCAGCAGCAACAGACTGTCATGCAGGAACAGCAGCAACAATACATCCAGCAACGAACGGAACGACAAATCACACGACAACAGATCACCAGTCAGCAGAGAGGTCAGTTGTGATAATGTTAGAACATTCAAGAGAACAACTATCGAAAAAAAGTTACGTGGTTACTTCAAATACGTAGCAGATAAGCAAAAACACACTTCATATCACACTCTGTAGATATTAGCAAAAGATCTAATTAGTGACGCATATCTTCAAACATTTTTTCTAATAATCTTGATTTTATCAAGAAAGATTTTATCAAGATATTGAGAATATCAATTAAATTTTAATATGTTTCTCCTGGCGAATATCCCGTCAAAACGAACACTCATATTCTATTTTCGAGCAAGGAGCACCGTCCCCGCGAGAGCTCTAAAGATAGTTCTCCGCAATCTTCGGCGTAACCGTTTCAAAAATTCTTTCACGCGCCCTCTCGAAGAAGAGTAATGTAGCACTGCACGGCTGAATCGCGTTCAGAAAAATTCGCACACATCGTGCAAAATTCTACAATTTATATTCTACATATATATATATAAATAATTGCACATACATTTTGTCGAATTAAAAATTTGATATTATTTCAAGAAGATCAAAGCTAATAAACTATTTAGTATAGTTAGTCAATGTGTTGCACATTGTCAAGGTTAATCTTATTATATCTCGAATTTATTTCAACATGTTAAGGTGTGATATTAAAAAGTTTTACATAGAAAAATATGTGTTTATCACATCTTACATTTCAAAACTATACTAATAAATATGTTGATAAATGTTACTGTTGGAAAATTTCCAAAACTAGTTGCAAAATATACTTCGGAAAGATGTGTGTTATAATCTTGTTTGTGGTTGTCAAGTTTGTCGCGGGATTCCATGGAAACGAGGCGTGGTGCCAAATTTCCAAAAGATCGAGATGAAAAATCTTATTTGAATTTCCGGAGAGAGTATGAGAAAATAAACTGGGAAATGAACCAAAAGATCAATTCATCTAATAATAATTTTATAATCCTTATTCTTTTTCTAATTTCACGATAGTTTAATTTTCTTACAATAAAAACTTCAAAATGTTACAAGAAAGTTAAAATTTAGGAGATCATACAGGAATTTTGAGAATAATTAATATTTTGCGAGCGTAACAGCTTGAGTTACAGCACGATATGTAGCACGTGCAGTATATTTACGTATCAAAGTATGATGATATATACAATAGCGATTAATAATTAGATCTCTTATATTGAAGATAATTTTATAGAGTGCTTAAAGTGTACATTTTGCCAACTGCGTTATACATTAAGTAATGGAGAAAACGAAGATTTCATGGCTGCAGCTGCCAAATAACATAAACCGCTGACAGGTTTATGAATCTCGCTCACATTGACGTGCATCGAAACGTGTTATATTGTATTACAACATGCGCAAAACTGAAAGACAATGAAATACATACAGCAAGCAACGCCGTTACGCCAGTAACTAAAGCGTTAAGTTCTTCAGCGAGAAATTCAATATTCGGATAACTATTTGCTGAATATATTTATAGATGATACTGTAATCACAGACAACAAAATTCTGAAAAGCAAACAAAGAACTTGCTAAGCTTGAATTTCAGTTTTTTTTTTTTTTTTTTTTTTAATTTTGTACACTAATAAAATGGTTTGTTAATAGAATCTAAAACTTCAGTAGGTCTAGCAAGTTCTTTGCTCTGCAGTCCAAGTAGTAACTAATCTTCTCGTTATTCCAGCAAAACTCTTTTTCTCTATGATATAATACAAAACTTATATAATGCAAAATTAATATATCTAAAGAATAATACAAATAATAATAATAGATATGCAACAATCTCTTCTCGTGTTTATGCTTGTGGTTATTGTACAAATTTTTCTCATATGCTTTTATTATTTTTATAATATACATCCATTTTGCGAAATGTGAACGTTTCGGAGACTCGAACAGCTGATCGCAATGAGCGCATCTTGTCGTTGTCAGTCTGAACCGTAAGAAAATGACAGACAGAATAAAAAAGAGAAGAAGATGACGAGATATTGACAGAAAATGAACAAAGAAGATAAAAAATAAAAAAACAGACAAACAAAAGGGCTAAGTGTTCGAAATTTGAAAAAATACACAGATACAATGTATAGATTCGCGTGAATCTAAATCGCGAAATCCTGATTTTAACAGAAGCGGGAAGAGAAGAGAAGTGTTAGACTCGGTTTTATTTTGGTCAGTGACTACCTTTGCGTAACGAGAAACGCGATTGGTCCGGGACCGCGGCGTAGACGCGAGTCGTCGCGACGCGTCGCGGCGCGCAGCGTCGAGGCAAAGATAGTTGCGCCAAAAATGGCTCACGGTAACGTGATCCTCATCCGAATGCAAAAATACAATTTCGTGCGCTTGTAGCAGCGCAACTGCGTCCTTCGTCTCCTTCGTCCCAACTGCCGGTGGCTCTCGCGAATCATGAAGCGGACGATGCATGGCCACATGCAGCGAGAAGTGAATTTTATTATGAGACAAATTAATTCACTAACGTAATTGAGAATTTAATTAAGTTATTTGCACAGCAAAAGATCTATGTACACATACACATAGATATCAGATCTGCAAATGTATGAACGAATAACTCAAGCGTAACATTTTATATATCAATCATTAACATTCGGCAATTTTTTATGGTTTTTTTTAAATGTAAACTAAACGATTACATACGTACAAAACTTGAATATTAAAGAAATATACATTCTTTTAAAATATTTATTAAAACGTTAACATTCTTATCTTTTAAAGTAAATATCAGAGTCTTATTTTTAATTAGTTAATTTAATCTTGAATCATCTGAAGAAAATCATTTCAGTTATCTCCCAAGATTCGTTTGATATAAACAATGCTAAGTGTGATCATAACTAAATCATTCTAAAGCTTTAATTAAATCTTTAAGAGCATATATACGTCTTTCTTCTTCGTCTAACTCTCGTCGTGCGTTCCAACTAGAGTAGAACGAATCGAGGAAACGAACCGTTGACGCCGTTTTTTTCCTGTCGCCGTCATGCTCGATGACGATGCCGCATTTTTCATCACGTTATGTCTACACATACGAGACGCGATGTAATTTAAACCAATTTACTAGTTAGTCCGGTGGCGGGCTATTACTAAAAGTAGATGAAAGTTTACAAGATGGTATTCGTCATAATTAAATCCAGTTCCGGAAGGAACTTATTAATTTCAGCAGAATATTGTGCGTGCGAAATTAATTGTTTTAATCGATATTTAACATTATTCGCATTTTTATTACTCACACAAAAAGTTATATATATATATATATATATATATATATATATATATATTATTCTCTTTCTTCTTTTTTTCTGCAGTTCAAGGAGAGATCGTAATGCAATCGACGCCTACAGTACCAACGTAAGTGATTGCGATGATATGATTCATTAATGAATGTCAAAAAAATATTAATTTATCTAATATGTATTCTCGTTAACATAGATTTACCGGTAGACCCGGCGATCCTTCACCGCCAATTTTCGAGCGAATCTTCAAGAACGCGAGATTCGCGCAGGGCGGCAATGCGATTTTTGAAGGCTGCGTACGAGGTAATCCAAAACCTACAGTTTCTTGGACACACAAAGGGACGCCGTTGCTGGAATCACGAAAGATTCGAATGTCCTACGACGAGAATACTGGAATTGTCACACTTCAAATTAATCAAATTGGTCCGGGAGACGAGGGCGAATACACGTGCAGCGCGAAGAATCAATATGGTGAAGATTTTTGCTTTTGAATAATTCCTATTAAGATCTGTGACAAAAGCATTGTTATTGTCATTCTCTATTTTCCAGGCGAAGCGATTTGCTCGGTTTACATACAGCCGGAGGGATTCGGTCCGCCAGCGCAACAGCCCACGGATAGCTACAGAAAGGAATTCACGCAGAGCTACCAGACAAGCGAACAAAAAATGCAAACCGGTAGCCAAATGTTCCAACAACGCAGTTATCAGCAATCGATAGATAAACGAAGTTATGTCAACGGCACTACTACAAGCATCGAGGATTTCAAGGTCGACACCTTCGAATACAGATTGTTGCGCGAAACGGAATACCGGGAATCGATTACTCGTCGCTTCGCCGGCGAATCTGACTCGCAGATCTCCACTATGATCGATCGTACTCTGGGACCAGTTGCACCCCCGCAAATCACTCAGAAGCCCAGAAATTCGAAACTTGTTGAAGGATCGGACGCTGTCTTCACCGCAAAAATAACAGGCAATCCGAAACCAAGAGTGAGTTTACATTAAAACAACATATCAGATTTTATTTTATACTTTGTCATAATCATTTACTTTGCTTCTAATATTTTTTTTAATTAATGAAACATTCTTAAATCACGTTTTTGTCGCAGTTAACATGGTTCAAAAATGGTCAGAGGATCCGAGACTCCCAACGCGTAGAGACAAGCTATTCGAATCAACAGGCTACTCTACGAATCCGAGTCGCTTTGCCGGAAGATAGCGGTCATTACACATTGTTGTCCGAGAATCCCCAAGGTTGCACTGTTAGCTCCGCTTATTTAGCAATTGAATCTAGCGATCAAGTAGATCAAGTTCCGTATCAAGCTCAAAGAGAATTTATTAAGACACAACAGGTAGAATCGACCAGCGAGTCCGCTGACTCTGGCAAAGTTCTACCGCCGAATTTTGTTCGCACTATCACAGATAGAGAAGCTACCGAAGGCAAAATGACGCGATTCGATTGTCGTGTAACCGGTCGTCCGTATCCCGAAGTCACTTGGTATATTAATGGCCAGCAAGTCGCCAATGACCTGACTCACAAAATACTCGTGAATGAATCCGGCAACAATTCATTGATGATCACAAATGTGAGTCGCTTCGACGCCGGCGTTGTAACTTGCATCGCCCGAAACAAAGCTGGCGAAACTTCCTGTCAGTGCAACTTAAACGTCATCGAGAAGGAACAAGTGATCGCGCCGAAATTCGTGGAACGTTTTGTCACGACGAGCGTAAAGGAAGGAGAACCCGTGACTTTTATGGCCCGCGCAGTCGGCACGCCAATCCCGCGTATCACTTGGCAAAAGGTAATTTCTTCAAATTACAGTCGCTGTGCGCGATTACTATTTCCGATATTTATCGATGTTTCTTTCTGCAGGACGGTGTACCGATAACGCCCGGGTCCGAAATACGTATATCGAGTGACGGTAGCGGAGCCTCGAGCTTGGATATCTCGTGCGCCAAATTTTCAGACGCAGCCTGGTATCAATGCACCGCTCAAAACGTAGCTGGCTCTACCGCGACCCGAGCACGGCTCTTTGTTGAGACGCCAAAAGGAACGGCCCCGGAACCAAGACGCCTGAATTTACCCCGACCGACGAAAATCATCGAACCAGAGTAAGAAATCAAATTAACTCATTTACATTTGTTTTCTTTGATTATAAATTCAGAAATGAACATTTTATTGAAAAAATAAATATTATACTTAATAAACTGTAGACCAGCGCCTGGCCCCGAAGTGATTTATTTGAGACATGTGGAACGAGCCAAACCTTACTTGCCGCCTCCAGAAGAAGACACGATTTATCCACCGCCACGTTTCATTATACCATTGAAGGATCTTTATCAGATCGAAGGTGGACGAATTCACTTCGAGGCCAGAATCGAACCGGTGGGCGACCCCACTATGAGGGTGGAGTGGTACGTCAACGGCAGAGCACTCGACGCAAGTGAGTAAAATCTGCAGCATTTTACTGTTTATTTGTGCAAAGCTGCATTTTACACTGATGTATGTTTTGTTTTTCACAGGTTCCCGAGCGACTTCTATCTTCCGCTTCGGGTTTATTTCTCTCGATCTCATTAGTATTGTTCTTCAAGATAGCGGCGAGTATTTTTGCCGCGTCGTGAGCTCGACCGGAGTTGCTGAATCTCGCGCCACCCTCAGCGTGACACGTAAGCAAACAGTACTTAATGGATTTCTAATTTTGATTACGATTTTCAAACTTGGAATTGTTAATTCAATTTTGTATTTATAGCACGCGCTACGATTGAACAGACAAGCCAACATCCCGACAGTCTCCAGTATATTCAACAGCTTGAGGATTACAGCAAATACCAAAGGCAGGAGAGCGTGGAGGAGACCTCTTCACAGCGGCCGGTTTTCATCCGCCCGCTCCAGGATCTTGGTGAGCTACAGGAAGGTCGAAACGCCCATTTTGAGGCGCAGTTGACGCCTGTTAGCGACCCCACCATGAAAGTGGAGTGGTACAAGGATGGAAAACCGATCACAGCCAGTTAGTATCGATGTCCGGACAGGACATATCAATAACATTATTTAAAAAAAAAACAGTACTGTTTTATTAATAGCATTATAAATCATTTAATGGTTTTTTAGGCTCAAGAATCACTAACATCTTCAACTTCGGATACGTCTCGCTTAATATAATGCACCTACGAGCTGAAGATGCAGGTTCTTATACAGTTAGAGCTGTGAACCGCTTGGGAGAGGCCATCAGCTCCGCGACTCTTCGTGTCTTTGGTAAGTCAAGTTCTGACAATTAATCACTTTAAAGCAATTGTTTCTATATTTTTCTTTATCATTGATCGTTCTTTCAATTACTACAGCGCGAACAAGCGTAACGACGGATTTGGGTATCCCCGAGCAAATGAGATACATCGAGGCTGCCGAGGAGTTGGAAGCATATCAGCAGGCAATGCACCAAAAATACGTTCAGGAGCAGCCTGAACCGAGCAGCCCACCGGAATTTAAATCGCCTATCAAGGATCAAAGCAGCATACGAGAAGGCGGATTCGCTCATTTTGAGGCGCGTCTTGAGCCAGTTGGCGATTCTAATCTTCGTGTTGAATGGCTCAAAGATGGACGACCTGTAGAAGCTAGTGAGTAAAATATTCTACTCGCGTATGTTACGTTTCCAAATATTCACGAAATTTTGCTGACTAGGTTCACGGATTACAACATTTTTCAACTTCGGTTACGTGGCACTGACTATCAAATACGTAACGATACACGATGTCGGTGTATATACTTGTCGAGCGTATAACAGAGTTGGTGAAGCTCACACCAATGCTCAATTAAGCGTAATCAGCAAAGACGATGTTATTTATGACAGCCAGCATCCCACTGGTCTTCAAAAAATTCAAACTCTTGAAGATTCGAGCAGATATTCGCGACAGGTTCAGGAAGAGACGCAGGTCACACAAGCACCGCGATTTCTCGGTAATCTGAAGGGCACTAACAAGATCGTGGAAGGTCAGCGAGCGCACTTTGAAGCACGTGTGGAACCTCAGAGCGATCTAAGCATGACGATAGAGTGGTACCACAATGGCAAGCCGATTACCGCTGCCAACAGAATCCAAACGTATCATGATTTTGGATATGTTGCAATTGATATACTCCAGGTCCGTTCGGAAGATGCTGGCACATACACCGTTGTAGCTCGAAATTCTCGCGGAGAGGCTCGTCTATCCGCCACTATGATTGTTGAAAGTAAGATTTAATTTATGTAAAATAGAAAAAAACAAGTTATTGACGATAAAAATTCATTACTGAGAATTTTTTTATTTCTTCATTTCAGCACGTTCCAGTATAGATACGAGCAGTATGCATCGTGGCACTTACGAGAAGACTCAACGTTTAGAGGAATCCAAGTTTGTCGAGCCGCAATACCACATCGAAGAGATTTCCAAGTCAAAACCGATCTTTATTCAACCACTGAGCGACCCCAAACCAGTCAGCGAGGGTAAAAATATTCACTTGGAGTGTCGTCTGGAACCCATGGGTGATCCTACTATGCGAGTGGAATGGTTCCAAAACGGACGTCCGGTCACAGTTGGTTCCAGATTCAGAACTTATTACGATTTTGGATTCGTTGCGCTTGACATCGTACACGCAACTGCCTACGATTCTGGCGAATACACGGTCAGAGCTACTAATCATTTGGGTACCGCGCATACTTCTGCCTGCGTTAGAGTCATCGGCAGATCTGACATTGTCACTGACACGCAGAATGAGCAATCACTCGAGCAAATACAGATGCTAGAGGACTCATCGAGGTTTGCTTTTATTTATTGATCTGCGTTTAATATATGTTTATATGCAATTATTTCTCTTATGCATTGTTTTATTTATATAGATATCGTAGAACTCAACAAGAGGAAGTTACTGTGATGCAAGCACCTCAGTTCACTCGACCTTTACACAACATCGAGACAGTGGAACTGACCAATGTTCACTTGGAATGTCGTCTTCAGCCAGTCGGTGACGCGACCATGAAAGTTGACTGGTTTGTCAACGGCCGACCGGTCAAAACTGGTCATCGATTCAGACCGTCTTACGAATTTGATTACGTGGCTCTGGACATTCTCGGTGTCTATCCTGAAGACTCCGGCGTGTACACCTGTCAAGCCAGAAATCAGCTCGGAGAAGCAGTTACTTCGTGCTCTGTTAGAGTACACGCGAAGAAAGATCTACTTCTAGAATCCCAACATCCTGAGGGTCTAGAAAGGATACAATATTTAGAAGATGCCTCGCGATACAAGAGACACGAACTCGTTGATGAAGTCGTCAATGTAAAGCCAAGATTTATTACGAAACCGAAAAACCAAGAAAATCTCCGAGAGGGACAACATGCTCATTTTGAATGCAAACTTGAACCAGTGACGGATTCAAATTTAAAAGTCGAGTGGTTTAAAAATGGCCGTCCAGTAACAATAGGTATTATATTTTTAAATTTCAATCTTTTACTTTTTTATAAGTTTTTATAAATTTATTAACTCTTAGAGTATGGGGTGCAACGCAACTGAGCGTACGATGCTTATTTAAAAGTAACAAGTGTTGTGGCCGGAACACACTTTTATTCGATTTTAAAATATTGAGTGATGTAATAACAAGATAAATTATTTCATCTTATGCTCATCTCGAATTTGCAGGGCATCGTTTTCGTCCAATTCACGACTTTGGCTATGTAGCATTAGATGTAATTGATTTGATTGCCGAGGACTCTGGAACATATACCTGTCGCGCCGTTAATCTGGTAGGCAGCGACGAGGTAACTTGCATTTTGACATGTCGTTCAAGTGCACAAATTTTGACGGACACGCAAAACGAGCTTGGACTCGAACAGATTCATTATCTCGAAGACAGATCTAAATATCAAAGAAAAGAATTTGTCGAAGAAACAACTACTCAAGCACCTATTTTTACAACTTCGTTGAACAATGTCGAGATCAAAGAGGGTCAGCGGGCTCATTTCGAATGCAGATTGATTCCAGTGTCTGACGCGACAATGAAGATCGAATGGTTTCACAATAACAAGCCGGTGAAAGCGGGCTCGAGATTCGTTGAGACGAATAGTTTTGGTTTCGTCGCTCTTGATATTATGTACGCGTATCCCGAAGATTCCGGAACCTACACTTGCAGAGCTAGAAATATCATTGGTGAAGCTATTACATCCGCAACTGCAATCGTTCACTGTGAGTTCTCTGATATTTTACAATTTCTTTGATAAAATTAGTTCAATAACAGAAAAGTTTTAATTTGTTATTTTTTATCAATAGCCAAAAAGTCAATCTACACAGAAACTCAAAACGAGGAAACTTTGCAACGTCTTCGATCTTTGGAGGATACATCCCGTTATCAACGCAAAACTACAACTGAGGAGATCATCACGCAAGCGCCTGTCTTTACAATGCCGATCAAAGATCTCCGTGTTGCTGAAAATCAGGCAGCACATTTCGAAGCGCGAATTATACCGGTTGGAGATCCCAAACTCAAAGTAGAATGGTTACGTAACGGAGTTTCCATTTCAGCCTGTAAGTTTAACTCTTGCGAAATTACGTTAGAATATATAATTTTAGTTTTGGACGTTTTTACAACTGTTCTTTTTATTTCTTAAAAGCAAATCGTGTGACTACTATGCACGACTTTGGATACGTCGCCTTAAACATGAAGTACGTCAATCCCGAAGATTCAGGCACTTACACATGTCGCGCTACAAACGAGCTCGGCGAAGCTGTTACTTCAGCAACATTATTCGTTCAATGTAAGTACACGATTAATTAGAAACTTTCAGGTACATAATGATGTACAATCTGCAGATTACTTTGCGAAATATGATGGCACTTTTACTTCTCGTAAATTATAAATAATCCTATTTTTGTCATAATTGTGCTATTAAAGTAACAAAATGTTTAAAGTAATTTATTGTTTAATTGCTGATTTAATACTTATATTTTATTGCTAGTTGCTTTATTAATTTAATGTATCATTGCACTAAACTTATTTGCTATTACATCATCCGCAAATAAACGAATATCGGCTTGTGCGATATATTACGACTGAAAAATCCTGCTTTACAAAAAATCATTATAAGAACATGATATATTTCTTTGCGACTCGTATACTGCTATGACAAAAATTCTTGTAAAATGCAGCCAAAGCAGCCTTGCAGTTTGAGTCGCAACACGAGAGCGCTTTGTCGAAACTCCAAGCTCTGGAGGACACCTCGAAATATCAGCGTCGTGAAGAAGAAGAGATTGTGGTAAAAGACAAACCGTCCTTTACTGTCCAATTGAATGGACCTACCAGTTTAGTCGAAGGTCAAAGCGCACATTATGAGTGCCGTATAGAACCTTATCCCGACCCCAATATGAAGGTGGAATGGTTCCACAATGGCAAACCATTATCCACCGGTCACAGGTACAGAACTACCTGCGACTTTGGATTCGCATCGTTGGATGTGTTGACCGTCTACGCCGAGGATTCGGGCACGTACACTTGTCGAGCCACCAATAAATTGGGGTCGGCACAAAGCTCGATTAATCTTTCTGTTAAATGTGAGTAAAGCACTTATAAAACCGTGCTTGTACGGTACAATGTAATCGATGTTGGTTTTTATACACGCATTGTACATATCAATTCAAGAATTTTCCTTTCATATCGTTTTGCTGTAAATTGAAAAATTACCTTTCAGCTCGAGCATCGATTATACACGACACTCAACATGAGAGCGCGTTGAAGAAAATACAATATCTCGAGGACGACTCAAGATACAAACGTGTGGTCGAAGAAGATACGATCATCGCCGAAAAGCCCACTTTCGGACGACCACTGAAAAATATCGAACACCTACCGGAAGGCAAAAGCGCTCATCTTGAAGCTACGTTGACTCCTGTGAATGATCCGACAATGGTTGTGGAATGGTTCCGAAACGGACGACCCATTCCCCAGGGACATAAGTTCAAGACAACTTACGACTTTGGATATGTCGCTCTTGACATTCTTTATGCTTATCCTGAAGATTCGGGTACTTACATGTGCAAAGCAAAAAATGCCGTTGGCGAAGCTGTTACTACATGTGTCATCACTGTGGATTGTAAGTGCAATTGTTTTTGTTATTTAATATCATTTTAGCAAACACCCGTTACAAAATATTTTTTCGCAAGCTTTTCACGAAAGAAAAAAATGAAGTGAGACGCGAGATATAATGCGAGTTAAATTTTTGTATCTTTTCACTTCGGAAAATTGATAAGTGTGAACACACAGATAAATAATTAATTTAACATGTATTTAAATAATAAAAATGTACATATGTAAATATTTATTATTTTTATGTAAAAAGCAAAACAAGGCTTGTACCTCGATACTTTGGATGCCCAACGTCTGCAAAAGATTCGAGAATTGGAAACTGTCGAAATCAAAGAGGAAGTTGAAAAAGAAGTTATTCATCAGAAACCTGTGTTCTTGACACCATTGAACAATCTGGATCATCTTAAGGAAGGCGAACACGCTCATTTGGAATGTCGCGTGGAGCCGATTAATGATCCTAATTTGAAAATCGAGTGGTATGTGTGTTTATACTGATTACATTGTTATATTTATTTATAATAAAAAAATCATTATTTAGCTTCAAAACTTTTTTGCATAAAAAATAGGTTTGTCAATGGAGTCGCGATCAAAACTGGTCATCGCTTCCGTACAACACACGATTTTGGCTATGTAGCTCTTGATATTCTTTATACTTATCCCGAAGATTCCGGTACTTATATGTGTAAAGCAACCAACCTAGCTGGAGAAGCTGTCAACACTTGTACTATCAAAGTTAGCTGTAAGTATTCTATGATATGCAATAATTAGAAAAGTTTACTTCTCATTTTGTGCTAATGGAAAAATTTTCATACAATCATTAGCACAGAACACATCTAATCCGACACTTAATATTCCGCATGCAAAAAACTTAAAAACATTTATTAACAATGGATATAAACGGAAAAAACCATCTATCAAGTGGATAAGATTATGAAGGAGAATTTCGTTAAAATCAGTACAAGCTCTCAATATAATGTTACATTTTAAAATAACTGTCCTAACCACTACATAATGTTTCAAGAAAAAAATGTCAAGTAATGTGACCATAAAATAAATTTTCTTTTATTCAAAAGAGCGCTGATAAAAAAGTACTAATAATAGAAAAACAATCGCAAGAAAAACAGAGTAGTGACTCTTCATCTTTTATTTTAGCGCGACGAAGTATTCTTCTGGACACTCAACATCCAGATGGTCTAGAGAAGATTCGAGAACTCGAAGCCCACGGTCATCCTGCGCGATTAGAAGTCGAAGAACCGCCGGTGACACCACCAAGATTTATCACTGAACTTAGAGTAAGCAACAATAGCAGTAGGGAATAATAATATTAAATAATTAAAACAGTCATAAGTATAATGATAAAAATAAAAAATATTTTAGGGAACTACTGAAGTATATGAAGGACAAACTGCTCACTTCGAGTGCCAAGTAGAACCACTGCACGACGCCAACTTGAGAATTGAATTTTTCCACAATGAAAAACCTTTGCCATCAGCAGCGCGTTTCCATGTAACCTTCGATTTTGGCTATGTAGCCCTTGACATCGGTCATGCTGTGCCCGAAGACGCGGGACAATACTCCGTACGAGCGATTAACGCTTTGGGACAGTGTGTATCGTCCATTGAGCTCAAAGTAATTCCACGAGATAACATCATTCTGGATTCTCAACGACCCGAAGGAATGGACAAGATCCGGGAGCTCGAATCTCAACAACCGTGGAAAAGACCAGAGATACCAGAACCACAGACTAGACAGCGGCCAGTCTTTACTCAGCCTTTGCAAAATATTGACAGCATTGCTGAAGGTCACACCGCGCATTTCGAATGTAGGCTCATACCTGTGGGTGATCCTATGCTAAAGGTAGAATGGTTCAGAAACGAAGTGCCTCTTGAAACAAGTAAGCATCAATATAAGAAGTATTATGGATTATAAGCTATTAACGTATAAGCACTATTAACACTATTTTATCATATAAAACTAATATTCCCGTGCAATCTTTTTAGGTTCACGTATTACGAAAGTACACGACTTTGGATACGTGTCTTTGGATATTGCTCACGTGCGTGAAGAAGACGAAGGCGTTTATATGTGTCGTGCTTCTAATCCCTTGGGTGAAGCAGTCACTACTGCTTCGATGAAGATCAAAAGTAATTGTGTTACTGACAATTATATTAAAGTTGATTTCATATAGAACAACTCTTCAATTCATCATTAAAATTATTGTAGGTAAAGCAAGCATACAACTAGAGACTCAGCATCCCGAAGCACAACGCAGAATCGCTCAACTGGAAGCCAAAGAAGTTGAACGACCGGAAGAACCGGAGAAAGTCTTTGACAAACCTATTTTCACGCAATTACTTACAGGACCAACTGAACTTTGGGAAGGACAGATGGCTAGATATGAGTGCAGAGTCGTTCCTGTTGGCGACGCTAGCTTAAGATTCGAATGGTATTTGAACGGAGTTGAATTAAAAATGGGTAAATAATACACATAAAACACTTTTATAAGTACTATAAATTTTATAAGTATATCTATTATAGATATTTCTATAATAGATTAATAAAATCACTTTCCATTGTTAATTAGGTTCACGCTTCCATACGAATCATGACTTTGGATACGTGACGTTAGATATCCTCAAAGTTATCTCAGAAGATTCCGGAGTTTATACTTGTAAAGCGATTAACAAAGCAGGTGAGGCAGTATCATCGATCTCTCTGAAAGTGAAAGCACGCTCAGCCATCGATTCCGACAGTATACAAGCAAATGCTTGGCAAAAAATTCAATTGAAAGAAGCGGAAATGAACAAAGTGCCGGAGATGTTTATCGACACAACACCGCAACAGGCGCCAGTGTTCACAAAGCATCTTGAGAGCTATGACAAACTGGTAGAAGGTCAACACGTTTACTTAGAAGCTCAGGTGGAGCCGAGAGCCGATCCCAACTTGAGAGTAGAATGGTTCAAAAATGGTGTGGCTTTGCAAACCGGAACGAGACTTCGTAGTACTTTCGATTTTGGTTTGGTGACATTATCGATCAATAGTCTAAGAGCTGATGATTCTGCGATTTACACTTGCAAAGCAACCAATCTTTTGGGAGAAGCCGTGTCAACCTGTAGCTTGAAGATTACCGATCGTCACTGGCTGTTGGGAGATACTCTGCATCCCGACGCACTCCCGAAGATCGACGCTTTGGAGCAACCTCAAGTGACTTCTACTGAACAACCAGAACCTATTTATGAGGAACCAGTGTTCATCACTCATTTAAACAATGTGGAATGCATCGAAGGCGATAACGCTCACTTCGAGTGTAACGTGGAACCATCAAAAGATCCAACTATGAAGATAGAATGGTTCCTGAATAGCAAACCTTTGCCGACTGGTGCGAGATTCAAGAGTACGTATGATTTCGGTTACGTAGCTCTAGATTTGACTCATGCGTATGAAGAAGATTCCGGCATAATTACCGTTAAAGCCACAAACTCAAAAGGAAGTGCGCAAACTTCGGGTACTTTGAAGTGCACCAGCAAGCAAAACATCTATTTGCAAACGCAACATCCGCAAGGAGAAGCCGGACTTGAAAAGGTAAAGGAAGCCGAAGATGCATTTCTGTCAAAGTATAGAAGACCAGATGAAGCTCCCGAACACGAATATCCTAAACCAATCTGGACGGTGCCTCTTCAACCTGAATTTAAACTGGGAGAGTCTGAACCGTTACATTTAGAAGGACAAGTCGAGCCCAAGGATGATCCCAATTTAAAGATCGAATGGTATTTCAACGGAAAACCATTAGAACACGGTTCACGTTTCAAAATGACGAGTGATTTTGGTTTTGTTACCTTGGATTTGACCGATGTTTACGAGCGTGATTCCGGTATTTACACCTGCAAGGCTTACAACAAAGCAGGTGAAGCCTTTACATCAACGACAATTTATTGTTCGACCAAAGAAAATATCATCGAGAAATCGCAACATCCTAAAGGTAAAGAAGGTCTTGAAGCTATTCAAGATCTGGAGGAGTCGCTGAAACGACAGGAAGGAGTTGCACCAGGTGAGGAAGAAGGTCAACCACCGCAATTCACTTCGCAATTCGAAAATCTAACTAATCTATCCGAGGGTGAGATTGCTCACTTCGAAGCATCCCTCATCCCTACTGGTGATCAAACTATGGTGGTTGAATGGTTCTATAACGGCAAATCGTTGGAAGCTAGCCATCGCACGAGAACTGTTTATGCTTTCGGCATGGTTGTTCTTGAAGTCCTTGGCACTAAGATAGAAGATTCTGGTACTTACACTTGCAGAGCTACTAACAAGTGGGGCAAAGCTGAGATTAGCGTGCAATTAGAGTGCATCGATAAATCTAAAGGACAAAAACCTAAATTCACAACGCATATTCAGTCTCTGGAAGGTCTGAAAGACGGCCAATCGGCTCACTTCGAGTGCACTCTAATTCCAGTTGGTGATCCTTGTATGAAAGTCGAGTGGTTCCATAACGGAAAGCCTCTACGACATTCCTCACGTTTCAAAATGGTCTCTGATTTTGGTTTTGTCGTTATGGACATTGCTGGAGTGATGTCTCACGATACCGGAGAATATGTTTGCAAAGCTAGTAACAAGTACGGTGAAGATTACACGAAAGCCACAATCAAATGCTTTGGCAAAAGTGGTGTTTACTTAGATTCCCTGCAGCCGGACTCACTTGCTAGAATCCGGGAGCTCGAAAGTTACAGCGGAGAGCAACCAACTACGCCCACAACTCCTGTTGCTGAACCACCAAAATTTATTACACAGATCTCCGACATTACAAAACTAGTGGAAGGACAGTCCGCGCATTTCGAGGCCAGACTGACTCCCGTGAACGATCCCGATTTGAAAGTCGAGTGGTATTATAACGGCAAGAAACTTCCTCACGGCCATCGATATCGTACCTTCCATGACTTTGGCATCGTTATTCTGGACATTCTCTACTGTTACGAAGAGAATTCCGGAGTTTACGAGTGCAGAGCCGTTAATAAGTACGGTGAAGATTCTACAAAAGCAACTCTCAAATGCTTCTCCAAAACCAATCTTGTATTGGAGTCGCAACTTCCAAAAGGTATGGAAGGCGGTTTGGAAAAGATCCAAACTCTCGAAGATTCAATGATACGCACAAGAGACGAGAAGACTGTGGAAGAACGCGGTAAAGCTCCAGTATTTACCGTGCCCTTAAGTAATATCGATGGTCTACGTGAAGGAGAAAGCGCACATTTCGAAGCACGATTGATACCTACAGACGATCCAAAATTAAAGGTAAGTTTAATTTATTTAAATTTGTTGAGCATGGCATTTTTAATTTCTGCGTCAGTTTCTGCGCGAAAAATTAACTGACACATTATATTTTATATATATAAAGAAAAATTAAAACAGAATTCTATCCTCTATGTTGTTATAAACGTAAGTACGTTTCATTATGTATTGTATTGTTATTTTCAATGCAGGTCGAATGGTTCTGGAATGGCAAACCATTACGAACGGGATCTCGCTTCCGTACTTTTTGCGATTTTGGTTTCGTCATTTTGGAAATTTCTCCCATTTATCCTGAGGATTCCGGCGAGTATAGTTGTAGAGCAACAAACGACTACGGTGAGGCAGTAACAACGTGCACAATGAAGTGTACAGGTAAACGTAGCATCATTCTGGAATCTCAGTTGCCGAAAGGTATGGAGAGTACAATCGACAAGATCGCCGAATTGGAAGGCCTTGGAAATGTACCTGGCCAGGCTAGTCCTGAAGACGACACTGGAAGACCACCAGAGTTTATTACCACGCCTTCTGACCTGACTCTGGCAGAAAACTCTCTTGCTCACTTTGAATGTCGTCTGCAACCTATCAACGATTCTAGTATGAGAGTAGAGTGGTTCCACAATGGCAAACCTCTTCTTGCTGGCAGCAGAATCAAAACAATTCACGACTTTGGTTTTGTCATCCTGGAAGTCGCAAATTGTTATCAACGCGATTCTGGTTTATATACTTGCAAAGCTACTAATCGCCATGGAGAAGCTACAGTGTCGTGCAAACTTCAAGTTCGAGGACGTCAAGGTATCATCTTGGAGCCTCAACTACCAAGCAATTTCAAAACCGGTACGGAGAGTATACAGAAATTGGAGGAGTCTCTGTACAAGAGGGATGAAATTCTGGCGGAGGAGGAAAAACCGAATCCACCGAGATTTACAGTCGAACTTAAAGACATCGAAGTCGAGGAAGGTGGATCGAGCCACTTTGATTGTAGAGTCGAGCCTGTGGGTGATTCTACTATGCGCATTGATTGGTTCCATAATAGCAGACCTTTTGCGACAGGCTCTCGAGTCCATCAGATTAATGATTTCGGATTTATATCATTAGACATGTCGTATACATATGCGCGAGACAGTGGCGAATATGTTTGCAGAGCTACCAATAAATGGGGTTCTGCCACTACCAAAGCCACTATCACTTGCAAGTGTAAGTTATATGACTTGAAATAAATTTCTTTTTCGTTTTTGTCATAATGTATAATGAAAATAATTTTTTTTTGCAGCCAAGAAAACAATAGACTTTGACTCTCAATTGCCATCGGGAATGAGCGGCGAGAAATTGAAAGAATTAGAACGAGGACCGGTCTCTGAAGCTCCCAAAGAAGAAGCGCCTCGACAACCTCCTCGCTTTATCACTCAAATCGAGTCAGCAACTATTGACGAGGGAGAACCAGTCAGATTCGAATGTCGTGTAGAACCCAAAGAAGATCCCAATCTGCGCATTGAATGGTACAGAAACGGTAAATTAATTCCTGCTGGACACAGGTACAGATCGGTCTACGATATGGGATTCGTCTCGATGGACATTCTATACGTTTATCCTGAAGATTCTGGTGAATACGTTTGCAAAGCCATCAACGATCTTGGAGAAGACACTACTCGAGCTGCCGTATCTTGCAAAAGTATGTTTTTTACGTTATGTTTTTTCCTGTTGTTGATAGACTTGTTATGTTGAAGCAAACAACAATATTTGTGTTTTTCAGAATTACCAAGCATCATTCTGCAGAATCAAGTTCCGAAAGGTATGAAGAAATCCGAAGCCCTAATGCAAATGGAAGCGACAATCAAGAAGTATACTTCGGAAGTTCACTTGACCGAAGATGATCTGTATGATGCGGATAAGAAACAGCCACCTCGTTTTGTCACACAGATTCAGGATCAAACTGATCTTGTCGAAATGAATAGTACAAAGTTTGAGTGTCAATTAGCGCCTGTTGGTGATCCAAACATGAAAGTTGAATGGTTTTTCAATGGAAAACCATTGCCTCATAAAAATCGATTCACGCCGATCTACGACTTTGGTTACGTAGCAATGAACTTCGGCTGGGTCTATCCGGAAGACAGCGGCGAATATCTTTGCAGAGCTACGAACCTTTACGGAATGGACGAGACCAGAGCTATTATTAGAACCGCTGGTAAACCAGGAATTATCTACGAGTCTCAACTTCCAAAAGGCATGAAGAGTATTGAGAAAATAAGGGAGATGGAGGCAGCATGGCAAATGTGAGATTCGGAGATTTATTTATTCTTATATTTTTTATTTATAGAAAACAAAATCACAAAATATATTCAAAACAAAGTATATTCAAATATAATATTCAAAAAATTATTCTTTCTATACAGTGTGCCCGAAGAGGAAGGTGAAGAAGAAAAGGTACGTTCAGCGCCTGTTTTCGTAAGTAAACCGGAACCAGTAACTGTCGAAGAAGGCGACTGGTCCAGATTTTGCTGTCGAGTTACTGGGCATCCAAGACCTCGAGTTATGTGGATAATCAATGGCCATACAGTAGTAAATGTAAGTTTAAGAATACTACTTATGATATATTTTACAGTGATTGACAGCGAGAGAATTGACATAACAATCAGGTTATAAATTGAATTTCGACTCCTTTTGTGTTGTAGGGATCTCGCTATAAGCTAACGTACGATGGCATGTATCATTTGGATATCCCAAAAACCAGACAGTACGATCATGGCAAGGTAGAAGTAATCGCAAGAAGCTCCGTTGGCGAAGCACGCACAGAAACGACTCTAACAGTTAAACAACGAAGCGATGATTATCGTGGTGTATTGAAAAATTCACCGAGACGTAAGTTTACACGTTTTATCATACATATACATGCTCGCGAATTCTTCGTGTTAAGATAAAACAAAACTGATCATTAATAATTTTATTACACAACTTTGATCAAGTACTACTTGTAATACAGTCTAAACTTGGTAACTTTCTGTATTACGGAAACTTTATACGAAGAGTTCGCATGCAATATAACAATTTATATAAACGCGTTACAACGGTACAAATATACCACATGTGGCCAACGTACCAATTCGAAAGATTCGGTTGTGAGCCTTCAATAGCAAGGCTGTCATAAATTAAAAAATATTGAAACAATCGAAACACAGTACATAATATATATCGATACGGCACATGCATTCTATTCAAATACAGAAAACACTCTAGACCAGTCAGACATATCCCTTCTATTCCTTTTCGCTTTCTATTTGGCACTCCAAAGCCATGAAAATACGCCTCAAATCCGGCAGCTTCTTCTGCTTCTCTTTCTTCTTCTTCTTCTTCTTCTTCTTCTTCTTCTTCTTCTTCTTCTTCATCATCATGGGTGAGAATATCAGCGAGATTATTAGAGCGAAATCATCTTAGAGATCAAAGGTATCGTATACTTGGTTTTTTACATCAACATTCAGGTATGGAAATTAATTGTCAAAAAGACCTTCGTATTGTTTTATTAATGTTTTTTTGTTTTATAAATGTAATTATATATTTTTGTGTTGCGCTAGAGAAAACAGGGTTTATTGCTCATAATTGTATTTTTTATACCTTCTTCATAATCTATTTTTAATTTATTCTGTTTAACATTTCTTACATCATCATCTTAATCTTTTTTTATTTGAGAGATATTTGTTATTTTATATTTTGTTATATAAATATATATATTCACTGTTTAGGTATAAAAAATGCAAAATACCGAGCACACATCTCTGTATTTCTCACTTTTGCGCAATCGATATAATTTAATTCTAATTCCTATAATATGTGTTTATATATCATTTGTTTTTCATTTTTACAACATGCATCCATCGCGTTATTTATCTTTTTCTAATGCATTGCAGCAAGAGATTGTTAAAATCAATTCGTCGAAAAAATACACAAAGTTCGACGAATTTTGCAGAATTAGTAATCAGTTAATTAAAAGAACACTTTGCAGGAGATTTCTTGTCCTTTCATAATAAAAAACCTTCTTTTAGTACGAAGGATAGCACGTTAATAAAGAAAATCCAAAATGTCTAGTTTAACTAGTGTTTTCAATAATATGAAGCGACGCAATCTTATATATTAACCGCGTGATATAACGTTGAATTTTTCCAAATCCAAAAAATCGATTCCAATTTATATTCTTTAGGTGTCGTCGATATGTGTTGCATCGTCACTCGTACTGTGTCTTAAATATTGTAGTATTCGGTTAAACTTTGTTCTTCGATTGAGAGGATTGCAATATTGCTTCAATAAAGTACATTTGACTTTTCATACAAATGCGTAACAGATAATGATTGTTAAAAATTTTCAAATTCACGCGAATATTTAATTAAGAATGTTGCATTCCTCATCAAGATAAGCCAAGTGATATGTTCGCTCGAAGCACGCATTCTCGTCTACTAAGTATGTCACACAAGAAGATATATAAATAATAAATTGTTTCTTTAGCCTGGTATGATTATGGGCTAACGCAGTATCAGACTGAGCGGCAGAATACAGAACTGGAGCGTGTGTTTGATGAACGTCATCAAAGCGTTTCCCAAGGTGTCGAAATTGCTACGGAACATCTTGCTCCTAAAGTCATTAAAGAACCCGAAACCGAATGGCAGAAATCAGTCAAGAGTAAGAAAAATGAAGTTTATTACAATAAATTGATGAGCCTTGAAGAGGACCAAATACTCAAAGAAACCAGATTGAGAGAATCTTCACATCAGTTTGCCATTCCTGGCGACAAAGTTGTCGCGAATTCTTTAGCAAAAGGAATGGCCCAAAAGTATGAAGAGAGTTTGTAAGTATTTATAATATTACTTGTAGAAATATATTTAATTGCAACACGGTAGATATTCTATTTAATTTTCATTATCAGAGAAGAGCAGCCTCAACAACCGCCACAGACACCTCCAACTACAAAATATGTGAAGAAACCGTTTGTTACTGAAGTAGACATAGACACTGAACGTGTGAAAGCGACAGGAAAATATCCTCCGGAACCATCGGAATCCACTGTACATGGTCGCGAAGTTCACGTAGCTAAGCAGAAACAGACGCAAAAAGAGATAAAGGGTGATCTAGAAATAACAAGGAAAATCACAGCGACAGAGACTACAGAAGTGGAGCACAAAGCGAAAACTCAGGAACGTGTGGTTCAGGGTCAAGTTAAACCCGCCAAACCGCCTGTTTTTACAAAAAAAATTCAACCTTGCAGAGCATTCGAGCAAGAACAAGCCAAATTTGAGGTTGAGTTTGATGGCGATCCACTACCAACCATCAAATGGTATCGCGAAGATTTTCCCATACAAAACTCAGCCGATCTTCAAATTTACACTTTTAGTACCAAATCGGTGTTGATTATCAGACAAGTCTTCATGGAAGATTCCGGTGTCTTTTCTGTTATTGCTGAGAACAGAGGAGGAAAAGCTAAATGCAGCGCTAATTTGGTTGTTGAAGAACGCAGAAGACAACCTGGACGGGGCGGTGCAATACCACCTAGTTTCTTATCCACGATTCAATCTACTTCTGTAGCCACTGGACAGCTTGCTAGATTTGATGCCAAAATCGCTGGTACCAAACCTTTGGATGTTTATTGGCTTAAGGTATAAAACATTCTAGATATATAGTAACAATTACTTCTAGATAAGTAAGATATTTTGAAAAGATTTATATAAACATAAAACCAAATTCTTTTTTTATTGCAGAATGGCAAGAAAGTAATGGCAGATATCCGTTACAAAACGTTAGAAGAAGACAACATTTATACGCTTCTGATCTTAGAGACAGTACCAGAAGACACTGGCAAATACGAATGTGTCGCGATCAATAGTGCTGGAGAAGCAAGATGCGAAGCGGATTGCACTGTTCGTGGACCTCAATCTCCGGCAAAGATTTCGAAACCCACAACACCAACAGAAGAGAGAGCGCCGACTGTTGTGGTACCATTAAAGGATCAAACTATCAAAGAAGGAAGTTCCGTCGCTTTTGCCTGCAGGATTACAGGAAAACCTGTTCCTACAGTACAGTGGAAAAAAGCCGATAAGGTATCAAATGTTTTTTTACTAATTATATTCTATTATGAAACTGTATTAGAGAAGTTCACTCAGACACAAATGGCTCTCGTAATTTTAGGTGATTAAACCGTCGAAGTACTTCCAAATGCAGAAAGAAGGCGATCTTTGCAATCTAAGAATCTCAGAAGCATTCCCCGAAGACGAGGGTGTTTACAAATGCATTGCCAAAAACCCCGCTGGCGAAGTTACTACATCTGCTAATCTCAGAGTTCTCGGTAAGAAAAAACTAAACATATCGAATTTAGTTTTATATTAAGTTTTTTTTATTATGTACAGTATAATAAAGAAAGAAATATTCTTATTTTCATTTTTGAATAGCGCCCGACACAGCTGACGTTTTGCCGAAACTGACACCTTTGAAAGATCAAATAGTCGCGGAGGGACAGCCGGCTCAATTCAAAACCCAAGTGAGTCCGGTGAAGCCTAAGCCAACAATTCAGTGGTATCGAGAAGGTGCTTTGATTCCACAATCGCCAGACTTCCAGGTAGATATCTCATTGTTTTGTTTATAAAAGACCAAATCAGACTTCGTTCTAGTGTAATGCTTAAGCATGGGTATACGTCACTTTCAGATGATTCACGAAGGCAACAATGCGGTGCTACTCATAGCAACCACCTACGAGGAGGATACCGGCACTTTTACCTGCCGTGCCACAACTTCAGCCGGTACCGTAGAAACATCCGCCAAACTCATCGTCAAAAGTAAGAACTGAATCAAAGATACAGATTCGATTGCTAACACAATACGCGATTGGACTTATATCATACATCTTTAAGAACTGCCGGAGACGAATATATACTCGAGACAGTAACAAGTTAATTTGCATATAACATTGATCATCTTTTGTTAAAACTTTTAAAGAAGATGATATTAATTTTTTTTATCTTCTATTATGTATCTCTGATAAACCCTGATTAAATTTTTGTTACCACTATATACTTGAAGAAATGATAATTGATCGAAACAATAAGTTAACGCGTGATATAGCAAAAAAACGTAAAAACTTAAACTTTTTATCATAAATATATTTTCTAATGTATGATTAATATTAATCGTTGTGTTATACTGTATGCCTTTTTGCTTAACGCATTTTCACGATACGACTAACGTCTTTGCACTCGTCTTAAGTATAACCGTCTCCGCGCAGCGCGTTCGTCGTAAATATCCATTCGTATTTTTACTTTTGTGCTTTGTTGTTGCCTTCCTTAGAAACATAACCCACCGAACCTACCGCTAGATTTTTCAACCTCCACTTTAAACACCATCTAATCAAAAAAAGTGTCGTGCGCGCTCGGGGAGTTTGTACTAACTTGTCATATTTTGAGAATAGCTGAGCGAGTGAAACGAGATAGTAATTAATAACACTTGTGAGAGGCTATGTTACAAACCTGTATACATCATTATCCTCATTACAAAAAAACTATCGTAAGAAACATGTCACGCAAGTAAAGGTCGCGAAGGTGGTGCTGAAAATGAGGTGCTACAAAAAATAATATCAAAATCGAAGCTGTAATGTGATCAGTTGAGACAAGCGTAGTGTAATAATCAAAAATTTTTATCTCAGAGCAAAAATGCGATTGCAACCTTTTTATAATGAGTGCTATTCATTCTGTAAATAGATATATTAATGAGATATTGCGCGATATTAGTCAATATTATGAATAAAAAGGAACAAGAATTAGCGGTGCGACTGTGTTAAAAAAAAAAAACTCGTTTACTCGTTCGCTGTATCGATATTTCATTATAAAAAGTATATCGTAAAGTAAAACAAAAAATATATATACATATATCTACATGCACACACATCATTTACATATGTATACGCTCACTACAATTATAAATACTCTTTTCTTAGAGAAATCACACAAGAATACACATACATAAATGAAAAAAAGAGATTATCATTTTACTAATCGATTATTTATTATTGTACAATGAAAGTCGCAATAAAACCGAATGTTCTAAGAATATCCAAGTCTCGTTTGTTATCGTTTTGCAAACCATCGCCTGATTATTATTATAATTAACACCTTTACATAGTAAATAACGATGTTATCCTATAGTATAAAAGAACCTTTGGGGCGATGGAAGATTTATTAACATAGCGCATGAAACGCATATGATAATTGTGAGATTATTGAGATGTTTCTTATAAATTTTGCGTTGTGTGTAAATTATTCTATACAAATTGGTACATTAGATATTTTTGTATATATACTGAGGGATAACATTTATCATTAAATTTGTGATAAATGATAACAAGCATAAAGAAGTAACAAAAAAATGCTTAGGTATCCTTATCTTTCCTTGATGGAGTCTTACGGAAGCAAAAGTAACGTTTGCGTAATAAACACTATGTTTTCACGAAAAACAAATCACGTAGTATACATATATACGATACATATATTTACATCGGCCACTTTTGTCACGCGGCACACGTTTCCAAGCAAAGAGCAAATGCAGTGCCGTGTGCACGTTCGGCTAGGCCCTTTTCTTAGGCTATTTCTGAGCACGTGATGTGTATTACGTTACCCGTCTATATTTGGCTGCCGGCTTGAAACTCCGTGAAAATTCAACTCCGTCAGCCACGGCAGATGTTGGGTCGTGTGTACTACAAACACGACTTTTTCAAAGCTAACGTGTAATCCCTATATCAATATACTTTGTTCGTGTATTTTTACAATTGTTTTTATTTTTTGTTTAAGATGAAACTTATGTTTTAAGTTAAATTGTAGTTTAATGTAAAACATTATGAATTTAGAATATTAATTCTTTGTAATCAGCGAGAAGAAATCAAATCCGATATATTATTAAATTTATTATTACATTTATTATTATTATTATACTTTTTAAAAGAGATAGTTTTCTCTTTGTTAGATATCTTTAAGATTTAACTAAGAGAGAAAATTTCTAAAAATGATCCATGTTCTTTGCGTTCTAAATGTGATGCATGGATATCATGAGTAAAAGAGCATGCGTCATTCGATGAACTTCAAAGAGATGGAATTCGACCTTGAAGACAGAATGACAACGCTTCCCAAGAGAACAAATGATCACGCTGAATCATCAAGGAGATTCTTTTCCGTGGTTCATCTCATCTTCGATCCTAGACCACTACCTTCACACAGAAGACTTCGTTAGTACGGTGATTTTGAGAGGAGTTGGCCGAGGTAGTTGACTATTTTGGACTCGTCTCGAAGCAACTGCCAGTGATTCAACCATGCCAGAAATACTACGGGGAAACGCGTGTCAGCGCACTCTGCAAAACGAGAGAGAAAATTATTTTTAGGAAACCAGCAAAACTTGGTGGAGTTGAAGATATATGACTATTTTACGATCATCTAATATGAGAGAAATTGGCAATATATGTCACCGTGATCAAACTTAACAAAATCATTAAGAAATACTTTCAAAAGAGAAAATATATATAAATCCAGAAGAGAATTATAAATTTTTCCACTGCTTTTTAAACTTTCTTTTATTTAAAAGTTTTTACTCATCTTCTCACAATCTTTCTTGAGTCTTTTATGTGCACTTAAAACAACAAGTAAAAATTTTCCTTATAATTCTTTTTGAAACATGTGACTAACATATATATACAAACTGGTTTTGAAATATTATCTACATTATGACAAAAATTAAATAACTTTTTATATTAATTAACCTTTTATATATAAGTTTACATGACACTGACAAAAATTCATGAATAATATACTATGTATATTTTCAATATTTGATATATTGTATTACTGTAGTACATATATATGTATTTAATAGCCATACAGGATAAAAGATAGATCAAAAAGTAAACACGTGTCATCACATACATTATATCTCGTTATTTATTTTTACTTTTATACATAATCATAAAGATCTTTATTTTTACTTTTGTACATAATCATAAAGACACAATCTTTCGTACTTTACCCAATAAATTGTTTGATATCGTGTAGAAAGTCGTAACTCAATGTCCCTTTATTCACATATTTAACAGATAAGCATAATCACTCTCAATCAATAGTCAACTGTAGATGAATAAGTCTTCCAAATGTTACAGCTCTTTCACGATTTATTAGTTGATACTATTATGTCACTAATTAATTAAATAATAGATAAACTTATATACAAAAATTTATATTAAAGATTACAAAAAGTCTTATATATATATACACTTAAGGAAAATAAGATTTACAATTAAAATAACTTTAAAATAGAAATAAAAATTTTACCTAAATACATAGCTTGTTATAATTTTGAATAAAATGACATATAAACATATAAAATTTATGTTTTCTCTTGTCTCTTCGATACATAATTCATTGCTCGAAATGCGATATTATACACGAATATTTCACAAATATGCACCACCTTTACGGCACCACAGCACCACAAATTCAAATGTGTTCGGTTCAAATGCGGCTGCACTTCGGGCAAGCACATGAAAGAAATTTTCATTATGCAATAACGAGTGCGAAGAATGCGTTTTACGACCGAAGACACAGCCAAGTTACAGCCAACTATCAGATGTCAATTTCTTCCTCACTTTCACTGAATAATTTACGTGACATCACCGCAATATCACTGCGTCCTGTGGTAAAAAGCACAGGAATAATCTTTCTTCTTTCGTCTTCGGCTTCCGCGTGATTACTATTACGACTAGACGTAGCACGAAGTTACGGATGTGCGTCTTGTACGTCAAGGATCCCCACCGAGTTTCTTCGAGGGAGAACCTACTTGAGAGAGACTCGCAAGTCGTCTTGTGAACTCCACAAACACTACAAATGAACGTCTCGGTCCCGCGCACGACCACAGTTAATATAATTTTTGTGACCTCGCGTCTGTTGAAGCTAATAATGTCGCAAACGTCATCGTGTCGTCATCGTAACACAACATAGTACTTTATTGCATTTTAAAGAAAAAACTCTCTCGCAATTGAGATGACACATTCTTTTTGTCTACTTACTAGAAATAACATATGATAACATATGATGAAATATATATATGTCTGTGTGTGTGTGTATAAATATTGATTGCAAGCAATATTCAATACTTTTAATTAGTATTTTTAAAACATTTTACTTAATACTTTTTTAGTATTAGTTTATACAACATAGCACATTATAAATTATTTCATTAATGTTAGAATGATACAAAATTGAAGACAACTTACATATAATTTAATTACATATAGTTATTAATATTTTAAATAATTCTCAAATAATTTTTTATTTTAAGGTTAATAGTTTGGCAAATTGCCTTGATTTATAGTTTATAAAGTGTATTAGGACTTACCTCTTGCTACATATATATTTTATGCAATTATAAAATAAATTTTCAAATTGCGTTTAATTAACTAAACTATTTACATATAATAAATTAACATATAAATTTACATACAATAAATTCTGCGTGACATTATAAAATAATTCGTCACGTTTGTTATATTTGTTGATAAGTGTGTAAATATAAAAGAATATTCTCATTTATAATAATAGCATGCTGCATGGTATCTGTACAATAAAACAAAGCATATCATACAAAATTTCCATTTAACACAACATGTGTGACAGTGTGAAATAGTGGTAAATGTATTCAAAGTTACTTAAAGCAATTTTCAATAAATTGCAGAGAGAAAAGAAGCTCATTACGCAATCCCTGCGGAAACGACTGCTAGTACAAAAGTAGATACTAAACTTGCGAAAGAAGATATAGTTTTAAGATCACTTGACGAAAATGGATTGCCACTTGAGATACAACTTCAACCAGGTGATGAATCGTTGCCTTGGAGAAAAGGACGTGTTTATCATCGACCTCAAACTAGCCAACCGCTTCCATGGCGAAAAGTAAAGCCAAAATCGAGAGATTCCTCTTTGGATAAGCTTCGAGCTTTTGAGAGTCAAATAAAACCATGGACCGAGGAAGAAGTAGTTTTGAAGAAAACTTCTCAGATTCCTAAAGATATAACAAAAGAAAAGTTAGAAGAAGTTGAACTGAAACCAACCAAGATCGAGAAGAAAGAAATCCATGGACCTAGTCTTGAAACTGTCAAGTTGAAATCCGTGCCTAAAGATACAACAAAAGCTATATTAACCGAAGAAGACGTTACTCGTAAAGATACTACTACAACAGAATTGTACACAGAGGAAACTGACGCTTCTCTATTAAAATCGTTGCGCCACTTGAAAGAAACTATATCAAAACAAGAGAAAACAAAACCATGGACAGAAGAACAAATTGTTTTAAAGAAAATAAAACCAAAAACAACAAAAGTTTCGGAAATAGATACTTTAGAAAGAACAGATTATACAGAACAAGAAGATAGTTCTTTGCTTACAATTTCAAAAGATGAAGAGACGCAAAAAATAAAGAAGGAGAAACTTATAATAGATAAGACAGAACACCCTAAACCTTGGACGGAAGAAAAAATAGCTCTCAAAAACGCACAACCAGAAAGAAAAGAAATATTTAAACAAACGCTCGAAACTGTTACATTAAAACCTTCGCATATAGTAAAAAAAGAAATAGTAAAACCAACATTAAAAGAAGTAGATCTTAAATCAATTTTAAAAGAAGAATCTGAAGTAATTTTAAAAGAAGAAGTTCAGATTGATGTTTCTACAGTTAAAAAAGAAAGGAGAGCGAGTAAAGATATAGATAAGACAATTACAGATCAAACAGATAAAATAGAAAAACCAAAACCATGGACAGAAGAGAAAGTTGCTTTAAAGAAATCTAAGCCTATCCAAAGAGAAATAGAAAAAGAAGCATTGGAAACGGTAGAGTTAAAACCATCTAGACCTACGAAGCTGGTAGTTCGAAAACCAAGTTTGGAAAAAGTAGATTTGAAACCTGTCACAAAAGAGAAAGTGGACACAAGTATTACAGAAATTGTTAAACATGTCGACTACACTGAACATGAAGATACTTCATTACTTCAAGTGTCATCTGAGGAGGTACTGGACACTACCAAATTAAAACAATCAAAACCAAGCAAAAAACCAACACAAGATGTGGGACAATATGTTGAAGAAGAAGATATTACTTTACTTAAGTCTGAGCGTGAAACTACACTAAACAAACAAGTAAGGAAACGAAAAGAAATACCAGAAGAAAAATCACAGTTAAAACCATGGACAGAAGAAAAAGTTACTCTGAAGAAAACGAAACCTGAACAAAAAGAAATACATAAAGAAACTCTAGAAGAAATATTGTTAAAACCAGTAACAAAAGTAGATAAAGTATCACAAAAACAACTAATAGAAACAACAGATCTGGAACATGTTAGAACAGAAATCACGGACTTAACTAAAGTTAAAAAGTCTGAAGAAAACCTATCTTATCAAGAAGAAGAAGACCAAACTATTCTTGAAATGGATAAACATGTTGAATACTCTGAGAAAATAAAACCTAAGAAAAAAGACATTGGAAAAGTACCATACAAGGAAGAAGAAGATATTGCAATCCTTGCCGTTGATCAAACAACAGATACACAATCTACAAAAAAAGAAATACCCATACCATGGGTAAGAGGAAAAAAAGGAAAGAAAGACGTAGAAGAAATACAACCATCTCGAATACCTACACCTCAAGATAAACCAGAAGAAGATCAACCAACAGAAATTGCAGAAGCATCATGGCGTCGCAAACCAAAACCATCAAAAATTCAAAAAGAAATTGAAGAAACTGTGCTCAAAGAACACGAAGTAGAAGAAAAAGCTGAATTACCATGGAAACGTAAAAAACAGACACCAGTTATTAAACCAGCAGAAAAACCAGAGGAAAAACCTGAAGAAGTTCGACTAAAACCAGTCAAAAGAATTGAGAAGCCAGAAGAACCAAAACCGGAGGAAGTAATTCTGAAACCGGTTAAGAGGCTTCCTAAAGAGGAAGAGACAAAAGAAGAAATTACCTTAAAACCGGTGGAAAGGAAAAAACCAGAAGAAAAACCTGAGGAAGTTCGACTTAAACCTGTCAGAAGAATTGAGAAGCCAGAAGAACCAAAACCGGAGGAAGTAATTCTGAAACCGGTTAAGAGGCTTCCTAAAGAGGAAGAGACAAAGGAAGA